ACATTCACGTATGTTTCAGCTGCTCATTTAGTTTGCGCGCATGCGCACTCAAAATATGAAATACTGATAATCAACAAACATGGATGCCTGCGGTCGCAGTTTGACCCACTGAAGTATCGGTCAACATCACGCTCGAAGAACTTTGATAAATTTTTCTTTCCACGTGGACAGGAATTTAAGGCAATCAAAGTCACTTTTGCAAACCTTAGCGCAAAAAAAGAGAGAGTATTTGATGCATTTTTTTTGTTTTTCCGTTAGTCGTGTAGTACGAAAATATTGGGTCACAAATTCAAAACAGGCGACAGTTTAGGGGATAATTTTTCAGTTTTGCCGAGTAATTGTAAACTTGTCTTCACTGAAAAATGGTAAAAGATGCCACGGAAAGTGCGATGTATAAATATCATTTAAGTCGGAAACCGTTTCAATGAGAAAAGTAAGGTCTCACGTTATACGTTTTTTCGTTGAATGTAACGTTAGTGTGCACGTACCTGTACACAGACCCTACGGGAATCTGGCCCGTAAACATGGCTAGCCACGCGCCACGCGCCGCGGCGCTCCGTTTGTAATCTTTCGACGCGTTGGCAAATAAATGTATACATTTAACTGAAACGATTTACAACTGACTGGTTCCCGGCCCTGAGATGCAGTTAAGTACGATCACAGAGGGTCAGAGGGTACTGGGACCAGTGTATTTGTGCACGAAGCTTTCAAAATGGGTTTACTCGAAAAATGACGATTTTTATAAGCTACAGTTTTCCTTCTTACATCAAATCACCTGTAAAATGATAATAATCTATCATCCTTTCCGATGGTACTACGGCTGATCTAAGGTAAACCCGGCAAATTGTCAAAATGTGTAAACCAAACTCAAAATCGAACGATGTTTTTCCTTTTCATTTTGTACGTTTTTTGTCCATAATTATTGTTTTTTTTTTTTAAATATTTGAAAAGGTTTTTAGCGCCGTTACCACACTGTAGAGACAATTTATATCTTTGTTCACTTGGTCTACTGATAATTTTTGGTTTGAATCATCTTTTAAGTACGTTTGAGAAGGATATGAATCATCTTTTAAGTACGTTTGAGAAGGATACATTTTAAGACATGAAAACCAGACAATCGTTCAGTGCGTCGTCTGCTACCGCGGTTTGCAAGCCGACGACGCGGAGGAAACCATTGCGCATGCGTGAGAAGACGAACTAAATGCACGCACGGTCTATGGGGCTGAAACATACGTGCATTGTGTTGCTGCGCGCGCGGTGTGCGGTAGCGGGAACAAGCTCATAATGGGAACAAGCTGATAGCCTTGGTCAAGGCTACTTTGGCACTTGCTTACAACTTTATATTAACTCTAATTGACACTAAATAACGTCTCTACCGATGAATCATGCCTTATTGCCCCAAAACGTCTCTAGCATGACCACACAAGCGGCGTATCCAGAAGGGGGGGGGGGGGGGCAGGACTTTTTGAGAAATATTTTGTTCCCAGCAATTATTCCAATAAATGGTTCGTGAGTTCTGACATCAATCCCAAATAAAGAAAACCCGCTCAAAAACCATTACAATGCGCCGTGAAAATGGGGATATAATTTGCAGTATGATTAATAATGGTACGTTTTGAAGAGCGCCCTCATTAAGAAGATGGGTCCGCTCCCCGCGTTTTGATTTGAAGGAGAGTGTCCGGAGAGAAAAAAACATGTCTACATCTTGGCGCGAATGTGCGGTCCCCCCCCCCCCCGACATCAAAAGCTGGATACGCTACTGGACCCCACACTACAAGACAGAGCCAACCTATCACGGGAACAGGTCAACAACTTCATCCACACCTGTGTCTCCTCCACTTGTTTCCAGTGGAGGAACCAGTTCTAAGACCAATCCACTGGGGCCGCCATGGGATCTCCGATCCCCGGTACTGGCGGATTTGTTCATGGAAGAGTTCGAGAGCACCATCACCATCGAGGCTGCAGACTTCAAACCAGATATGTGGCTACGCTACGCGGACGACACCTTCGTAATTTAGGGTCACACGGCACGGAGCAACTCCACATCTTCCTCAACCACATCAACCAGCAGCACCCCCTTATCAAGTTCACCATGGAACAAGAACAGAACAACACCCTAGCCTTCCTCGATGTCTAAAGTTACCCGGCATCTGGATGGCTCCATCTCCCATACAGTACACCGCAAGCCCACACACACCGACCGCCACCTACACAGGACATCCTTCCACCACCTACGCTTCAAGTCCGCAGTCAGAAACACCCTACTATGCCGAGCCTACAGCACCTGCAACCAAGCCCATCTCCAAAAAGAGCTCCATCACATCAGGACATCCCTCAAGTTCAAAGGCTACAAGAACACCAACACCAACACCCACAATCCCAAACCAGCAACCGCACAGGAACAGCGCCCCCTCAATTCAACGCAACTGACACCCTACCCTGCATCGGCCACATCTCCCACAAGCTACAACGCGTCCTCAGCCAGGCCTACATCAAGGTCAACCACACTGCTCCACACAATAAATATACAAGCCCAACTACAGACACACAAGGACAACACACCCAAGCGCACCTGCAGCATCCTACATCCGACTCACTTCAGCGCACAAGCAACCATTGCATCCTTCCTCCAACATACCCCAGCACACAGGCATCTAGTCACGCCCCACTGCACACGCACAGCCCTAAACCTCCAGCATTATCCACATCTCATCACTCACCCTCCTGAGGACGGACAGAGCGCACTGTCTGAAACGTCGAGTTTTACACTCCATCAACCGGTTCTTTCCAGAACCACACTTCTTCCAAGAGGAGATTTCTTTCCACATGGTGTTACCCGCAAATTTTATAATTTAACTAATCCCCAAGCAAAGCTTCAAGTCATGTATAGTGAATAATTTCAAAAGTCAACTGCTGCATCGTTTGCTATTTCTTGTCCACACAAAATGCCTGGTTTTTAAAATATTCCAAGGCCAGGCGCTCCGATGACGCAACCTAAGACGCAAAGTTTCGCAGGAAGTTATCGTATTTCATTGGAATCGAAAGTAAATGCTGGCACGACTAAATGGATCCCTTAAAAAATGAGCTCAAAGTTGTTAGTTCATTTAACGATGTTCTTTAAATTGTTTACTGTGTTTACAAAAATTTCAGTGTTAGGTACAAATTACGACTGAACTGTCTCTTTCAGATTATAATAATGATAAAGCCAGCGTTCGTTGATTGCATGGTTGTATAATTTTGATTAATGCTTGTTCATTGATTATGCATGTCATTCTTGAATGAGCAGCACAACTTAATAAACTTATTTCTCAAGGCTCTGCTACATATATAAATTGTGCATCTGTATTTCCATCCACTTTTACAGGAGTTAAATCTACCCCTCCGGGGCGGTTCCTACATTTGACGTTCTTTACTGCATTCAAACTCTCGCTAAAATGAATGACTCTGAGGCAAGTTTGGGTAGTAAACTTTGTTTAATTTGAACTGGATGTGTCAGGCGAAGTTGGGAACAATAAGGATTTGCTACAGTTTACCCACTGGGACATTATCTTAACAGACTAAGATTCTTGGTTTTTTTTAATCCGTAATCCGATGGTTAGCATATCATTTTTTTTTCATATTTCATCAGTTCACGCTTCTCTGTTTTTTTTTCTTGCACTCACTATCGTTATTTCTTAAACTATGGCTGAATCACTTATTAATGAGGGCGCTCTTCAAAATATGCAATGCATTGCAGTCCTTTATAGCTGAATGAATGGAGTTCTCAGACTCCTAGTTCTTTTCAGAACCTCACAAACTCACGAAAGCGCTTCGTATCACCTGGTGCATCCGTAAACTGACTCTTACTGCTTACTTTACAGTGTAAACCTTCAAATCATATCTAACGTGTTTATTATGCGAGTTTTGTTTTAATCTAGACTACATTCCCCCCAAAGTAAATGTAGGTTTTCTTTCGCCATATAAAAAAAAAATGGTTCAGGTTCATTCTAAATAGTTAAAAAGACTACTCTAAAAGACTGTTACGAATCCCCATCAAATATGCATTAATACGTGCTTTGTAATGATGCATTGTTAAAATATCTCGATGTCTATAATTTACATTTTAAAAAAATGGTCATTAAATAAAATCTGAGGGGAACTATATATTTTCAAGTACTCACTCCTGCTTTCAATAGGAATTCATTCCAATAATCTCATCCTGTCTTCAAACGACTACTCTATATTGACATGAGGCAGTATCTCGCAAGAGGCTTTATGAATCGTGCAATTATTGGTTCCATTACCACGTACAAGCATTGGCTTCTGTCAACATCATCAGTTGTATTAAGACAAATTTGGTTGATTGATCGAATAAATTGAATATATGTTTGACCTACAGCAACCAAATCCGCGCCATCCGAGTAATAAAATTATAATTATCGTTCATTGAATGGGACTTTTATGCATACTATACATACTTTATCCCCGAATACGTTTACGATACATTTGCTTTTTGATAGATTGACATTACATTCATTTTAAAACGAAACTTTAAAATTAACAATCTCCGACTATTTGCAAACATAAATACATTTTGGGAAACTGCCTCAAGCAAATTGTGTTCAGTATAATTAACACTAAAATGTAGAAAAAAAAAACACCCGGTTTTCTTTTCTGAAAAAAATTAACCTTTATCATTCTTTTCACAGTTTTCGAACCTAAAATTACTGTTTTATTAATACTTTACATGACGCTTTTCTCAATTGAGTTTGTGTTTTGACGTGTCATTAGGTCTAATATGTCATTGCGTTTTACAAAATGGTCCTGGCATCCCAAATGTAAAGAAAAAAGCGGTTTTGTTTGTAACAGTATAGGCTCATCCGCCAAATGTTATGTCATGTAAATTATTAATAACTATCGCTCCGCTGGTTTGGCTAAGCAAAATACTTTCCTATGCAACATCTTATGTTAAGCGGCTCTATCAAATGTCGCCATGAAGATTGTCACATGACCCACCATAATTACACCTTTTCGCCGGCATCATCTTTCAGCGCGACTTCATAGATGCTCTCCTCGAAATCATCGAGTGATATGTACTCCTGTAAATCAAATGATGATATCCAATGTATCTGATTTGTTTGGAATTAAAGACTTAAGTGCAACATCCTATCTCATGTTTGCTATTATGATAAAAAAGGCCTTCTTTGGTTTAGTTCAAATGGACCAATGTATATTGAGCAAGAGCAAATTTCAAGAAAACTTTGTTTTTAACTCAAAATATCTGAAATTTACCATATTTTCTGGCAGGTTTTTACTTCAATACTCATGGATGGTTTTTGAAAGAGCCTATTCATTTAGAAACGGTAACTCTATTTAACAGTAGTTTCAAACTCATTTTTTCTAGGGGGGGGGGGAATTGATTTTTAGTACCAATTCAAAATGACATCCTTGTTCTAAAGGTAAGGTACGGCAGACAAAGTGAAACATAAATCGCCACTACTCCGTTGTTAACCCTAAATGGGCCCGGCTTTTTTTTTTTTTTTTTTACAGTTCTCAGAAGCGGGGGAGGAGCGACCCCCCCCCCCCCCCACACACACACACACCCTCCCCAAGATATCGGTTGTCTCATTACAAATATTTTTGAAAGTTGGCATGCATGCACACACATCCATTATTAGTACATCACATAACTTTCTATTCAAACCGACAAAATGTTTTACCATGGTCATTTACCATGCATATATGTAGTTCACACTCTCAGGCGTGTGATTCAAGCACGGTCGATGGGAAGATTAACATTTTGGCCTACTCGACCTGGAAAATGGACATTTCGCGAAAACGGTTTATCCCATTTTCATAGAATTGGAGTTACAATGACTGCACGACAATAGCTAGAAAACAATGCTAAATGCTCGGCACGATAACGAAAATGCGTTAGAGCGATATCAGAGTAAGTACGGGGGGAGGTCCGCCCCAGGCCTTTTTATGGTTAACCTGACGAATCTAATCACAACGTAATTTTTCCGACTCTCACCTTTTCTTTGGTGATGAGTTTGTCCAGCTCCTTACTGATCATCTTAAATGTCGGTCGACTGTCTGGGTCCTCATACCAACATCTCAACATCATCACATACCTGACATCGAAGATACAATGAATTTTAAACAATTGATCAAGTCTTTGGTTTTCGCAGGACGACAATTAATTTCTCCAGGATGATTGTGCAGAAAACAGTTCAAGGTCATATTTTGTGAACAAACTGAGGGCGCTGTAATGTCTCAATCTTTGAAGTAGACACAGTAGAAATGCGGTCATTTAAGCAAATTCTCTGTTAAATGTAAGTTACATATACATAAAAAAATATTTGCAACATGCAGTTTTAGATCAAAACAACATGAAAAGTGTATCAATAACTTTGCAATCCTATTGTGACCAACACTGGCGTCTTCACAGCACCTGATTTACTCGAACATAACGGGTTCACTTTGAAAATTAAGATTTCCTTTTTCGACCTTGTATCTTTAGAAACATTCAAGAATGGACTTTATCCACGAGGAATCCATTTTTGGTCGTGTTTTCTGAATATATTGTTTAAATTGAGAACTGTTGAAAGGGATGGTGACAGACTATCTTACTTTCAATTGTCTTAAACAATATGGTATGTTTATCTATAAATGTTTAATTATTCATCAGAGCAGATTGGTGTTAATTTGTAATTAACTTTCTTTTATAGTTTCATTTCTCTTCGCAAATGCAAAACAAATGAAGTTTGTACCTCGCTTTCAATTTCATATGTCCGACTCGTGAATAGAGCCCATTCATTACAGTACAATTTGGATGGTTTTAAAATCTTTAACAGAAACGTGAAGTAATATTTGCAGTGCATGTAATAAACTTACAATTCCTCCTGACAGTGTAGTGGTTTGGGCATACGGTAGCCAGACTGAAGCTCGTTAACCATTATCTTTGCTGTCATAGCGGGGTACGGACGAGCACCTTGAGCAAATAAATGAAGACCAAAAAAAGAACAGAATTTGGTTTTGTCTTGACACCATTTTTTTTAAAACAAGCACAACCTGGTGGGCAACGGAAGTAATTATGTAGATCGAGGGGATTCGCTTTAAATACTACAGCAACTCCCCTACACTAGCAATAATCTCTTGGAGCTATTGAAACCCTGCTTCAGAGTAAAGACCCCAATTGCACATGTCGTATGCATCATCACCATTTGTTACGTACCGCTTTAAATATGTGAGGGATTTAAAATCTGTAAGAGATTGTTTTTTTGTGTGTGTGCTACCAAGTACATTCCACGTGACACTCCATTGAATTTGTTTAATCACTGTGCCAGTTCAGTAATCAATTCACACACAGGTCGATTGCATTAATGCAATTACTTACCGAGTGTAACTATTTCCCACAGAAGTACGCCATAAGACCATACGTCACTCTCTGTTGTGTACACGTCATCCAAAATGGACTCAAAAGCCATCCAGCGCATGGGCAGTGGACCCTGCAAAATGAAAGTATCCACATAATTACCACCTATCTATATAATTTTCACCTGTTTTAATCAATAAAAAGAGAGATTTCTTATCCCCGCCGATTCTACACAATACTGACCTGTGATCTTCGTTCATACACTCTGATATTCATGACGTCACGAGCGAGTCCGAAATCAGCCACCTTACACGTCATGTCCTCAGCAACAAGCACGTTACGGGCAGCAAGGTCCCTGTGAATGCACTAGAATACATTCGAGATAACGTCACTTCAGTAACTCTGGCAGTACCGGAGTCACACTTTTGTAATAAAACAAATTCGCTGCTAACTCACTGACTAATGCTGCTCCTAAAGACATAACGAATTCCTTGACCGAATGATCACAAACTGAACTGGGCTTACCCGTTGAGATGAGATAAAGGCCATTCCATCAGCAACATCTTTAGCAAACTTCATCAGATCCTTGGAGGTTAGTGACTTACTGATACCATGCAGGTTGCCATAGACACGCCTTCCCTTACTACGACTGTCTTTAAGAAGGTCTTTCAGATTGCCTCTAGATTGATACTCCACAATGATGTATGGCGGATCTGTGAGAAAACGAAGGCAGTATGTTAACACTTTCTAGGCAACAAAACAAAAGGCAACAAAACAAACCAATAAAAACAATAGTTGCTTGAATTACCTTCCTCGACACAGAATCCAAGGAGCCTGACTACATTACAATGGTCAGGTAACTTCTTCATCAGGTCTAGCTCCCTCATCAAGTCGGCTTTTTCACTATTGCCTGCTCCGTCTGCATAATTTACATCGAGAGATGATGATCGCATATTAATTAAAGACATTATACAACCTAAAAAGCATATAGTGCTGATTTGTTGCCCTAAGTTAAACTTACCTGATTGCAATTTTCAAACTGGCAATGCTTTTAAAACTACCATGGCTACATTATTATCTCCTGATATTTCAACTAACCTTTTAGAGTCTTAACAGCAACCAGTGTGACCTTTGACCCCTGTGTCATCCCCGAGGCTTCCGCTAGAAGCACCTGACCAAAGGCGCCATGTCCGAGCTCTTTGATGATCTTCAGCTGATCACGTGGGAAGGCCTTGTGCGCCGTTGGGACATTTGCATAATCCACTGTCCCTGGTTTCTTATTGGCTGGCTGACTTATGCAGTCCAATTCTGCAATATAAATAGCAGAATACTCGAGCATTTTGAAACAATTTGTGAACGTCTAATTACCTATTATTTAGCAAAGTATTTGAAGCGAGAGGTAGATCGTTGGTGACTCACACCCGCGCTGTATATCGTTCAGAGCTTAACCGCTCGTCTTAGGATGTGCACTCTCGGTGCAATCCCTTGGAAGTCAAGGTTCTGCTCGATCGGTACAGTGAGTTTAATGAGAATCCAAATCTTGGCATATTATGAGTATTATATGACTATGTCAGGTGTCTTTACAATCTCAAATATTTAAGCTGGGAACACAATTGCACTGCGCTCCTCAATGAGAAACATGACTATCCTCATGACATGACCTTGCTTGGTGAGGTGTAATTATCAGCTTTGTGCTGTTTGGGTTTACCAAGGATAAATATAGTAATGGGGAAAATAATGAAAATAAAGAAAGAAAGAAAGAAAGAAAGAAATAGATTTGATGGCCTACCGTTTAGTTCCTGTGAAGCTGACTGTGTTCCTGGTGGCGGAGGTGTGGATTGAGGGCGCCTTTGAATATAAGGGACAGTAGTATATGCTTACTTGTATTGCAAAGAACATCATCAAACGTTAATAAAAATATATCAAGATATTACTTATTCTGAGTTAATCTCTAATGCACAATGTAAATAGCCATGATTCTCAGAAAAAAAGGCAATGGACTTACATTCTAATGTCTATGGTTGATGCAGCCTCTGAAAGCAATAAAGAAAAAAAACGGTAATTTCTGTAAAAGGTCAATCGCTTTATTATTAGAGCAAGAGGGCGGCCCGGGTCCAGAACGGCAAATGGCTTGTTTTAGCAGAAGAACAAGGGAGGTGTTGGAAACTATTTTTAAATCTGCCGAATATTATCATAAATTATTCACTTTTTTCTTGCATTTTGACATGCAGTAATAAGTCCTGAAACAAAATATTGTTACTATCACGCTTTACCGCCACTAGCTTTCCTCGATCTTCTTGTGACATAGACTCCAAGCGCGATGACAGTTAAGACGACAAACCCGATGATGATACCAATAATGACCACTGTCTTGTCATCAGGCACAGTTGTCGTTGGAGGTACATTGGTCACTTGTAAACAATCACACACAAACATGTATTAATGACAGGTCGTTCAATTAAGAAATATTGTAATCCAAAGGTTAATTTAACAACATCGTGGAACGAACAAAAGGAGAGCGTCAGTAAAATTTCAGTTATGGTAAGAATCTCTGCGATTTTACTTTAAAGGGAATATACATCATTTGCTTTTGCTGTAATTTTCAGAAATGGATGGAATTGGGGGGTTGGAAATATATAGCAAATATAGTTACACTGACTTTTTTGAGGTTTTGGGTTCGAAAATGCTATAAAAACCAAGAAAAACGATCATTTTCCTGTAGTCTGGTTCCCTGACTCCATATAAGAAGAAACAGAGCAGTTTACATACATTGGGGAATTGTAAGGTCAGGGAACCAGTCTAGCTGGCTCGTACCCGTTCATAGGTGTGTAATCGATTGCAAACAAGTGCGATGGTCAATTGGGGCCAGTATTTGAAAAAAAGCCAGTTTTTTCCAACGCTGATCGGCCGATCAGCGTTGGAAATTGATACAAAAATACCACTTTTCTTGAAAATGACAGTAAACCAGGTGCCATGATTTTACAGGATGCTTTACACTGTCATTCACTAACAGTCCAGCAAGGTATTTCAAAATGATTTGGTAGTTGTATTTTTTGATGTTTGCAAATGTTGTATTTTCCCTTTAAAACAGAGTAAAACCATTTTTGATCTGTTCTATACATCATCTCTATTCTTCAAATTTTCTTACTTATTTCAGTGAGGGTGATGTTCAGTGAGTCCTCTCTTCCGATGCCATTTGAACTGATGCAGGTGTACACTCCATAATCAACCTGGGAATCTACTGCCTTGACGGTCAACTTGCTGGTGACTTTGAATTCAAAAATTCCATCTCCACCAGATGTCTCATGTGTTACAGGGAACTTTCCTTCATCCACGTCACTGGTAATCATGGTGTTGTTGGTACAATACCACTCCATGAGTGGCTGAGGATTACCCACCGCAATGCAGATTAAGACAGCATTTTCACCATCTTTGACTCTTACTTCATTCATTGCTTTATTGGTGATGTTGACTTCGTCTATGAGTGAAACAAAAAACAGCGAAACAATACAGGCCTCTGCCTCTTGGCTTATGGAATAGAGACGCGCTACACAATCCACTGTTCATTTCGCATTTATGGAAATAATAATAATAATAATAATAATAATAATCGTGTCTAGATACTGTAATTTCTTTGGTCTAGAACTGCCACCTCTCCAGTCTCTAAAACAAATGTACACTGCGTTGCACTTACACCACCGCATAATGCAGGGAGGTGCATGCCGCCCCCCCCCCCCCAAAAGAAACGGAATGACATACTTCCTCTTCCTTGATCTATTTCATCATTAGTCATTTTATTCAAAGTGTTTTGCAAACTTACATTTGACATCAATCGGACCCAGAGATCCCACTGGTCCAGGGATCCACGGGGCCCTATTTGCTGTGCATGTGATGATGTTTCCATTATCCTGTCTCCTTGGTGTGTAGTCCAGCGTGCTGGTGAAGCTGTACCGATCACCTGATTCTGACAAGCTCGTAGTTGGACCTGGTGAGCCTCCATTGGACCAAACCAGAGTCCAGTCATCGGGATATCCCATGTCTGCTGTACACGTCAGCAGAGTCGCTTCATTCTCAGTCATGGATGTACTACCGGTTATGACAGGAGTCTCAGTGGGTCCTAAAAGATAACAGATAACGCCAAAATTTAAATTTCAATGTTTTCATTAATTGCATTATTAATGAAAATCCTAATGTTCGCAAACATTCATGTGCTCCTTTTATAGTAATACAACCCCCTCCACAAAAAAAATATGAGACATGATTTCCATCACTAGACACTTTTGTTTGCTCATTAAGAAACACGATTACATACCGATAACATAAAGCCTGATGTTTACGCTTATCCCTTCATATTCTTCATCGTTGGAAGCCTGGCACCGTAACGTCTTTCCATGATGGCTCCATGTTGGCGAGAAGGTAGCCATACTAGTGCTGGTAGTCAGCTTATCAGCACCTGTGACATTCACGGTGTTATATGGTGTGATGGTCGCATCACCTAGAGACCACGTGAATGAGGCTCCTGGGTTTATGTCTGGTACCTCACAAGTGAATCGGTGATCCATGCCTTTTAGCAAATACGCTGTACCATCAGCGGAAGGATAGCTTGTTGATGAGTCCGATAAGGCGATGGTTTTAGGTAGCACTGAATCCAAACAAATTAGATTAACAAATGATTAGTCAATGCACTGGTACTTTATTATCTTAAATGAATAACTTATATATGCAGCGGAAGTGTACGTCGTGAGAAAGAAACGCAGTGCGCTATCAAAATAGTAGCTGTCGAACATGTCGAACATTAACTTAATCTAAGAGTATACCGTGTTTATACGTCGGTGAAGGGCAAAACCTAATTTGATGCATTACCTCAACGCAAAATTCCATCTTATTAATTAGTCTAAGACACAATCCAATTGGATTCCTTAACAAACAGGCGACATATTGGGAGTCAATTTCCCGATAACCGTGTGCGAGAAGGGAAAACGATGTTATTATAAACCAAACACGTGGAAGGTGATTGGCAGCATGCATTGTCAAAAGTACATGATGAAAGCGAAAGCTAAGACTAGTTTTGTATGTGAATAAAAATTCAAAATCAAATACGTATAAACATACGTACAATTCTTACCGATTACAGTCAAATCAATAGACGATATAATGAGAGTTCCCACCCAATATCTAGCAAAACACCAGAACGTCCCTCCATCAGCAGCCACGTCAACAGAGTGGATAAGCAAGTTGAATGTGTTTGTGTGCCAATCTATTGAGGCGGTGTAAGTCGACGAGTTGTAACCATTGTGATAAATAGGTTCATTGCCAATATGGTAAATGATTTCAGCAATCTGTGTAGGCGACTGAATGGCGCCGTCATCATCTTTCATCCATTCCAGACTTTGTATTGAGGATCCAGTGTAATTGCAGATGAGAGTAGCTTGACTGCCCTCATACACTGTCATGGCAGGAGCTGTTGACACTGAGTCTTGGCTGAATGAAACTGTAAAGAATGGGTGAGGAAAAGAGTAAATGAGACTATAACCTCTAAATCAGAAGAAATTATCGCAAGCCTAGCGTCTACTATCAGCATGTTGTCAGTCGTTCGTCAATTTGTGTAATTGTCTCTTAATTCTTTTTCAAAACAGGTTTGAATAAATGCACGTCAATAAGATATACGATTTCCTTACACTTGTTGCATTCAATTTCCATGGACAGATTCTTTGATTTTGTCCAGAAAAGTCATCAACCCTAAAAGGGCCGGGGTAAGATCCGCCCCTCAACCTTTCTTCCGCGATACCCTTGCCACTTTATTTCCGACCCGAGCTTTCCCGAATTTTAAGCCTCGCGTCTTGCGCATCGTTTGATGCCAAAAACTTAAAATTCCGACCAAGGGTTTCCACGCAGCAAACAATTTTCGGTGCTATGAGCCGTGAAAAGTGATTTTCCCCCTATGTAGTGTACACAAAACAGAATTACCATAGGTGCGTATGACTAATAAATAAGCCGATAATTCCAAAACCCTTTAACCTATAGTCATTAAATACCTTGGGTATGTTCATATTTGTAACATGCATTCACCGAGTTTCATAATTGTTCGTCACTCCATGACCGAGTTCTGAGGGGGAGGGGGGGGGGAATCCCCCCCCCCCCCCCCCCGTTCTGAGATGATCAATTTAATCCGGCTCCTTTATATTTAAGCTCCACTGGTAATTTCGTCCACGTCGAGTTTACACAAATTAATTTCACATTTAAGTCCAGCCGAAAACGCGAACTTGTCTAGCATTATTATTCTTCCTAGTTCGAAAAAGTTGTCAGATGTGAAAAAGCGTTGCATTTGAAAAGGTCGGGTTGAGTGGGCGATCATATACCCTCCCCTGCACTAACACTTGCAACATTATAGCCAGGAACCGAGTCTGAATATTATAATCATTGCATAGGCCTACGTGTACCAAAATCTATCGGAAGTTGAAAACCTTTCACAGTCGTGTACAGATGTTACGGGAAAATGAACATGCTGTACTCATTGTTCAAAACGTACGCCTATATGGAATTTCAAACTACATCACAAATCATATTCATCGGATAAAGATTTATTGAAGGATAAAACAAAATATGAGACAATGAGAATATTCCGTTTCACGTACAAAGTGTACGGTATCATGAAAAACTATTTTTATTATTTGGCGTATAAGGTCTATGAAGGCAGGAAGGGATGCATATTCGTTTTACAAATTAACAATATGGCATATCCCTTAATTATGGCGACATTGTTTAGATCGAACGTCGAATATCTAAAGTTCTTTACTGTTATTCACGCTTGATGCACAGCAATATAATATACACCCAAATGAGCATAAAGAGATATTATGATACAATCATGTAAAGCTGGAAATATAAAATATAAAATGGTAAAAGCCTACATGTATTACCGCATTTACCATATCACGGGATTAACTGAAACGAGGGCATGCGCTCCAATTTACAGAAAGAAACATGACCATTCCATGATATACGCTACAGAACAGGTTTTTAGCAATCAGAATTACGAAATCGGTAAAACGAATTCAATGCAAATATAACTTAATTAACAGAACACATCTACGATGTGAACACACTGTATTATACTCGATTGTGAGTTTAATTTCATTTCTATGAAAACAAGGTTGTAATTATGGAAAATATAAAACCAACGTTTTGATCTACATACCTCTGGGAAAACATGCCAATCCAACTACAATGATGAATATAGGAAATATTGGCTCCATATTGCGGTACCACACAGACCTTCTCGTTGGTTATATCCTTAACCGACGACACACTACAATGATATCTGCTGTACTCGCACAGTCTGACGTATATATTTCTTTTTTTTTTTTTTTTTGGAATACGCTTACCATTTTTAATGAACCCGGAAGTTTCTTTTGATAAAGTTCAAAATCAACAAAGTTTCAGAAGTTTCGTTTTGCTTGTTTTTGAATTGTTGCTTTTGTAAGGAAGAATCAAGGCCAACCAAACTCGCCTGGCCCATTTGATAGAGTGTCATAACTAAACATTACATGAACGAAAGATGGCTATACATTATATACATTGCTTGTGTGTTTTTATAACAATACGAAAGTTTACAATGGAATGTTTACTTGCAACCCAGATATTTTGAAATTGTTTTTGTTTTCAAATAGATGTGGAAATTGAGAACCGTGGATCGAACTTTTATTACACGTTACTGTTATTAGTCAGTTGACGCATTGTTAATCAGAACTCTTCACAAAAAACCAAATGAATACATTCTGTACACCGGAGTCTTGCAGCTGTCAGGGCATCGACATGGGCGTCGCGAGGGAGGGGCAAGTGGGCACTCCCCCCCCCCCCCCAACGAAAAAAGGGGGAAAGAGAAAAAGGAAAAAAACGGGGTGGGGGGGGGGGGAGAGGTGCTGCAGCGAAGCCATACTGCAAATTTGATGGGCGGGGCGGGGGGGGGGGAGGTAGGGCAAAGGCTCTCCTGCTGACGCTCGGAAAAATGATAAATTGAGAGTACATTGAAAAAGTTAAAGAATTTTGGGGAAAACTTTGCTTTGCCCCCCCCCCCCGAAAAAAATCCTCGCGACGCCCATGGGCATAAAGTTTTGAGCCAAAGTGCAGACATGCCATTACAATTGTAATGAAGAGTTTATGACTTCACATAATGTGACTTCGAAATGACCGGGTTCCTGGACCCTGAACATTCTGCCTATTTTTATTAGGAAAGCGCCAATGTCACGTGACTAACCAAATTCCAAAAAATGCCCGAATTTTACCGTAGTTTTCGTTCCGATGTTCCTATATTATGTTCAGGTTAAGAAAAAAGATTATGTGAAGCAATAACTCTAGTTTGAATATTTGATAAAACAAAACAAAAATTCTGATAAAATAATCTGTAAGTTACTATATCATACTTAATATCTTGTTTTTAATGCGTGTTCATAAAAGTTATTTTCGGCGAGTGGCAGTGACCAGCTATTCTGTCAAGCCATTCTGTCAAACTTTTTTTCTTCAAATTAATGTTCGTGCTTTAAATTACTCCTTTAACTTGCGTAAATTATAAACAATTAGTCTGTGTGCATTAAAAGTTGCAGCCTAAGCCATAAATGTAAAGTTCATTTATCCAGATCGTATTCATTGACCAATGGATTGTCCTCCAGTACCCGCCCGCGTTTTGTTTCTCTAGGAGAGCGGAGCTATATCATGAACATTAAGCAGCTTCGATGGGACCATTGCAAGACACCTATTAGTTTCTCGAATTATTTCCCCTCAATGAAAATTTGAAATTTGAAGAAAAAAAGTAGAATAATACGGGCAAAAATGAAATTTTTCGTTCCTTTTGATTGTTTTTCTCAACGACATCCATTTTTTGAAATGCTATGTCTTGATTATATAACAATATTGCTTACGTCAGTGTTTTGTTTTTATGAATAAACACAATTTTCCCATCAAAACTACTGAATATTCAGGAAAATCGCTTCACCCGCTGACGAAAAAAATCGCTCCTGCCCGCATACTGTGGCAGTGTAATTACTCTAAACTTCACGAAATCGTGCGAAAAATGTACAACCGAGAACTTGAAAGTATTCTTCAAATATGTCATTGAAAAAAAGACTGTGCTGTCTTTTACAAATATTCTCGCTATACGTGGTGCATCGAAATATATACCACATGCATTTCTTACGGCACTTTTTAAAGTGTAATTTAATGGCAATGTTAACTGTACATTTTATTTATCATCGCGTTATCTCACCCTCTGTTTCCTCTGAGCAGGGACTGAACCTTATTGAAAATTGCTGCCAGTGTGTTCTGTCAGACTAACATTGGATCTTAACTACAAAAACGTAAAACTTAATACTTATTGAAATCAAAAAGTAGAATTAATGCTAGTTGAAATCAAAAGTAAAAGTTTACGCTAATTGAAATCAAAAAGTAAAACTGAATGCTAGAAGAAAACGAAAAGTACAACTTAATACTAATTGAAATCAAAGGTTCTTTCATCTAATACGTAGGATTGATAGTAAGAAGTACTGTTTTGCCACTGCTTCTATGTACAATGCAAGATTATTCAAACACTTGTACTTTTTGTCTATTCAGCTTTTGTCTTCTATTTTACAAATGTTATGCTTAGTGAAACTAAAAACATATTATTTAAATATGATAAAAGTGTCATCACAAAAAGTAATCAAATTCGAAATGTAAGTTTGTTTGTAAGATGTAAGTTTATATATATTAAAACCGTAAAACTTTAATGTGGTTTTGTTTGCCCTTCACCACTGTAACTTAATAAGTACGGTCACTACTGTGCTATCACACAACCTGTTACATACTTCCCGATACCAACTTTCATATTAATTGTTTACGTTGACAGTTGTCTCTTCCTTTCCCGGATACATTTTTTTTACAGTAACATAACATGATTAACATAAGTATACAATTGAATAAATCAAAGAATTCTCCGATGTCTTCCATCTTAATGCGACCCAGTCCATCTTACACCTTCTCGCCTGCTCCTTGTTCCAGCACCACTTCATAAACGGTCCTTTGGAAATCCTTGATTGATATGAATTCCTGTCGACCAAATTAAACGGGAACCAACCATTATATTTGCGTAGCGCCCTCACTCGGAAGATAGGGAAAATCACTGTTTTTACTCATCAATCTGTTGTTTGCATTGACATATAATTACACTAAGATGCCAGCGGTACCGACAGTTTATCTAGGCAATATTTTAATCAATAATGAATAACAAATAGGAAGGATTTGCCTGCAAAGTAAAGTTTTTTCTCAATGGCCTTAACAGAAATGTAGTTGCTTTGTTACTTGAATTCCTTTTGTTTCAAAAGGAGTACCAATGGCGGTTCTCTAGTAGTCCTGATGATAGAAATCGCGTACCTTTCCCTTGTTGATGTATTTTTCCAGCTCGGCACTGATCATCGTAAAGGTCGGTCTGTTGTCTGGATCATCATCCCAACATCTAAGCATCATTGCATACCTGCAGGAAAAAATGGTATGCTATAATAAGCCGTTTTTGACAATATTTAAACAGATTCAGGAAAAAGAGTCCAACTATTACAGGGAAACAAAAATAATTTAGAGAGATAGTACTCACAGTTCCTGTTGGCAGTGTTGTGGTTTGGGCATACGGTAGCCAGACTGAAGCTTACCAATCATCACATTCGCTGTCATAGCGGGGTATGGACGAGCACCTTTATATACACAATGCAAATAACATTTTCAAAAAAAAAAAAATTGCAGGTTTTTTTTTTCAAATTGAAAGCGATATTAAGATATATTTGTATAAAAACTAAGAGAACGAGCACATTTTTCTGCAGTCTTCCCGAGAAACTCAAACCATGAACCACAGGATTGTTTTGATGCAGATGTAAAATGTATTCAACATGGAATGGCGATCTTTTGGAATGAACTTACGAACATTGTATGGCCTAGCTCACACCCACTCATGCAGTATTTTGCCTGAACGTTTGTCAAAAATGGAAACTTCTTTTGCTTGTTGTTTTATTTTTCAGACGTAATTGCCGAAAATATTACCTAGAGTAACTATCTCCCACAGAAGTACGCCATAAGACCATACGTCACTCTCCGCTGTGTACACGTCATCCAAAATAGACTCTAGAGCCATCCAGCGCATGGGTAGGGGACCCTGCAAAATTAATGTGTCCACAATTATTACAACTAACGATTTTGGAATTGTGTGGAACCCCAAAAAAATCCTGACTTTTTGTTCTCTTGTTTTGTCTTCGCCACACTCACCTCTGACCTTCGTTCATATACTCGGATGTTCATGACGTCACGAGCGAGTCCGAAATCAGACACCTTACACGTCATGTCCTCAGCTACAAGCACGTTACGGGCAGCAAGGTCCCTGTGAATGCACTGTGTATCAACAAATATTATTTCACTTTATTTACGGAAGCTGTCTTGATTTTTTTTGTCAACAAAACTCCTGATCATAAAATTATCTAGTTTTATCTAGTTAGAGTGTACCTGTTGAGATGAGATGAAAGCCATTCCATCAGCAACATCTTTAGCAAACTTCATCAGATCCTTGGAGGTAAGTGACTTACTGATACCATGCAGGTTGCCATAGACACGCCCTCCCTTACTACGACTGTCTTTAAGAAGGTCTTTCAGGTTGCCTCTAGACAGATATTCCACGATGATATATGGCGGGTCTGTGAAATAACAAGAAGTTAGGAAGCTTAGGTCTACTTTGCAACAATCAATCAGTTTAGCCTTCTAAAGACAATATGACTGATGTTCAGAAACACCATGTTACAAAACTCTCACATCTTACAACTCGTCCAACTACCGTATTCGAAACAAGTAACTCTAAGCACAAATAAAAGCAAAAGGCTCCGCGCACTATCTGTTCAACCTAACGCACCCTATCAGTTTGCACTAAATAAGCCTCGTAAACAAAGTGTGACACCATCAGTACATCAGGCTTAGTTGTATTGATTAAAATTGAAAGGATATAGATGGTTCAAACTCACTCTTTTGGCTTATAACAATACAAAAATACTAAATAGCACTATTAACTGTTTCCTGACAAAGTCCCCACAAAAACCATGAAATAACTTCCAATTCTTTGCAAAATCACGTTAGTGGACTGTTTTGCTTTTTACCTTCCTCTACACAAAACCCAAGGAGCCTGACTACATTACAATGGTCTGGTAACTTCTTCATCAGGTCTAGCTCCCTCATCATGTCAGCCTTATCGCTCTGGCCGGCTCCCTCTGCGGAAGTGAGTCCATGAAAAAAATAGTAGTTATCGTTTGACTAGTCAAAAATTCACGATTTTTCTCACTTTCTCCTAAAACTCTGACTTAATTTGATGCTCCAATCTACAAACTGGCAAAAGTGACAAAATATAGCAAATTACCAGGAAGACTACAACATCTTCCTCATAACATTACATCTAACCTTTAAGTGTCTTAACAGCAACCAGTGTGACCTTTGACCCCAGTGTCATCCCCGAGGCTTCAGCTAGAAGCACAAGACCGAAGTTGCCATGTCCGAGCTCTTTGATAATCTTCAGCTGATCACGTGGGACTGACTTATGTGCAGTTGGGACATTTGCATAATCCACCCTTTCTGGTTCCTGATTGGTTGGCCGACTAATGATGGCTAATTCTAAAATAAATTAATTCAAAATATATTAGCACCTCAAATAGTTGCAAATGTATACAGTCGACTCTCGTTAGTACAAACTCTGTTAATACAAAATTCTGGTTATAACAAACATAAAGCCTTAGTCCTGACTGTGCAGTTATGTGCACAATAAATGGGACTGATGTTCCTCTTAATACAAAATTTTGATATAACAAACAATTTGGCTAGATCCGAACGAGTTTGTTATAACGAGACTCGACTGTAATTCGTTTTATTCACAATTCACACATTTTATTTTGAGCTATCCGGTAACATAAGAAAGTTCTCCATCTCGGCTATGTTGCCGAGAATAAATGTGAGAATACCTCATCAATTTTGAATTGTTCAGGTTTTAATATCTGTAATTATGTTTTTCATTGTTTTTAATGCGGCATGTTTTGCTTGATTTTATTCTCGTCATTACTGGCCGAGGTATCCATTAAGCAATTTACTTCTTTTTAAATTAATTTATTGGGTGCTATCATACCCGTTATTTCTTGGTAGGGTGACTGTGCGTCGGATTGTGGAATTGTGGAATGACGTTGCACGTCTGTCCTGTAAAAAAAAAAAAAAAACAAGAATAAGCCGACTTGCATTCGGCAACAAAATGGATAATCAAGCACGACCGAGCATCAGGTCGTGTAGTAATGAAGGCTGCATTTCTTTCCTGTTTTCTCGCACTGCAACAGCATTGATACTCAACCAGAAACCATAATCGCTAGGATTTTATATAAGTTTGTATTGTGTCGGAATGATACTCAAACACTCACATTTCAAAACGGAGGGCAATCTGTTATTCAGTCGCGGGCATTTTAAATTAACGATGACTTGGCTTATGGGTCATTGAACTTACATTGACAAATCCACGGTCTCTCTGTCCTCTGCAATTAAAAGCAATTATCTCAATTAAAAGTCAATATAGGTTAAATTATATTTAAGGTGAACGTGAAAGGCAGGCCAGGGCGTCTTCTATATTGTGGACTGTGAGTTCATTACAATTGATTGTTTCTGTTTCAATTCAATTTAAATTTCATGTTTGTGTGTAGAAGCATATTTAAAAAAACAATACAGTTGTAGTCAACAAAAATCTAAGACAATAGAGAGTGTTCCGTTACGAAAGCATCTCACACTTCTCAATCTTACCTTTGCCGTGATTTCCAAAGTTCCTCTTTGCGAAGACTCCGAGCACGACGATGGCAATTAACACGAAAAGTCCGATGATGACACCGACAATGACACCGACACTGATCCCAGGATTGTCACCAGGCATGTCGGGTGCAGGCGGATCTTTCACTTAAATATGAAACAAACAAACAACCAACCCAACAAACAAACTAATCAAAGTTTTGCTACTTCAAACACTTCTACAGCATTTGAAATTTGTATTGCTACTAAAATATTTTTTTTGGATTCGATTTGAACGCATTACCTTACTTAAATGCCAATCAATTTAACATGACATCCTTACCAACGTTTATCTGTAAAGTGAGAGACTTAAGATTTGATTACCTTTCCTAACATCCGTTGGTTGACTACACAAGCCACCAATGCAAAGTCTGGCGCGGACGGCTTCAATGTCCCCTACAGCTCGTCTTCTTCGCCTCTGTGATGACGCACACCATTCAGAGAGCGTCACTGTCTGATCAGACTCAATGCAATCTCCACACTCCTGCCAGGTGTCGTTGCCTTGGTATTGGACTTCCAGCTGGATGCATCCATTCTCCTCCTTCAACCACTCGACTTTCATGGAACCAGAATCCGTATTAAACTCGATGACGATCCCTGGAAAGATGTGCCACAATTTAGAGCCATAAGTTCCAAGCCTTTAGTCCAGTCCATTACAAGTCATCCGGTCCCAGTTCAACTCGCAAGATATTCCAATGCATGTTTACAAAGATAGTTTCCTTTGTTATTGTTCATCCACTGCTAATTGTGACTTGACTTGTGGCTGAATCTGTGACGGACTCGACTACATCCCTATCACTTCTTTCAGAATGGGGAGCAAGTACACAAACCCAACTGAGCCGCTACGTTAACTGTTCAATTTTGTCATCGAGTAGAGTCCAGGTCGGAGTTAGTAAAAAATACAGAAAACCAATTCAGCCAGTTGATATACCGATTGGTTCGCTTACCTGTTTCCGGTGAGGGCGGGCTTGCTGAAAGGATGCAGATATGTTTAGCAAATCATGAAAATAAGAAGAAAAAAGAGCTGACTTATCTGAGAAAAATGAATTACATTGATCGTTTTCATAAGAAATGCACTTTTGAAGATATCAAATTTAATGCAATGAAAACATGCTTACATCTGCTCAGATAATATCCTAAAGAGTGTGCATTGATGATGAACAGAGCACACTATTCGAAACGTCGACTTAAAACAACTGGTTCTTCTCAGAACCACACAATTCAAGAGACATTATTAGTATATTACTCTTCGCTCATATAACATAACGATAAACAACCTGTTGATTTCAAAAGTTTCTATAAGAACATCTGAAAACAAAATAAAAGCGGAACTCTAGACCGTATACTTACGCAGTGTATATCCCATTGTGTTGCCATATCCAATGCTTTCACCAATGGAATTCTTGGCATACACCCTGATCTCATACTCTGTGTAGTCATCCAGACCCGTCGCTGTGGATGTTGTCTTCCCACCTGTCTCTTCAGTGAATACCTCTGTGGAGTCTGATGTCTTGATGCAGCTGACACGGAACGACGGAGTCTCACCGCCATCATAGCCCGCGGTCCATGTCACAGTCAGAAACTCTGCCGTCCTCTCGGTTATCTCAACACTAGTAGGCTTGTCTGGTCGTTCTGCAGGAAACAGGAATGTGTAAAGACAACTTCAGATAAATGAGTAAAACGCACATCAATAACAGAACAAGAGAATGTTGTAAATGATCGGCTTTAATATACATGTTGTCTGTGGATTATTATAGGAGGACAACAGTAATCTTTATAGAAAACACAGGCAGTATATTGTCGGTCTTTATTCTTATTTAAATTATTAAATGATATTCCAATCATTTAATAATTGACTTCATCATTTAATTGTATCATCTACGCCCCAATTTTAATACATGTCAGATTATTCAGTGATCGATATAACATGACAAGACATCTTATAGCGGAATACTTCATTATCTACGTTATTTTGTAATCCCGAATTTGTGAAATTATCTTACTTATTCCAGTAAGTGTGATGGTCAGTGAGTTTATTCTTCCGATGCCATTCGAACTGTTGCAGGTGTACACCCCGTAATCAACTCCGGAATCTACGGCGTTGATGGTTAACGTGCTGGTGACTTCGAGTGCAAACATTCCGTCTCCACCAGATATCTCATTTGTAACAAGGAATTTTCCGTCCTGAGAATCAGTAGTTATATCCGTGTTGTTTAGACCATACCACTCCATGACTGGCCGAGGATTGCCCACAGCGACGCAGGTCAAGACAGCATCATCGCCATCGTTGACTCCTACTTCGATCATTGCTTTATTGGTGATGTTGACCTCGTCTGTGTGGGAAAATGATACAGGTAATTAATTTAACTGCACCGTGTCTAGTTTATGCAGTCCCATTAATTTGAAAAAAAGTGCTTTTTATTAAATATACCAAATCTGAAGACACAGATGCAGTGTCAATCTAAGTATGATGTCTATGTCCATAAAATAATGGAAGTAACTAAAGTCGTTTTTCATTTGTCTGTCCAAGCTCAGAAAGCGAGCGTGTTATACCTTCAAGACGGCCATCAAACAAGTAAGAAGATAACTTGAACAAGTAAGACGATAAATGTAATAAATCGAAACCTGTTTTAATCCAGACACGCTATCAATTCCATCGGCGCAGCTAGTGTTCTCAGCATTGGAGGGCGGGGGGAGGGGGCTGGAGGTAACAATAGGGGGGGGGGGCAGTTTGGAAGTATCCAAGGTAGATAGTTTGTTTGGACATCGGTCCCGGCCTCCGTACAATCAAAACGCTTGGGGGGGGGGGGGCACAACCGTAAAAAATACACCCGTTCGTGAAAAGGAGTAGCACATTTTCAGTGGTGGGGGGGGGGGGGGACCGGGGCATTATTTTGTATGGGGAGGGGTGCAGAAACGCCGCTGATTGCATCACGAAGGCCCCCCTCCACTGGCGAAAACATTGAACTATAGCTATCATTTAGATAATCCATCATGGGGTATGTTGAATTGTACAATATAATTTACGGCAATGGTTTCTTCACCGCAGGGGTCCTCTTGATTCTACGGCGATCACGTGCAAAGAGTTTGTTTATCCTCACAATGAAAAAAAAGACAGGTAACATGTAAAAGTGTTATGGTAATATCGTTACATCATAACTTACACTGCACAATAACAGGGACTTTAGTTGAGACCACATCACTACTGGGATCGTCGGTAGGTACACCGTTGTTGGTTCTACAGGAGTAGTACCCAGACTGCTCCCTTGTTATTCTACCAAGAGTCAGTACACTGGCCATACTAATGTCATTGTACACGGACATATCATAACTTGGTGCAATACCAGGACCTTGCTTCTCCCAAATGATGTCATCGGGTCTTGGGTTGGCATCTACCAAACAGGACATTGACACATAGCGTCCTTCAAAAACAGGGTTTGCGGGTGATGACACTGCTAAAAATACAGGAACATCTGATGGTGTAAAAAAAAGAAAAAATGCTATAATTCGAACACAGTGAAAACTACTGTATGTGATCAAATTCAAGGGAGACAAACATAAAATAAACAAAGCAATGTTTGGTGAATTTTGACCAAAAGCCCAGTAAAATTCGACTACTTAAGACAGAATGGCTATCCACTGGAACTCCTTTCTTGCACGTGTGACCACAATGGGCAGGATATGGCCGATTCATTTGCGTTATCATCTTTTTTAGCACTAAAGTGACAGCTATAAGAGTCAGTCAGGCATTCATTTGTTATATTCTTTAATTTACAGCTTAATTACTTGGACACAAAAACGACCTGAAACGTGTGTATTGAAGGCCCTTAGATACACTGAACAGTGGCGTAGTACATCATATTTATTGGGGGGAGGGCATTTCTTGAAAAATTTAAACAGGTTTTTTTTCTCCGGACACCTGGCCTCCGTAAAATCAACAAGCGGAATGGGTGGGCAATCTGTCGATGGGGTCGCTGTTCAAAACCGACGATTATGCACACGAACGGACAATATATGGTGCTCTTCAGGGCGATACATGCGTGATATTTAAAAAAAGGTACCAGGAACGGCCGATGGCACAAAAAGGGCTGCACATCTTTTTAAAAAGGGCACTTGTTCAGAAAAAAGGGCACTTCTTAAAAAAGGGCACTCTTTACAAATTATTGGGGGTAAGCGTTGGTAAAAAAAAGGCATTGAGTGGAAAAGGGCAGTCTTTACAAAATATTGGGGGAGGGGGTAGAAATACCCCCCCCCCGCTTGCTACGCCTATGCTGAAATGAGGATACATTAAAACCGTCATCATTGAGGTCGTGGGTAACGTGCTATTATGCGTAGTAAATCTTAACAGGGCAATGGCTGTTTTGCCGGGATATGCATAAATGATTTGTGCATTCACTCTCACCGAATCAAAATAACAAAATATGTCTTCGAAGATGGCCGCTACGTATAACAGTGGACATTAACTAATTTCGAGTCACGATTTACTCCCAACAACTGAATCTACAGTGAAATGTATTCAGTGGAATTTATTTAATTCTGATTTTCAACTGGGTAGCCCATTCAGTGGGATCAACTGGTCTCCCATGGGGCCCAGTAAATAGAAGACAATGAGAAGAAATTACAGTTTCAGATTGTGGAAGGAACACCATAGATTAGAAGAATAGTCTGGGGAAAACCCACGGAATCAGGTAGGAAAACTCAATCCACATGCCCATAGGGATCGAACCCGGGTCAGGGCGTTAGAAGGCGAGGAAAGTACCGCTGTAGCTAACCCGGATTGATTGAGTTTTCATGGGTTCTTTTTTTCCAGTGTATTTCAATAAAAAAAATATTGAAAAATTGTTTGCTCCCTTTTCAATCTTTGGAATTTATAGAGTATGCGTTTACTTTTCATAAACTCACATCGTACGTCGATAGGTCCCAGCGTTCCTTGAGGGCTAACCGTCCACGAAGCTCTCTGTGCAGCACACGTTATGTTGTTTCCACTATCTTCCTTTCTCGGAGTCAAGTTCAAAATGCTGGTAAAATTGAAGCGGCTACCTGCTGCAGACGAGCTCGTATTGGTACCAGTTATAGGTGAGCCTCCATTGGACCAAACTAAAGTCCAGTCATCAGGATATCCCATGTCTGCTGTACACGTCAGTATAGTTGGAGCATCTTCAATCATTGCTGCGCCTCCAATGATCACAGGGGTTGCAGGGGGACCTGGACAAGCAATAAGAAGGGCTTTCGTCAGTTCTGCCAATCAAGTACTGAGGTGAACATTTTGCATTACTGAAATCACCATCAAACGGGACTTTATTTTATAGATGTATTTCCCGTTGTATTTCGTATTTTAACACGAACACATTTTGTCCTTAATTGCTTTGTTTTTTGAATTACTTGCGGCCAAACAATAAATCCATTTTATTCAAGGTGTAGAGGTAGGCTGGTTCCCGCCCACAATCAGTATCTATTATCTATGGACCTGGAGCCAGTCTGCTCGTATTAAGGTGATTACTTTTTGTCTTTTTTGAGGGTTTCAGACATAGTGATAAGATGTAAGATTGGAATAAAACCAAACCTAACATGGAACAAATCCAGTCGCACTAAGATTATTTGTACTTAATTTGTCCAAAAAATCTCTTTCCCTAATTGTGTTGCCCGACCTTTTCTACACTTTGGACTAACATAAACCATGTTTCTCATGTTTACAATGGGTAGCGAACGATAAGACCATGTTATTTTACATTCAAATAATGCTTACATAACAAGGGAAATTAATACTTAAAAACACATTCTTTTAATTGACAGTTTCAATTGTGTCGATTTCAAATGAAAACATTCTACTGAAATTACAAATTAAATGATTATGCTTAAAATAGTTTAAGATCAAAATTCCCCCACTCCTTCCGCCTAAGAATTAAGAGCCAACACCATGATTCTGAAATGGCTAAACAATTTTTGCAAAATTAGATATTGACATTTGTAATTGGAGGCAACAACACAACTTTCCACGATCAACGAACTTTTACTCTGGCTGTAATATAAGACAACCTGAAAACGGTAGGAAAGTTATAACGAATACTGACCTCTTACGCGCATGTCCTTGGTGGCTATGTGGTTTTGGAATGGACTCCGAGTGTAAATTTCACACCAGTACATTGCTTCGTCATCAAATGTCACCGACTTAATGGTCATTGGGTATCCTGGGGAGTCCCTGTCCAAGGAATAGTGGACGCTGTTGTGGTTAATAAACTGACCCGTAAGCACCGACCACTCTAAGAATGGCACTGCGTTATAATTACCGAGTGGTTCCGCAACGGGACTTATGTGCCAATTTAGGGCAAATATCGGAGTAGTATCGTTCAGTGTGCATGTGAATACTGCGTCCTGCCCAGGATCTACCCATTCGGGTCCAGTTAAAACAAGCTCCACGAACGCCTCTGTAACAGAAAATACAAAAAAACATAGTTTGATATAACTCCATAGCTACATTACTTTTTTTTAAGCCGAGGCGTTATAATGTTATGAGTTATACGTGGAATTCAGTACTATTTTAAATGTTTGAATCTTGTAAAGAGGGCTTTCAGTTTCCCTCAAAATTGTCTTGTATGTGAAGATTAGCGGCTGACGGTATGAACACCGATGATCTGGGATGTTTCAATCATAATCCGTTCAAAAACCTTACAACTCATATAGAATATCAGATATTTTAGACTTACAATTAAAAAAAAAAAAAAAAATCAATGAAGTTGTTCTTACCTCCTTGAAAACTTAATAACCCAATTGCAAAAATGTGAAAAATGAGTGCCGACGCCATCGCACCGAATTACGCACGTAGGCAACTTCACTGAACGAGACGAGACGAATGCCAGGCCTACGGGGTATAGTGCATTAAACTTACTGAATCATTTTCCACCCAATCTGAACCAGGTATTCCCTTTTTTGCGAGCCTACTGAACAAATTATAAAGCCAAATGAAAGGATAAATACTTGCATTGAAACGGCACGGGTCAGATATTTGCGCAAAACCCACACAATAGAGTGCATGGTGCTTAGTCATTCACACAAGGTACAGAGAAGGTCTATGGGCTTACGTGTAATTTGTCACGACGTGGTTTTGCTAGCGACCTTGGCAGACCTTTAAATCCAAGTTAAAAATGCTTGCAAGTTGTAACAGTGGACAAGGTGTGTTTGTACTTTTGGACAGCATACATTTGTATCGCAGGTCCACATAAAAAAACAAACACCTGTACAAACAATAACGAATAAACGAAGACACTATATGCATGTATTCACGGCGACAGTACTTCATTTTCACTCCTACAGTCCGATGACATCAAATTAAAATGTTTTGTTTGATGATTATTGAAATTCAATCAGTGTACTCTACACACGTACTCTGGGACTGCTTGTAGCTCACAACCGATAATGCATTTTAGTATTAAGGACGATTGAGTGGGTTGAACAACCTTTTTAATGAGGGCGCTCTTTGAAATATGCAGTTTACGCACAGACTATGGCTGTGCACAACCAAGGTTATTTTTAAGTAAGATTTGAGGCTTTGCATGGTGGAGATACTAAATAATGAAAGGTTTGCGGAAACACCATGTGCGAATAATTTCTCAACTAAGAGAATGGTTCTGAAAACAACCAGAGGTATAAACTCGACGTTCCGGTCAGTATGCTCTGACCGTCTTCCTCTCCTGAAGACGGTCAGAGCATACTGGCCGGAACGTCGAGTTTATACCTCTGGTTCTTTTCAGAACCATTCTCTTAGTTGAGAAATTATTTGCACATGGTGTTTCCGCAAACCTTTCATTATTAAGGTTATTTTTGTTAAACCATGCTCAATTCTGCATCATTCAAATGAATCCCAGAGTGTTGTAGGGGCATACCAGTATTTAATCTCAACTGAAGTTTTCTATACTTGAATTTTGGATCATGTGTTCCAGTCGTTTACGCTGGAATATTTGAATTGCTTCGCACAGCTACAGTATAAATATGAATATAAAAGTATAAGACAAGCAAGCAATTTCTTTTCCTTTTTTTGGAGCTGACATTTTAATAGTCTATGGAAATGAAGTCATACCTTTTTGATAAATACAGATTTGGGGAGATTATTATGAGAGTTTTTGTAATTTATGTCACCATGAACCACGCTTTTGACAAGAATAACGTGCTTTCTATTTTCAATTTGCATTTTGCCATTTGCAATGGTGTTTGGTACCTTTTGGACCTTAATGCTACAGCTCTTTCAGCACCAAAGGTTGCCGAAATTGTGAATATCGTTACTTTTTTGTAATTCGTTGGTGCGTCTGTACAAAACAGAAAGCCAATGAGCAATCTTTTCCACCAAACAAAAACATTAAATTGATAAGCACATTTTTGGGTTCACAATTTGATCAAAAAAACCCTAAACTGGACAGTGTCCCGAAATGACGTCACAGCAACCGCGTCCACAGTTGTCCTGAAAAGCATGGACAATTTTAAATCATAAAGTGCACTTTTCAATAAAATTTACCAAAAAGGGATATCACATATTTTCATACATTTAGGAGGACTGGTGTGGAAAAATTGCAAAGGGTCCTCAGAAAAAAAAAAATCGCTTCAGTGATCCTTTTAAGACGGGTAAAACGCGCAAATGAATTTAATTTTGTTTTTAATATTTCCTTCGCATTTTTAGTTATCTACATGTATATGTATATGAAAGCTTAGTGGCTTGCACAGTATGAATCTGTGTTTGTCCTTCAACTGCTACTTGTATTTGGTTTCTAGCGGAAGTTCAGTACAGCTATGGTGTGAAAAGTTTAGTATCAACGAAAAACCAAACAAAATAACACCTAACGAGGATAACATGTGATTAAAATTAAATGAGTATGCGTGGCCCATTTGGCCTTAACTGCGGAAGGACACATGCATTCCTGGAAACATTGTTTTCGTAGCAGCTGATGGAAAGACACTTGATATCAAACCAGCTTTAAATTAAAGAGAGCAACGTGAATACCCAGTAAACAGAGAATAGATGACTTAAAGAGAAACCCATTTAATTGTCTATTTTGTCTTCGTAATGAACAAACGTGTATCTCATCAAAAACCTGAAACTCTTGACAGAATTATCTCGTGCCCCCCCAAAAAAAATCAGACCCAAGTTTATTTGTAATATATATCATATGAAACGGTTGAAAGGTATACTATAGAAGTCAATGTATAATATCAGATGAACAATCATTAGCATTATATTCGTAGTCCATTTTATTCTACTTGCATTTTCCATCATTGCAGCGGCGTAGCTCCGGGGCGTAATTTTTATTCCTAGGAGGGTTAGGGGCAATGTCATGAATAATTCATGTTTATCCATGAGAACGGACAATGACATCAACAGCATTGTTGTTAGTTACTCAACTAGTTACAATACATTACAGCATTTTAAAGAACGGTTGTCGTCGAGCTACCACACAGTAGCCTAGTGGATAGCGAGATGAGCTATGGATACAAAGATCTCTGGTTCGAATCCACGTCGTCGCTGCTCATTTTTATCAGCTAGTTTTCTTTTCCAAATTTATCACTGAGATAATTTTAAATTAAGGGGAAAATAGAACGAGAACCTAAGTCTTGCAATGATTCAAAGGAAAAACTGAATTATTCATGACATTGCCCCTAACCCTCCTAGGAAAAAAAATTACGCATATGGTGGGTAGGGAAAGGCTACATTATTCGGGAAGGGAATGAAAATCAATTGGTCCCCCTCCCCCCCCCCCCCCCCCCCCCCTGCCGCCCTCCCCCTCCCTGGAAATTTGCCAAACAGAAAAAATCCCGAAACCATGATTAGCGGGTTTAATAAAAGTGCCCATTTCAACATTTTAAAATATATTTTTAGACGAAAACCGCTGTTTATTTTAACGTCCCGTGTAACGCGTATAATTATTTTCAACAGCGCCGCCATTGGAAGATGGTGTCCACAGCCCCCCCCCCCTTGCCAACCCCACTATTTAATTTCACGGAGGCCGGTGTGCGGTGAAAAAAAACCCATGTCTACCTTTGAGCACGTGTTCATCGTGATGACAATTTAACTCTAGAACAACACAAATTAATCATAATTCCCATGTCAAAACCTAAACAAAATACGTGCAACGTGTGCAACTTAGATGAGTTCAACAATTATACATGTAGATGTATTCAAAAAAATGTTCTCACCTGTAAGAAAACAGGACAGTCCTACCGCTAGGAGGCAAATGTTGGCTACCGGCTTCATTTCCTACAATGTGTTGTGGCTGTCCAACAATACTGAACCTTTAGTCCTTTACAACAATATTTGTTCCGTCTTGAAGTTCGCGTTATTTATTAATCCGTCCTGTCAAATGAAAACTGTCAAAAGAAGGGATTACTTCGTTTTTATCCCAGAAATATGCCGCTTTCAGTGTTGAACTGTTTTGAAGAAAGATTGTTTAGGCTTAGGGTTATAAATGTATGTGTTATGTTACCACACGTGACAGAAGTGTTTTACAGGAAGCTATGGAGGGCGGCATGCGTATGACCTGCATCCGGTGATATTGTGAGAGATACTGAAAACCTATCAACGGGCAGCAAGGGCGCAAAGAAATGAATCAACAGGCAAGTTCGATTGGGGATTAGTGGATGACTAGCGGTTGATTCCAGGCTGTGCTGCGCCTGCGCGCTGATTACAAAGTGCGATCGTATCTGGTCGAACAATGCTGGAACTTGGAAACGATACTTCTCCATTGGCAGATCCATTGGGGGCGGGGGGGGGGTATTGGGAAGGTCACTCCCACCTCCTCCTTCCGACTGACCATTGACCTATGTTGATTATGCACACTAACAAATGCACATTTTCCTTTAAGTTCCAGGAATAACGTCATTACTCAGTATTGCAAATCCTGATTCATTGCTACAGGTCCCCTAATACCCTGACTGCAAGCCTCATTCCCCCACTCAAAAATCAATAAATAAATGGACTTTAAAACCTAAACAACTCCTTTGGTAAATCTTGGTACGCCACTGTTCGCGTTCCTGGTTCCTCGCTCAATTTGTCTACAATGTGTGTCAAAATGGTGTGCCCGGGAATTGGTAATCAACCCCAGCCAATGTGGTCTCAACTCCATTAATATACCATGAAAAACAGAAAAACATCCTCTAGGGATCTTGACTAGGAGGTCAAGAAGAATAGAAGAATAGAAGATCATGACTTACCTGAAGATATTCAAACCAAATATTACAGCAAACACGTTAACACGCTGCTACTTGTCATCCTCTTTCCAAAATCTTGTTTTATAACTGCCGACTGCGAAAGAAACAATTGCAAGGACAAGGGAAGGAAAGCTATTCCTCGTACGGATAAAAAACAGTTTATTTTGAAATAAACCAATTATCAAAGCAGTGTGTATAATTCAATTTGCTGTAATATGTAGTTTGAATATCTTCAGGTAAGTCATGATCTTCTTTTCTTCTACCTTTAATAGAAAGCCTAGAACCTTTTCTCAATAAACATCCATTCAAGTCCAATACATCGAAGTCCTTGAACTACAAATATTGTGAGCAGCTGTGATTTTTGGTTTCCTTGTGTATCAATCAATTAAAGTCAATACCTACCGGGCATAAAGAAGGTCAACACAAATGCAACAAGTAACACACTTTCTACTGACGCCATTTCCCGCTCCTAGCCTTGGCTGTTGACAAAAGCGTCTGAATGTCTCTTGATCTGGATCCGGATGCGTAATTTTTTTTCCTAGGAGGGTTAGGGGCAATGTCATGAATAATTCAGTTTTTCCTTTGAATCATTGCAAGACTTAGGTTCTTGTTCTATTTTCCACTTAATTTAAAATTATCTCAGTGATAAATTTGGAGAAGAAAAATAGCTGATGAAAATGAGCAGCGACGACGTGGATTCGAACCAGGGATCTTTGTATCCATAGCTCATCTCGCTATCCACTAGGCTACTGTGTGGTAGCTCGACGACAACCGTTCTTTAAAATGCTTTAATGTATTGTAACTATTTGAGTAACTAACAACAATGCTGTTGATGTCATTGTCCGTTCTCATGGATAAACATGAATTATTCATGACATTGCCCCTAACCCTCCTAGGAATAAAAATTACGCGATCCGGATGCTCAATATCGTGTATTTGATGAACGCACTGTTCAAGCTTGTTGAAAGTACGTACATGTACACATAGTAGGAAGGCAATGCTATATGATCCCGGAAGTCTGCTTTTGTCGGGGCTGAATGAGTGTTAGATACGTTTGACAGATGGAGAATATCGAGCAGGTCTTCCATGGACATCCATATTTCCTAACTGTTTTAACAATCTGGCGAAGTTAGACGTCTCGTTATCTAAAACAATTATTCTACGAAGTCAAAGGCAATAATGAAAAGTTGGATAAAACACTGATGGGCAATGTTATATTTCCAACATTGACATTAAATTACCTTATTGTTGGAATAATTCGGGTAAATTTTTTTCAAGTGTTGGGAAGAATCTGTACAAGAGTGTCGGCAGTTGGTATAATATCCTCCTAGCCATGCCGACTAGTCTTCCCCATTTTTCCTTTAAAAAAAAAATATCCTCCTTATCATGCTGGTTAGTCTTCCAAAATGTTTCCTTTTTCTTTGAAAAAAAATATCCTCCTAGTTTTTGTATTGCTACAAACATAAGGTCTATAGCTGTCCCTAGGCGTACCTCACGATACGTCAGACGATCAGACGATCCCCGTTGAGAAAGGGGGTTTAGACCGTACGGAAAGTGCCTATAAATGAGCCTGACGACCAGTTATAAAGATCCAATCATTGCCAAGCTCGGCACGAGGGGATACAAATGTTTACCGACACAAAGATGGCAACAAATAAACAACAAACGCCTTTTCAAACAAGAGAAAGGAGTATAGATGGGTAGCTGTCATTCAGCACAAATTGCAAACGTTGTACTTGCTTACAAAGAGTTCAAGTTCTGGTCTTCTTTTGGAAAAAGAAACTTACTCCTGTTCGTGCATTATATCGATGACGGACTTATTATCCTTCGCAATGAACCTTTCTCCACTAGCCGGGATGTCGTCAATGTTCTTGCGACTCTGCATCCGAAGTCGATCCCCGTCAGCTTCGTGATTAACAACAAAAGTGTTTATTTTTTTTGGACCTTACACTATCCATCGACCACCATACTATAAACTATAACCAGGTACACTACCGCATCTTCCAAAAGCCGTTCCAGAAGTTGACCTACGTCAACTACAAATCAAGCCATCATCCCAGCATCTTCAAAAGTGTAATCAGAGGCGAGTGCCACCGCTACAAATCTCACTCTTCCAATATCCACGATTACACTCACATGCTTAAACTCTTTGAACTGAGACTTTTGAAATGCGGATACCCGTTACATACATTTCATAAAGGAACATTTCTTGCAATTCGATGGCGCAACTAGACCAAGATTGCACTTCAACAAAGCCAATAACTGCATTCCAATGGCCAAGAAAATTTTCAGAAAATATAGATCTCTACACAAACCAGGTTTTCTTATGAACATCGCAGCTGTGACAACCCCAAGTTGAAGGAACATTTCTGTACCAGCCGGGCTTTACACACCTCAGTCGCTTCTTTCTATTCTTAAATTTCCTCAGCTTGCTTCCTCCGGTAATTTCGAATAATAGTCATCCTCGTTCGCCTTGATCAGATAATAATTGGTCTTCTCAATCTACCCCTCTTCTTATATCTTCCCCTAGCCATGCCGGCTAGTCTTCCCCATTTTTCTTTAAAAAAAAAATCCCCCTAACCATGCTGGTTAGTCTTCCCCAATTTGTTTCCTTTTTCTTTTTAAAAAATATCCTCCTAGCCATACCGGCTAGTCTTCCCCATTTTTCTTTCTAAGAAATATCCTCCTAGCCATGCTGGTTAGTCTTCCCCAATTTCCTTTAAAAAAATATCCTCGTAGCCATGCCGGCTAATCCTCCCCATTTTTCTTTAAAAACAATATCCCCCTAACCATGCTGGTTAGTCTTCCCCATTTTTTCTTTTTAAAAAAAATCCTCCTAGCCAAGCCGGCTAGTCTCCCCCAATTTCCTTTTAAAAAATATCCTCTTAGCCACGCCGATTAGTCTTTCCCAATTTTTTTTTTTAATATCCTCCTAGCCATGCCGGCTAGTCTTCCCCATTTTTCTTTTTAAAAAAATATCCCCCTAATCATGCTGGTTAGTCTTCCAAAATTTTTCCTTTTTCTTAAAAAAAAAAAAAATCCTCCTAGCCATGCCGGCTAGTCTTCCCCATTTTTCTTTAAAAAAAATATTCCCCTAATATGGAAGTGTAGATAGGACATGGTTAAAAATAAATCTAATTCGTACGTACGAATTACTAAACCGTGTGTACGAATTACTAAATCGTACGTACGAATTACTAAACCGTACGTACGGATTACTAAACCGTACGTACGAATTACTAAATCGTACGTACGAAATAATTAGTAATTCGTACGAATTATATTTATTTTTAACCATGTCCTATCTACACTTCCATACTCTGGGGCTGCTTGTAGCTCACAACCGATAATGCATTTTTGTATTAAGGACGATTGAGTGGGTTGAACAACTTTTTTAATGAGGGCGCTCTTTGAAATATGCAGTTTACGCACAGACTATAGGGCTGTGCACAACCAAGGTTATTTTTTTAACCATGCTCAATTCTGCATCTTTCAAATGAATCCCAGAGTGTTATAGGGGCATAACAGTATTTAATCTCAACTGAAGCTTTCTATACTTGAATTCTGGAACATGTATTCCAGTCGTTTACGCTGGAATGTTTGAATTGCTCCGCACAGCTATAAATATGAATATAAAAGTATAAGACAAGCAAGCACTTTTTTCTTTTGGAGCTGACATTTTAATAGTCTATAGAAATTAAGTGATACCTTTTTGAGAAATACAGATTTGGGGAGATTATTATAAGTTTTTTGTAATTTAAAGTGCAGTTTCCCCCTTGTTAATAAAATATCTTTGTTTAAAAAAAACCTTCATTAATCAAACAACGTTGCTGATGACACAATTATGCCAGAGGTAAAGCTCGGAATAAACATCAGTAAATACTTCCCCATTTCGATGCTGGCATGCCTGGATATGCGAGACGTTAAACAAAGAGTTGTTTACTTAAAAATCAACAGTCTTCAAATCAAATTCGAGTCAAATCGATAATCTATTATTCAAATCAATTACTCAAACTTACTCTCTGAACAATTACTCTTTTTTATTTAAGTAAAACCTTTCAGTTTAAGGTTTTTTTTTAGTTAAAAACGACGCTAAAGGAGTCCATTTAGGCAAATTTCAACACCGTTACATGTATAAATACCTTTATTTCATAAAAAAATCATCGATCATAATACTCAATGGAATTATCAAATACACGTCCAGGCTGATGTAGCAGGTGAACCAATTAGAGCCTCTCGATGGTGCCTCCTGACATCGTGACTTCATAAATCGTGTCTTGAATGTCATCGATCGCAATGTAATCCTGTCAGCAAGATATAAATCATGTAAATATAATCAGTTCAATTAATCCTTTTAAGCAAATGGGAGCATTGTACGTGGGTAAAGTGAGTACAATCACGTGACAAATCATGTTTATTGAAGCAGTTTATGTTTTAACACACCTTGAAACCTTTTAGTTAAATGTCGTACAACACACAAGGCAGATCAGATCGGGGGGGGGGGGGGGGGGGGGGGGGGGGGGGGGGGGCCATCCCCCCCCCCCCCAAAGTGAACCCAATTTTTTTTTATAGTGATGCCACCCCCCCCCCCCAAAAAAAAAGTGAACCCATTTTTTTTCTTTTTTAGCGACATTGCACTAAAGGCAGGCAATGAGTACACCACCATCTTTTCCTCAAAAAAACATTGGTTAAAGTGGTCAGAAATTGCCTCAGATCGCACCACGGAGCATTTAGAATTCAAACATTTTTCGGGGCCCTTAAGCGGGCTCCGAATCGCACACCGTAATTTTTGGGGACCCACTTTTTGGGGACCAAAAAAATATATTGTGTTCTGGATCCGCCCATGACAACACGGTGACAGAGCCATATATAGAGAGAGTTGCAACACAAGAGAGTTGCAACTGCTTGCAACTGTTTGGAACCAAAACGGTGGATTATGCATCAGTGCACACACATAATTCGTTCACAATCGTCACACGCTGCACTGTACACATAATGAACGGCCATTATGGTTCAACCGTCTCAAGTTGTCGCAACTCTCTCTATATACGGCTCTGCACGGTGACTCGCTACAGTGCACTCAACAGTTAAAAGCTATTGAAGATATTGTTTCAATGGTCAGATAGAACTGCATGCAGTGTGCCTTTAACCTACTCACCGCTCTCAAACAGGGCGCTGGGAAGGGCTAAACTCTTTCACAAAATTCTGTGTGAAGGAAGCATTGGCGCGCAAAGCATTGTGGGCAGCCTACCGCCTCATCCAATGTGCGCATATTGTCGTACGCAGGCGGAAACTTGACCGGCGTTATTGTTCAATAAATTCTATCCAATGAGGGCTCAAAGAAATTACTTCATACATCCCGGAGAAAGTAGACCTTCCCAACACCCTGTCTAAGTGCAGTGTGTGAGAGCGAAGCGGTCGGCCTTGGTTTCAAAGGTCTTCACTATCCATTGCACATTGGAAAGGACGAATAACATTTGTTTTCAAGACTTCTGTTTCTTTTTATGTACAACTGTACGTTTCTTTGGTGTAAACCAAAGCTTATCTTGTATTTTGTGAAGCCACACAAATCTAGTAAGCACAGGTTCAGACTAGAACTGGTTTAAATATGGGAGATAACACACTGCATTTGTTCATCCAAAGTATACAAATAAGCACGATTAGAAATTTCACATCACTCAATTTATTGTGAATGTGGTTTTATGAAAGTGCTACTTTTGACATCCTTACTTTGCCTTCACTTATAAGATTGTCCAGCTCCTTACTGATCATCTTAAATGTCGGTCGACTCTCTGGGTCCTCATCCCAACATCCCAACATCAGCTCATACCTTGTTAAAACAAATCAATAATTGTACTATGTATTACAAAAGAGCTACAAACGAATTTCAGAAACGAATGATACTTCAAGCAGCACAGGGTACTGCATCCACTTACACCGTTACGATATTAAATAGCGCCCTTTAAGTTCGTACACCGAGTCCGTAATATGCTACAGTTTGTTAACAATGCTATCAGATTGAAAAAAAAAAACAATTACATTTTCAATGAATGAAGTTTAGTTCAGAAATATGATTTTGAGTTTCAAAATTATAAAAGAAAATGTCTTACAGTTCATCCTGACAATGTTTTGGTTTGGGCATCCGAAATCCTTTCTGCAATTCCTTAAACAAAATCTTAGCTGACATGCCGGGGTATGGGCGAGCTCCTGCACAAATTGGGAAAAAAGACAAGTTTTTGTAATTTTCATTTTGTTATACGGTTATTATAGTTTTTTTATTATTATTATTATTATTTATTTGGCCAACAAATGAACAAATGTACAATGACAAAGCAAATATATATCATAAAGTAAACAAAAACTGGAAATTGAAAAGTATGACCAGACAAGACTGATGGGACTGAAGGATGCGAGAAGGAATGGGGTGGGGGGGGGGGGGGGGTTGGGGGGGGGGGAAGGAAGGGAGGCGGGACAGTTTGACAGGAGGGAGGATATAGAGGGACAGAAAACAAGGACATTACTGAAATGCTAACACAAATAATTTACACATGACATTGAAATATTAAGCACCATTCACCTTAGTTCACTCAATTCTTGAATAATTTGAAGCCAGAACAAAATGCCGTCAACATGTAGTAGATGTAAATCAAATTTGATTGTTTTTGCTTGTCTTAGAATCCCATTCTTTTGTCTTTTTTGTACAAATCTGACTGACTGACTGACTGACTAAGACTGACTGACAGACTCCCTCCCCACACAAGGCTGACTGACTGACTGACTCCCCGACTAAGACTGACTGACTGACTGACTCCCCCTGACTGACTCCCCCTGACTGACTGCCCGACTCCCCGACCCCACAAGGCTGACTGACTGACTAAGACTGACCGACTCCCTGACTCCACAAGGCTGACTGACTGACTGACTGCCCGACTCCCCGACCCCACAAGGCCGACTGACTGACTGACTAAGACTGACTGACTGACTGACCCCCCGACCCCACAAGGCTGACTGACTGACTAAGACTGACTGACTGACTGACCCCCCGACCCCACAAGGCTGACTGACTGACTAAGACTGACTGACTGACCGACTCCCCGACTCCACAAGGCTGACTGACTGACTGTCAACAAATCCGTCTGACTATGTATACCAGATGCATGATAAGGCCAAAAAAAAAAATATTCGGTCTCTGGTCAGACCAAAGTTCCGGGATTGACACGGCTTTTTTTTTTTTTCTTCAAGCTTGGATTGTACAGACAAGGTGATACTATTTTGCTATTTGGTGTCCTCATGTACATTGGTGTCCTCCATAATTTCCCTTGGTGCTCTCGATCATTTGCCTTGGTGCAATTTCCCATTCCTTGGTGCTCTTTGGTAAAAAAAAATTGAGGAGGTGCGGCAATAGAGGGCGCTGTTGGAGCTACCGCGGAACATTTTGGAAAAAAAAAAGATTGACGCGCATGATTTAAATCGACGCGCGCGCTGACCAGAGACCGACTTATTTTCTTTTTTTTTGGCCTAAGACTTCCTTGCTATTCTAAATCAGTTGAATATGATTTTATACGCTCCGGGCCCATCTTAACAAGGCAACTCACCAAGTGTAACTATCTCCCATAGAAGTACACCATAAGACCAGACGTCACTCTCTGTTGTGTACACGTCATCAAGAATGGACTCAATAGCCATCCAACGAATGGGGCATGGACCCTGCAGAATTCAAATTGCTCACAATCACAACAAATCTTCATAAGTGTGGGCTTCATTTATTTTAATTGGATATGATAAAACCAACATGTTTTCCTTTTCCATTAAGCTCAAAGACACTGACCTTTGACTCTCGTTCATATACTCGGATGTTCATGACGTCACGAGCGAGTCCGAAATCAGACACCTTACACGTCATGTCCTCAGCCACAAGCACGTTACGGGCTGCAAGGTCCCTGTGAATGCACTAAAAAATCAAAATGGAGGCAAACATGAAAACATTTTGGAAAAAAAACCCCAGGTAATTACGGCAAGAAAAAGTCCTTAATATAACTGCAGGATGTGAGGGCCTATGTTTTCCAACAATGGTGTTGAAATCAACATAATTTGAACTTAACGAAACATCTGAAATTGACTTACTCAAATATTCTTCCTTTGAAGGCACATTAGGAGTACTAGCATTTACCCCAAAATTCACCTTACTGATGTTAAAATAGAGGAAGTTTTCGGGTAACACCATGTGGAAAGAGAACTGTGGTTCTGGAAAGAACCGGTTGGTTGAGTGTAGAACTCAACATTTCGGACAGCGTGCTCTGTCCATCCCCAGGAATGAGAGTGATGATGTTGTTGTTGATGTAGGTTAGACTGGTGCCTACAGCACTCGTGTGCCCTTTGCACCATTGGGGAGTCAGGTTGGCGTAGCGGTACTTTCCTCGCCTTCCACCGCTGTGACCCGGGTTCGAATCCCACCTTGGCCAATATGTGGATTGGGTTTTCAGTCCCTGCCTAATTCCGTGGGTTTTCCCCAGAATATTCTTCTGGGCTTTTCTTCCCACCTCTAAAACTGTAACTTCTTCTCATTGTCTTCTCTCCACAGGTTTCTTCAGGCTTGCGAGCTACAGTGCCTAGGGCGCTTTTGAGGAATCCTTGGTTTCATTACCAGAAATGATTAATAATAATAATAATAATAATAATTAACTTCAGTGTGTAGCTCCGATAAACTTTGCTTTGAGTGAGTGATGAGATGTGGATGATGCTGGAAGCTTTATGGCTGTGCGTGTGCAGTGGGGTGTGACTGGATGCTTGTGCACTGGGGTGTGTCGGATGTAGGATGCGCTGAGGTGTGGTCTCATCACTCACCCTCCTGAGGATGGACAGAGCACACTGTCCGAAACGTCGAGTTCTACACTCAACCAACCGGTTCTTTCCAGAACCACAATTCTTCCAAGAAGAGATTTTTTTCCACATGGTGTTACCCGAAAACTTCCTCTATTTTATCTCATCCACCATGCAAAGCTTCAAGTCATATACTGACTGATGTTAATCAAACAGTTATATTGATAATGGTTTTGGTACTAAAAACCACATGAAAAAAAAACAGATTAGAAGAAATCAAGAATTATAGTTGATTTGCAAGAATCAGTCACTTGACTGATTTTTGTAAGTAAACGGTTGTGTACACGAATTCGTTTTTTTGTGTTCAAAAGCTGTACATTTTTTTTCGGAATGTTCTTGAAAAGTGTTATATTCACTGAGCCAAAGTTCAATAGTTTTCGTTTGGGAAAAGTTGTCTTTGGATTTCGAGGCTTTTATTTATTATTGGACACGAACAAAATGCATGAAAGGATGATCTTATATGCCTTTAATGTATTGAGATAACATTGGATTACTCCAATAGCCTTTTGTTATTTCTTAATTTTTGATCAAAGATTTGAGACCCATTGATACCCTGGACATCATGGTACACACAAGGAACAATAATTATCTTCAATTGATTATAATCAATACTACAATGATGAACACCACCTTTTGAGAAGAGATGAATTTCATTCCATCGGCTGCATCCTTTGCAAACATCATGAGATCTGTAGCAGTCAGTGTCTTGCTCTCCCCGTACAGATTCGTATAGACACGCCCACTCTTGCTGCGACTGTCTTCAAGAAAACTTTTGAGATTGCCTCTGGAAAGATATTCTACGATGATATAGACAGGATCTAAAAAAAAAAAACAGAAAAGAATAGTTGAAAGTCCATTCAATCCGAGTGCTTGGTTTAATGATGAAACTGGGCAGGCCTAACCATTACCAGTCAATTTCACTGATTCGTAACTCACGTCTCGAGTATTTGCGTTACTAATTTTGTGCGAAACTGCACATTAATCTTACGATCGAGTTCATGAAACTTGGCGAAGTACTGCATGCTACCAATATAACAAAACAGTATATTTTGCAAGAGAACGATCACTGCAATTTGTGGCTATCGATAGCAAAACAGTCATTGAATCGGCTCCATCCACCACTTTGCAGGTGGGTTTGTCACTGTCTTTGGAATCTGGTTGAGAGTTTCAAGACCGTCAATATTAAAAAGCTTGTTATAGTACAGCAGATTGGTGATAAGATTGTTCAGTTTGATGATAAAAGCATAAAACTTGGCACACAGTCAGAGTATGTCATGGGAAAGATATTTGGCTATAGGGCCATCGCAGATTTGTCCTTTGAAAAAAAATCATAAGATTTCAAAATTTCAAAATGGCGGCCACTGCATGATATTCTATGATATTTTTTTATTGTTATACTATTGTCATACCTCTGGAATACTGTATTTCCATTGGCCTAGAACGATCACATGTCATGGCACACTCCCTGTGGGATATCAAGTACGTAATATCCTGAGGGAGTGTGCTATGACTTTGTACGTACGGTACATGTACCTGTGCCGAGTGAAACGCTTGTATTGTTGGTACCCACACTATTTTCATCATGTTTTCACACATGAGTGGGAGCAGCAAACTAGCAGAAGATCAGCTGTTTCGAGCACACGACATGCATGTGAGTTGGCGTTTGATTGTCATGATTGTTGTGTTTACTGCTGTTTGTTTTCGTGATTTTTATATCAAAATCCAAAGAATCCAAGACAGAGGTATAACAAAACAACTGTTGACTGCTGTGATGTGGGATATATGACGTTTTGAACAACCTCGGGGCGCATAGCACCCTCAGCTTCGCCTCGGGTTGCTATGCGCCCCTCGGGTGTTCAAAACGTCACATCCAGCAGACATAGGAGGGCGCTATTTGGTTTGGGTAAATACCAAAGACTTTGCCAAATCAAACAGCGCCCTCCTATTGTGTCTGCCATACTTCAAGTAGGTGAGATAGGAAAGCTTTACGAGTACCTTTATCGATGCAGAACCCAAGGAGCTTGACCACATTAGGATGGTCTGGTAACTTCTTCATCAACTCCAGCTCTCGCAGCATGTCCTTCTTCTCCAGGGCACCGGCTCCTTCTGTTGAGACGAAAATGTGCGCACACACTCAAATTACAAAGCAAATACTTTTTGAAATGTCCCATTTTCATTTGTTGAGAAACCAGGTATATTCTCATAAACACCTCAGTGAGGACAGCAGTGTTTGAAAGTGCACATCCTTTCCGGGTTGACAATTTTTTTCGGAAATGTAACTTGATCTCGATGTCAAGAGTCCGAGAGAGAGTCTCTCAGGCTCATATTGCATCATGGGAGTACTGACATGCTAATTAAAGTGTATGTTAATTACCTAAGGAAAGACCGATCCCTATATTCAAAGTTAGAGCTGGAAACAAGTCTACAACATGCTTACCTGCCACACAGGATGTTTTCGGAGCCTATTTAGAATAAGCTGACCTTTACACCAGCCGTTCTAAGACTGTATATCCATGAGATATTTTGAGGCTGTATTCAGACATGATTAGTCTTAACTCACGCTTCAGTGTCTTGACAGCAACCTCTGTGACCTCTGACTTCTTGTTGATTCCAGTCGCTTTAGCTAGCATCACCAGACCAAAGGCGCCATGCCCAAGCTCCTTCACAAACTGGAGCTGATCACGTGGGAAGGCAGTGTGTCTGGTTGGTACATTCGTGTACGTAGCCACGCCTTGCTCCTGTGAAACTCCACGTACTGTATCTAGTTCTGAAACGTCATAGTGGTTGCATTAATTAGGAGAAAGTAAAAACACAGCAGCTGTTTTGCATATACAAAGTGAAATAATAAATGTTCATCAGAGTGCATGTCATGCATTAGATATCATCAGAGTGCATTTGACCAGGGACTTTAAGAGAGTGCTGCGAAACAATATTTTGCAGCACTCTCTCAAAGTTCCTGGTCAAATTTACCCGGAATACTCGGGTTCTACTTGGCCTGACCCTATTCGGGTCGAAATGACTCGGACAAAGTCAAATTTTGACCTGGGGAAATATCCTTTTGACCCGGGCATGTGTCAGGCCAAACAGAACTCGAATTTTGGGTTAATCTGACATGGGAATTTTTAAAAGTAATGAATATCAACATTTACTTTGATAATAATAATAATAATACGGTCTTGAAATCACATCACAAAAAAAATACCCGAAAGTTACTACAAAGATACAGTTATTTGTTTAACGTCCTTTGCTTGCAATGAATAAATAGATGAACCAACAAACAGACCTGTCATGTACCGATTGGTTGCCCCCGTGTCTGGGTGTTCGCTTGATTTGAAGCGCCAGCTTCTGTTTAGGAACACAGTCAATACAATCTTTGAAAATCAATCACTTATGCAAATGCAGTGGGAATTAATAAGCAGCGGGTTTTTTTAATTTCAAGAATATACTTCTTCTTTTTATTAACAATGTCGGTCTAACCTTCAAACAAAACCCTCTGAATTCATTATTAAACAATGACAAAGGCGGGGGCAAAAAAAGCACAAACAAAAATAACACCATTATCAAGTACTTACCCTTCACGGGTAGTTGACCTGTTCCTTTCTGAAACTGAATCAAACAGGTTTGTTGTTGTTAACTGACATTTTTCTCCAAATTCAAACGGTATATTTTAATGTATGACACTTGTCCTGAAGACAAACTTCAAACTAAAACCAAATCGTGCACGCTGTGTACATAGGCCCCCTTCAATGGTGAAAGCTTTGTACCAGCGAGTGTACAGATCAACTACCTCATGACGGACTATCTAAACAATGACTGGCACTATGCTTTTGCTTTTAGGCCTAATGGGGGCTTCTGTTTGTGTGTATTGATAGGGAGCTCCATCGGATTGGTCTATAATGAACCCCTTTGACTAAAATATTTAGGGGAAAAGCAACTTTTGGGTAACTAAATTTGGATATGACACTAGACTTCTTCTTCTTCATTCATTCGTTTTCATGATGTCTTGATGAGTTGGGCCCAACTGTCCCTGTCAAGCATAGTGTTGGAAAGAGATGGACCACTCAGACCAGTTTCTAGACACTAGACGGTCACTGGTATTCCTATTAAATGTAATCTTGTTTACAGAAGGATAATTTCATATAATGTTACATGCATCAATACTGCCTTAGCTCTATCAACTCACCAGCAGCATAGCTTTGCACTTTCCTAACACGAACTACAAGCGCAATAACGAGAACCAGCACGGCAAGGCCTGACACCGCGCCGATGACGGGACCGATAAAGATGATAGACTCAGTGGATTCCGGTGGAGCTGCGACTTGAACTTGAAAAAGCACGCGATATGAAAGAAAAAAAAGATAAATGCAAATATGATCAATCATCATGATGGGTAAATACAGATGGACAGTCAAAGATGATACAATGGGAACATTGCGTGAAAATAAAGGAAAAACAATTATTGCCGACTTTAAGTTGTAGGGGCCGAGTAAAGTGAACCAGAAAGCAAGTGTGTTAGTATCAACAGACATCTGGTACGATAGTATTTAATTTATACAAGGCAGGAATTCTCCTTGGAACCGACAATCGTTTCTACAAAACAAAACTCATTATTTGTTCATATATTTTTCTGTTCTCTGGCTGCACACAGCAACACCCGCCTACAGACACTTTGAACATGCCATAATTCATACAAATTGTTATAGTTGTTGCACTATTTTTTGTTTTAGGAGCTAAAGTTACAGCACTAAAACAATACAGCACAAATTGTCAGATTTGAAATTTACCTTGTTCGACAACAACTGGTTCACTGCACAAGTCTCCATAGCATAATCTGGCTCTTACTTCTACAGCTCCTGCGCCACGTCTCCTTCGTGACCGCGGTTGTGGGCACCGGACCGATAACACCACTGTCATGTCTGTTGTCATACATTCCCCGCAGTTAATCCATGGATTACTCGGGTCGTATCTGACTTCAAGCTGGATACATGCTCCCTCGTTCCTTAAACCAATGACTTGAACAGTGCCAGCTTTTTTGAAGAATACATAATCTGTCATGTGTAAAACCAAAAGAAAGTGTTACGCAAGTATATTTGCACTTTTAAACTCTGGCAAAAGTTACCTCAAGTTCCCCTACGTCTCAATATGTTAGTCTGCGCAAGCCAACTCTTTAAAAGATGTCCTAGTTTGTTTATTTTAATTTGAATTTGTGATTTGCTGTCTTGTTTTCTTTGTGAGATGTTAGTAGAGATTTGGAGATTGTCAAATATAAACAAAGAAATAGAAAATATTGGGAAACAGTATTGCAATAAAAAAAACCTTTGTTTCATCACCTCATTTATTGTCCAATTGACATCTTAAAAAAAAAAGTGCCCAATGTTTTTTATTCAAAATGGCACTGCACTTTTCATGAATTAAGTAGTAATATGAAATTGAATAAATGTTAAAAGTATTAAGTATTGAAAACTTAATACAGAATGAAGAGCAATTCCACTTACTAGTTGGAGGTTTGGCTGATTCACAGGTAGTAGTGCCGATTTGTGTTTCAAAGAAACAGTGAAATGGAAAAAAAAAGAAACAAATAATCTGTTAGTAAAACACTAGATGTCTGGTAATATTTTTTAACTAGTTTTACATTTCAAAAGTTCACTTGCAAATCCAACTGGTTTAAACAAAAATAATAATTGCCAATGTCATATTTTCATTCAACCGGTCATTTAGACAATTAACTCTTTGCACGCTACGAATCAGTGCACTGTGTATTTCCTCCCCGCTGGATTGTTTGTGCATACACACTCAAAATAGGCCCTTGCGCATTCAATTTGTTTTTTCTCACTGAAGGAGTTTTTGTATCACAAAACACAAAATAAATTATTGGTAGAATAAAAGATGGACAAGATGTTTGTTCAAAAATGGTGTCTCTGCAATGTTTATTGTTGAAGTTACATAATTTTGAAAATCATGGTTGTTTAGCCTGAAATATTTTCACCATAATTTGTTTTTATGAACACACACTGATGTCAATTCAAGAGATGTCAATTCAATAACTAATTTTTTTCTCAATGAAGGAACATCTGTATAGTAAAACTTGCTGTGAATCATTTGTAGGGCATAAGATTTCCAATACAACAGTCCAAAAAGCATGTTTTTATGATGGGTAATATGCAAGATACAGAATTTTGAAATTCCGAGAGTTTACAGTTCACGTATACATGTAGGCACATGTACATGTACATGTACATGTACGTACACATGCACACGTATCAGGCACACACGCTTGGAAAAAACACATGTACAATTACACAAACTAGCCAGTAACTGTTCACTGTTCATGTTCATTTGTTCATATTTCATGGCTTTACATGTCCATGTCAACCATGCTTGGTGGAGAAGTCAGTGGTATCCTGGCTCACAGTTTGCTTTGTAGTCAACTAGTGTATGATATCTGCGAAAACATGGGACGGGACACATTGGCAGGTTGCACTCCTCGCAGGCATACTCGATTTGGTGGCGCTTGACGCTGCGATTAGAGCTGACGACACAGTCTGGTCTGGACTTGCGGCCGGCTGCCGTCACTGCGGTGATATGCTTCAGGAAATGCCGCTCGGTCAGACGCAACGGTTGGTCGATGGATCTCCTCCCAGGTCTCACGTCTGGCGGAACATGTCCCTCGAGAAGACCGTGGATGACTGCGTATCGAAACTTTTCCGGTTTCAGTCTGGTTGCAGGATGAAGGCGTTTCCAAATGATCCAACTATTGACATACGAGACCTCCAGCAGGTACACAAACACCTTCTTCCACCACTTGAGGGTTTTGTGGATATTCAGGTAATACCACATACCTTGATCGGCTCGGTCTACTCCACCCATGAAGCGTGTGTAGCACTCGATGGCTACCGGTTTGTCCACTTTTCGCGGGTCCTGTTGCCCACGGGCACGAACATCCTTCTGGAATGTTGACTGGTTGTGGACTGAGGTCACAACGTTGACTTGCCGTTTGTCAAACCATGACAAAAACAAGAGATCGCCGTCCCTAACTGCACACAAGGGATCTCCTTTCTTCGTTTTAGTCTCTTTGATCTCATTTGGGGTGTCGACCCGGTTTACACGCAATGTGCCACATGCTCCGATACCATTTTCCGCGAGTGAAAAATACAACTCGGGGGACGAAAACAGGTTATCCATATAAATATGGTGGCCCTTACCATTGAAGGGTTGCGATAAACGCAAGACCACGTTCTTGTACAACCCAACTTCAGTCTCGTTGTTGGTTTTGCCCTGGTACAGTTCCGAATTCCAGATGTAACCCGTGTTGGATTCCGCAATGTTCCAACAGTTGAGGCCCCATTTGTGAGGTTTATTTGGTTTGTACACCTTCATTGAGCTTCTACCTTTAAAGGGGATGATCGTCTCGTCCACTGCAATCTCCCGTCCGGGGTAGTATGCCGACTGCCAACGGGACACCAGCATGTCCATTACCTCTTTTATTTTGCCTTGATGATCATGATTTGGGTCACCAGCCTGTGTCAGTAGCGCATTGTCCGTAGTATGGAAGACTTGTAGAATCAGGTAGAATCGATCACGAGACAGAATGGCGCGGATACCCGGGGTCTGAATAGTCCATTCTGTTGTCCAATAGGCATCGTAATTTGGCCGTCTGTCCATACCCATGAGAAGTAGAATGGCGAGAAACGCTTTCATTTCTCCGGCATCAACATCTCGCCATTTACGAAGTCTTGAGTGTCGTCTAAGGCCATCCACACCCCCTTTACTAGCGATAGTAGTTGCGGCGTATCTGTTCGTTTCAGTTACAAGCAAATCAAAGAAGTGGGAAAAAATTGCGTACTCTGAGATGTCATCCTCACCAATCACACCATCCTCAGCAAAAATCATCTGTCCATGTGGCTGGTTGAAATCCATCAGCCAGTCATGCTGGTAAGCCCTCGGCAATGCAGCGCGGAAAGCCACATCTCCGCCACCCTGCACTCTCCGCGGCCGCACTTGCTGTCCATTTCCACCCGCCCGTGGTCCGTTGTTGCCCGGTGCTGGCGCTGGATCTACTACCTCGTTGTCCGATTCAGATTCGGACACGTATACATCGCCATGATCGCTATCACCATCGATTTCATCGCCTGCCAAAACCTCTTCAAAGTCCGATTCTCCGGAGTCTGCGTCCTCAAAAATCTCCCTAAATGCATCATCAGCATACATGACGCGCTACTTTTGTTTTTATGCAAATCTGATACCGAAAACGCGATGTTCAAACAGCGTTTTTGAGAGATTTTTCAAGAAAACTTTCGGAGATCACACGTTGAAAATGGCATCCATGTATCGACATTATCATAAAATACCCGGATGAAGGTCAGGGGTTACGGATGACGTAGATATTCGCTTAATAAAAGCAGCGCCCAATCGGGCGCAAATGTGCGCCGTTAGCGGTGAGGGAATACCGCGCGTTGGCGCAAATATGCGCCGATAGCATGCAAAGGGTTAACAAAAGCACTTCCAAGATGCTATGAGTGCAACAATTATGGAATGGAGATAATCCCTGCAATAATTATGTTAACAAGCTCAGGAAAATTCACACACAAGCAAACTATTAACAGAGAAGTTTCGTTTTGAAATTGCAATCAACTTACGCAATGTGTATCCTACCACGTTGCCGAAGTCCGGGTTTCTGCCAACCACATTCTCAGCATAGACTCTGATCTTATACTCAGTGTACGGTCGGAGGGATGTCACCGCGTATGTGTATCTGCGCTGCCCATCACTGGATCTAACTGGCTCACTCCATGTCACCACACTCTCTGAGTCAGTCGTGTTGAAGTAGCTGACAAGGAATGACTGCTCCTCACCGCCATCATGACCTGCTGTCCAGTTTACAGTCAGAGACTCTGCCGTCCGGTCGGTTAATCCTAAACTGGTTGGCTTATTTGGTATCCCTGTGTGAGAGATGACGTCGCAGTGACATTCAAAAAATCATCTTTTTAAGCTACTTTTAAGCTATCAGCCAAAAATATATATACTTCATTTCTGAAATCAAATTTGTCTTACACTAGACAAATATTCCACTATTAGGCCTCTAATAAAAAGACATTGAAGGAAAATATCGGCCCAATATTAGTTTTGGAATAACATATTTTGCGGACCTTAAATAATTTGGTTCTCGTAGATCACATTGGTTACTGCCCTTATCAGAATCGATAACAAAAGGATTGGAAACCAGTCTATTTGCAGACTAGATATTCATTTGTGTTCAAAAGGAACTCTTTAAAGCCTTTTTTCAAGGGGTTGCATATGCCCCCCAAAACCCTAAATTTTCGGCACGGTGAATTATTGTACTCTCTTACTTGGTGTTGTGACGTTGATCTGCAGGGAATCTTGGACTCCGATTCCGTTCGAACTATTGACAGTATACACGCCATAGTCGACCAGAGGATCGATTCCACGAATAGTCAAAGTACTGGTGACTGTAAATCCGTAGACTTGATCTCCAGCCGTGGTTGCAGTGTGGATCGAGTACTTGTTACTACCCGAGTCTGGGGAAATCCTTGTGTCGTCGGGGTCATGCCAGGACACCGTGGGTGCAGGGTTGGCTCTCACGATACATGTTAGGACTGCTACTCCTCCGGGCTTGGCACCGATCACACTGTCTGCTTTATTGGTGATGTTGGCTTCATCTGAAATAAGAAACAAAAACCCTTAAATACAAGCCTTGTTCAATTAGGCAATTATTACACTGTAAAGCTGCGGTGTTACATCAGTCCTTACACTATGAATTTCAACACCGTGAAAAAAAAATTTCCCCCTAGAATTACAGTGAAACTTTTTTACACTGCAAAGTAAGCCCGTTTTCACGGTACGAAATTGGAGAAGTCAATTGAGGATTATGTTACGGCGGTTTCACGGTGTTTTTACCTTGGATTTCTGGAGACTCGAGGTTCTATTGTTATTCATAACGGTACACTGCTGTCCAGCTTTCCACCGCGGAAGGTGTGAAAACCGCAGGTTTATGGTTCGAGAGTTTACCAGATTAGTGCGATAGACACTTCACCGTTCAGTGCATAAAGTACATGAATGCCGCAGTTCAATACGGGATGTTCAGCATCAGTTTCCCAACCAAAAATCACAGTTTTGATCATTTGAAGTAAAACATTTCACTGTATTGAATCCAACCATATTGAGCTTTGCTACTACTTTTCATACCACTCAGTATTGAACCGATGTTGTTACTCAAGCCGTTACGGTAAAGAGTAAGTTTGTGTTAGCCCCGTGTGGAATTAAACATCTTGTGCGAGTTTGTGCGGATCTGAGAACAAGATGTTAACCACGTTTCAGACAACATTCTCTGTTTAGTCAGATATCCTCATGGGCGTTGCGAGGGCAAGCGCCCCTCCCCCCTCGCAATGCCCATGGATATCCTCAGAGGTCATTATAAAAATCACACTGTCCGGAATACGAAGTCTCCCACTTGATCTTCCCAAAACTACCAACTCACAACAGATTTTTGCTTTCACATGCCTAACGTAGGCCTACCCTTACTGCTGACTTCGCCATGTAATTCTTGAACCGTCATCGTAATGTTTAATTGTGATTAAATCCTAGCCTGCTGAATCCAACAGGATCCAACAATTGTACATTTCTGTTGGATCCTATTGGATTGGGCAGTAAACACCTTGTATATATTCCTCTTGAACTATGTTGAATTCAACAGGCAACTGAAAACATTCACGGTCAAATTCTGTTGAGTGCTGGTAAATAACGCCAAGTTGGACCTGTTGGATTCAGCAGGTAACTAATAAATAATATGGACAGACTGTGTTACACTCTGTTGGATTCAGCAGGCAACATAAAAACAAGGCACAGTTTGGTTCTGTTGGATTGAGCAGGCCAGTCGTTTTAACTTTTCAGGTACCCAACAACTTGGCATGTTGGATTGTGTGGGACTGTGTTGGATTGAGCAGGAAACTCATATGAGTAACCGTCGGACTCTTTTGAATTTAGCAGGGTAGTCCTGAGGAATTATTAGGGGGTTAAGTTTATCAAATCAAATGCCAAAGGGCATAAAACCAACCTTAAAGATTTGGAGGTTACACCAAAGCATACGTCCAGTACTGTTGATGTTATTGTAGGTTTTATAGTTGGAAGAAGTTTACATCACAACATCAAAGAGATTAAGTAATAAACAAAATGAAAAAAGGGAAGATTAGTTTTGTGCGTGAGAATCGTATGCAAACTTACAGTGTACAACAGCAGTAATAGGATCTGACACCACATCGTCGCTAGGATTTGATGTAGGCACCCCGTTGTTAGCTCGGCACATGTAGTACCCAGCCTGCTCCCTCCTGATGTTACTCAGAGTCAGAGTACTAGTGACGTCATTGTACACTGAGCTGAATGCTTCACTTGAGTCTCGCTTCTTCCAAGTGATGTCACTAGGCCTAGGATTGGCATCTACAGAGCAAGTCAGGGTTATATTCCCGCCTTCAGTGACGGGGGTGTCTGAGGATCGTGTCACCGATGTGAATTCAGGAGCGTCTGAGGGATTAAGGGGAAATATGGACGAATCAGAGCACGTGATCACTGACACCACTGATCTCTATATAAAGACTGGATAGCTAATAAAGAGCCGCACAATGAATGAATTTGACGCCATATTGGTGAGACCGGCTGGTGATCTACAAAGGACAAGTTACCGTTTTTATATACAGCATGATTTCTTTTGTAACGTCGCGGTTCACTTGACTTATAATTTGACCACCACCACTGACCAAGGTTAACAACAATTTTTCTAACGTCGTGGTTACTAAAATGCCGCAAATATCACTTTTTCGGCGTTTTGAAATAATAATCACTACAGAAATGTGTCCCTTTTAGAACATCATAATATGTGTACGTGACCAAAATGCGCGTCAACTGTTGATACAACGTGTGCGTATTTACGCGTAGAACGTACGTATTATATGTGGCCATCTTCGTGAGACCGGGGGCGAATTGGTCAATATGCAAAGTCTACTGTGTGAATGTTGTATGCATATCCGCATCCAGTCTTTATATAGAGATCAGTGACTGACACTCACAAGGCCCAATCAACGGAGAAACTGCACGCTATTGTAAAAAGCAACTACCCCATGATGGATTATCTGAACAATAACTACATGTAGCACAATGCTTTTGCCATTGAATGGCGACTTTTGTAATAGCATTGTTACGGTGCTTGGATTTTTCTATGAGACACCGTTTAGATCTGCTCAATTTTCTCAGGGTTGCAATTGGGAGAAAATGACACATCCACGAAATAATCGGCAGAGGGTTTGGGCTACCAAAAGCCTCAGAGCAACAAATGGTTAATGGTATATGTTTGTATTTGCCTTAAAGCACTATTAAAATACCTGTTTTTGTTTTGTTTTACACAAACCTTTATAATAATTAATGACAACTTTCTGGTAAATCTCAGGAATTCTCCATTTCAGAAAAAAAAAATCCTGAAATCTAAAAAACAAAAACCGTGACCAATACCACTATGGGTAGGCCCGTCTGTAAAGGGGGACCCCCTGGCAAGCGATCTCCCCTCCACCTCGGCAAAAGCCTTCTTTGTGTTTTGTTTTTGTGTGGAGTGCACCCCTAGCTGGTACCCCCCCCCCCCCCCTCCCCCCTTGCGGATCTGGCAACGGGGCTGACCCTGGGTCTCTAACAGTTTACATTTGGGCAATGGGGCAATGCGCATGATGGCAATACGGAAAAAAAACTAAGTAAACCCCCCAAAAATGGACAACAACGTAAGTAGTTACTTACATCCAACGCCTAATATGTACATATCACACAGATCTTCAGCACATGACGAGATGGTTGGATTTGTGGCACAGCATGTGTACACATCTCCGTTGTTATTTTTGTTCAGGACATCACTTGTGTAGATGACTGTAGTCACTCTGCCTCCATTATCTCCAGGAGCGTTAGGTTGATCAGTGGGCGTGGTTAGCAACACGTTACCCTTGGACCAGGTTAGAGTAGCAGCTGGGTTGCTGCTCTCGGAGGTACAGATCAGCGACACTCTGTTGCCTTCTGTTGCTTCTGAGGGACTCTGTGTCACACTCACATTCCTTGTGCAGACTGAAAAATAGAAGAACAAAACTATTTCCTGGTCACACGTTTACTCACACAGTTTACTAAGGGGCCGTTCACAATTATCAACATTTTCACAAGGGTACAAAGCGTACACTTTTTCAAGACCCCCCCCCCCCCCTAAAAGTGTAGGAAAAAAATGTTAATTTTTTTCTCACAAGTCTATATATAGACACTTGCATGTGACTTCGTCGAACAGCTTTTTACAGTCTGCATTCCGCTGTAGTTAAAAACACGCAGTGGATACGGACTATACATGTACATGTACATTTTCACGTACGTGTGTAGGACAATGCCGCGCATGCTGTACACAAAAAAGTTCATGGGATGCAATGCGGGGCCTGGCGCGGGGCGCGACCGGCTCGGCAAGTGCTCGATCGGCATCAGTTGCGGCTGTCGACTTTGGCGACGGGCGTGAAAACAGATCGACATTTCATCAAACGGTTTGTACGCTCGTGAAAATGTTGATAATTGTGAACGGCCCCTAACACAGTTTGACCTTACAGGAAACTGTCCAATCAATTTAAATAATCTGGTGAATAATGCTTTCCTACTTAGTACTCATATAGTTGTAAATTTGTGAGCATCTCTGGGAAGATGGTTATTTAGAATGTGATTAAGCGCAAATCTTGGAATGTTGCTGACATTTTCAAGAAGCAATATCAAGCATTGGGTTGAACTTTTTACTACAGTGCCACTGTTCATAACCGAAGAGAATTCTCCCTTCTTTGAAAGTTTTCTAAACTGGAATGTCATGACTTACACTGGACATCAATTGGACCCAGAGATCCCACTGGTCCTTGGGTCAAGGAAACCCTGCTTGTTGTGCACGTGATGACGGTGTTCCCATTCTCCTCTCTTGACGGGGTGAAGAGGAGCTCGCTGGTGAACCTGTAGCGATCACCTGACTGTGATGACATCGTAGCTATTGATATAACCCTACCTCCCGTGGTCCAATCCAGTGACCAGTCATCAGGGTATCCCATGTCTGCTGTACACGTCAGCAAGACAGATTCGTTCTCAATCATGGACGTTGCAGCAGTTACATCCGGGACATCTGGGGGACCTGCATTTTTAACACGAGTGGAACATTCCAATTTAATTTGCTGATTAATAAAAACAACAAGCACTCCGAGTTTGCAGAGTAATGACTAGAGTGTTGGAAATAATAAGTGACAGTCACTGGAAACTGACCAAAACGTCAAGTTAACATCGCATTGAAAAACACATCCTCCTCTTATTACAGCAAGCCAACATACATGTAGTGCAAAAGTTATTGAGTGGTCGGGCACAACCCGACCACTCTTTGGATCTGTTAGAATTAATCTTTCTTTCTTTCTTTTTTTTTTCCGGACAATACTTCTCCGCGGGTTTTCTCCTAAATGGTATAGGGTATGAACTTGTAACTTTCAATATATATTGACCCTCATCCGAAGTGGTGCATATTACTCTGACGTCATGATTACGTAATCAGGTGTCAAATTACAAGTGATTTTAGGTGGAAAAGTGACCAATTACTTTCACTTATAACTCTTGAACTAAATAATCAATGATGTTTGTATTCTGTATATGAGATAGACCATTAATTGCTCAACATTTTTTGTTGTGTACGTACACTCGCTTGACCTTTACTTCCGGGTCTACCGGAAGGTCAAAGTTAGATGAGTTCAAAATGAAGACGTTAGCCTGAAATAAAAACAAAGCAAAATTTCTTCCGAACGGTTTACGGTACAATCACAAAACCTTGTGTGAACTTGTACCATGTTACGAAGATGTTATACATTTTGTTACGTCAGCATGACGTCATCGGGTATCAAATTACAAGCCATTTAAGGGCAAATTTTGACAAAATAGTTTACGCTATATCTTTTGAACGAAATAGATTATCGTGTTCTTTTTTTCGTGAAGTTGTAGACTATGCCGTGAGTAACATTTCTTGTGCCCGGACACAAAACTGCTTGACCTTTACTTCCGGTGTTACCGGAAGTGCAATAAAAACTGGAATATAACTCAAAAGCGGAAGCATTTTACTACAGACATTTATATCATGCAAGTGTTTAGTGAGAAATGCAAGTCACAAAAAAAAACAGTGTGATGACGTCATCATCCAAAAGGGCGCCCCCTAGCGGCACATAAAGTAGTGTTTGTTTTCTTTAATCCGAAGTCCATCGGTTCTAATTTTACCAAATCGCTCCTTGATATTCTTCGATTAACCACAGATGACTTGGCAAGGTTTCAAGTTCATGACGTCGTCAGACCGGAAGATGAAAACGATCATATTCTATCATTTGATTCATGTCGTATATCTTCGTAGCCCAAATACCGATATCCATAACTATGTTCACATTTTGCTTCCAAATACTAGGGGCGTCATGAAACCGGAAGTTAGATGATATTATAAATGCATACAATTATATTTTCCATATTTCCATACGTAATTTAACTTCACAATAAACATTTATCCACTCCGAACTAAATCAGCATTCACCTTCCGATTTTTCATAATGACGTCATCAAGCCAGAAATAACTCGTATGTGTACATAAAATGTTTATGGAAATTTATCATACCGTTAAAGATGCATTTTTTAACATAATAATTTATTGTGATGGAAAGGATTTAATTTCGTGATGCTTTGTTCTTCATTAAAATATTCATAACTTACCTCGGCAGTGTTTCATGAAAAAAATTGCCTGCCCGACCACTCTGCGTTTGTAACAACAAACGCGAACCTCTAGTATATTTATGTATGGGCAATTGGGCATTCAGTCATGGAAGCATCCCAGTAATGCCTACCAGAATCGTCAACCCCCATTCCAAAATTGGATCGGTGTACAAAATGACACGACCTGTTTCTATGATAACGTTTCATTGAATAATTTACGTTCTCCTTTTCTAGTTATGATGCACCAGATCATTTTCTATTGGAGTTCTTACCATAGACCATTAGTGTCACCCTAAGTGATGGGTATGGTTGTTGTGACTCAGTGGTGCTCGCTACACATTTCAGTTCCTGTCTGTGATGAGCTCTAGTTGGTCTCAAGGACCAAGTATCTGTTGTATTAACAAGTTCATCTGTTCCTGTAGGCGACGGATTGACAGCGCGTTTCATGACGTCATTCAGGTACCACTCGATCCTTGCACCAGGTCTGCTACCATGTACCGTGCAAAGGAACGAATGTAGTGTTCCTTGGTCAAGAACCACGGCACCGCTTACTGCACCACTGGCATCCGACAGTGACATTGAAGACACACTGGGGAGAACTTTGAAATGAATACAAACAGGAACAACGTTAGTGCTGTTTAAAAACAAGTACATGTACAAATGTACCATAATCTTGTTTGTCCATGTGCTTCACGTCTCGTATGGACTCAGGTTATCCATATTGGTAACAAACAGAAAGACATGCCGTGTCCCAATCTCCAATCTCAATCAATCTCTGGTTTTTGACTATTACGATCACATTGGGACATGATGACAGTAGACGTAACCAACGGCAGATCCAGGGGGGCTAATTGGGGTCATGTCCTCCCCCCCCCTCCCAAAAAAAAGGACCCCATTTTTTTTAAAGTGACATTGCAAAAAAAGGCAGCCACTGCGTACACCACCATCTTTCGCTAAACAAAAAAATTGGTTACAGTGGTCAGAAATTGCCTCAGATCACACCACAGAGCATTTAGAATCCAAAATTTTCTGAATAAAAAAGGACATTCTCAATAAGTTTCAATTTGTTTGAAATTGTTTCTTACCTGTAACATCGAGCAGTATGCTGATGCTGATACCGGCATGTCCACCTTTGTTGGAAGCCTGGCACCGCAACATCTCTCCATGATGGCTCCATCTTGGTGATAGGGTTACCAGACTGGTGCTAGTAGTCAAACGATCAGCATTTGTATTGTTGACGGTGTTACCCTCTGTGAGGCTCCCATCGACACGAGACCAAGTGAATGATGCTCCTGGGTTGATGTCTGGTACCTCACAGGTGAACTGACGGTCCACACCTTCAATAAGATATGATGTACCGCCAGAAGATGGGTAACTTCCAGTTGAGTCGGATAGGGTGATGCTTTTTGGAAACACTGCCACAAAAACAACAAAATAACAAAATCTTCCCAAAATGAGATATCGAATGCCCGGAGGCAAACATGGGACAGGGGATGTGAATTGGGAGACATTCCCTCATTTTGATCATAACAAACTAGTCCATTAACATACTTAAACAGACAACAAAATATAACAAAAGTTAATAAAACATTTTGTTGAGCTGCAATAATATATGTACCTAAAATTTGCTATTGTGTTGTGGAAAGTTGACAGCTTTCCACGACAACGCACCAGACAAAAATTGAACCCACTAGCGGCGCCTGAAAGCGGTGTGGTACCCACATACATTGTACATCGCATGCACAGACTGTTCGATTGTCATCACGTGATGCATGCATTTGCATAATTAACCACACAGCCGTTGAAACTGGACGTTTTTTTATGGACAAGCCACCAAAATCAGCAACAATTTTCATACATTGTATGTTAGTTGTTTTTGGTCTATTTCGAGTCGATCAGTAGCTTCGTGAATGACTGCTGAATCGTATGTCTATTATGAGCCTGACGTTTGAGGTATGTTCAGTCTGAGTTTCAGCAACTCGACCCAACTTTAATCGCCTTTTTAACATTCGGACATGGTCTGGCGATAGCAGGGTCCAGCTAAACCGCTGCCATCGCTGGACACAATTCTGTTCTTTTCCCAAAAACCCAACATTGCCCAACAAAAACATCAGATTTCACCCTAAAAACAGCCTCCAAATAACTAAATACCCCACCTGAGGTGCAAGTAGAGATCGATGATTAAGATTGAGACCAGTTTAGTTACGATCGGGATGAAAGTGAAATTTTCCGTTCCTTTCCGAGAGCTCCCCTCGCGATCGTGAACGCATTAAATTTCCAACTCGTGTTTGAACAATGCGATGTCGTCATGCCCAGCGTTCCTTTGATGGTACCTGTATCCCAAGTGCAATTCCGCTACCGAGCGCGATGCATCGATTGTGATAATGAGTAGACTGGATCTCGTTTAGGGAGTCGGGAACTACATGTAGGGCAGCTCTTATGAGCGGAAACCCGTTCAAGCTACATGAACACAATGTACTTCTCGACTCCGTATCATCGTTTGAAATAAGTTCATGTTTACAAACAAGATCCAGTCTCCTCATTATCATATACACCAATGCATTGCGCTCGGTAACGGAATCGCACTAGGGATACAGGGACCGGAAAGATTTCCGGTAATCCTTACATGTACTTTTAGGACACCTCTATTTTTTCGAGTTCTGTTCAAAACTGACTTTTGCAGATGACTGTCCAGTACCAAAGTGACTTTTGCAGGCTAAAGCAATCTTTTTTCTTCATATAAACCCATGTTTGTTGTAATTTTGAAAGCACTTTCAAAGAAAATGTGACTTTCCTACCTTTTTTCGCAGTCAGACGTGCATGTTGTAGTTCTCACAACACAGTGAAAGCCCTACATAATGAAAGCTCGATGCTGATTGGCTGCTAAAAAAAATAAATAAGAAGTTTATTTTTTATCAGCCAATCAGCATCGAGCTTTCATCGCATCGAGCTTTCACGTTTGCCATCTTGGTTTTTGAGTCTGTTTTCTGGTTGTCATCGTCGTCTTTTACCCCTGAATTTCCCTCATAAATCAAAGCCCTGCCCTCTTTCCACAAAATTAAACCTGCTGATATTCAAGAAGGTACCAATTGTTCAGATGTGCCAAGAAATATCAGAATGTCAATTTTGAGTGTCATTTAGTCAACTGTTTTGGTGAGTCTTTCCCTTCCTATATAGGAACGGGGTCCTAAAAGTAAGGATTACTAAAATTTCCATATACGAAGTTCACTCAACACCCTGTGTACAAACCCTATGAGACTGGACTGAAAAATTCTAAGTGTTTTCTAAGAAAATGCTTGTATTTTCTCACTGCTCAAATTGACTTTGATGACATGAAATTGCTATCTGGGGGCTTGTTAGTCAATACAGAGGAAAATTAGTGAACTTTGTATATGGAAATCTTTCCCAGGGACCATCAAAGGAACACTGGGCATGACATAATTATGTACATTCCTGACAAAACATCGAAATCATGAAAAAACTAAATGGATAAAACCTATATGTATGAACAAAAACAGCTCAGAAAAAAAACAGCCAAACCCAAAGCTTGGCTTTGTAAAACTTTGCCATAAAGAAATTACAAAAAAATCCCCAAGATTTAAGAAGCTGTAAAATCTGGTAATACAGAATTTCAGAAAGAGGAAGAAATCAGCCATGGACATCTTCGTTGAACTGATATTTGCATTTGTCATCCAAATTCTTTTCAGGATCAAATTAAAATCATAGAAACACTTGTTTTCCACCCTTCATTGCCCTTCGTGTTCGTATCAAAATCTCCAACGAAGGCTCACCGTGGCATGTGAAGATCTTGCATGTGCTGTGGCTAGCTGTGCACGGCCAGCCACACGCACGCCGCACACATGGCCGATGGTAGCTGGAGTTACCCAGCCCTGAGTTTTATCATTGGGTTGTCTATTAGGGCTGGAGCTAGTTTTTCTCGTAAACGATAGTATGGGCAAAAAATTTTGGAAAATGTTCAATTTTGTCCCCGTTACACACTAATTGCAACTGCAACTCACCCCAAACTTGCCTGGAATAACCATTACACAGGTCCTTGAAGTAAAAAACGATCCACGATGAAGATTCAGCCTACAATTGCAGTGAAAACAGGAGGAATAACCGCTAACCTGACAACTTTGCTGTTTCATGCACAATCGGTTGCGTAAACCTGAGTGGTAAACCTCATATTAGTGCATGAAACAGTCATCGGGTGTTACGCTTCCGCGTGACGTCATGCGCCAACAGCCAGCGCAGCCGGCAAAAACGAGTAGTTGACAGCGCTCTGTGCCTGATAATCGACCGCCATTCATTGTACACAATTTGTTTGTGTGCACAAACCAATTGCGGTCCTGGCCATGCCAGCAAGGTTGTCAGGTTAGCGGTTATTCCTCCTGTTTTCACTGCAATTGTAGGCTGAATCTTCATCGTGGATCGTTTTTTACTTCAAGGACCTGTGTAATGGTTATTCCAGGCAAGTTTGGGGTGAGTTGCAGTTGCAATTAGTGTGTAACGGGGACAAAATTGAACATTTTCCAAATTTTTTTGCCTATACTATCGTTTACGAGAAAAACTAGCTCCAGCCCTAATAGACAACCCAATGATAAAACTCAGGGCTGGGTAACTCCAGCTAGGCCGATGGAGGGATTTTACGGTCATCCAATTCGGAAGGGAATCCCCACTGATTTCTCCAGAGCTAGGCTACTCATCATCTCATGAGTCATGTTTTTACCAAAGATAGTTATTCTCTTTGTACCTTCAGAAACTTTGTGTGAAAATTTCATTGCTGAACTCCATCGGTATTTGAGAAAAACACATGAAAAAATCTAGAACATACGTGCCGCGCCATAGACTTGCACGTACATTTCGGGCAATGTTTGTCATCCACTCCCATGATGCATTGCGAATGTCGAAAAGGTAGTTGCCTTGGGCAGAAAAAATTGTCTCCGAGTCCTGTCCCAAAATGTTTGGTCTCAGTATTTCACAAGTGTTATTTTGACATGGTTAGGTATCTCTAGCGTGGGTTCAAGTCTCTGAAAAGTCAAACAAAACCGTGACATTTACCAGAATTTCGCTCACCAAGTTCACAGAATGTGAAGTTCCTGATGTCTGTCGTCATTAGCCGTCAACTGAGGGCGCTGTGCTCCGAACAGCGCCCTCATCAGTCGACAACTAACGATGACAGACAGCAAAGTGTACTTTGAAGTGATTTCATTGATTTCTGAAACCACCGTGAACTCATAAAAGAAACGATACAAATTAATTCAATCGTAACTCACTCCCAGACAACGCCGGTAGAACACAATTTATTTGTTTGGCCGGGGGGGGGGGGGGGCATGTATTTTTGTTCCCGAATAACCAAAACTTCCGCCCAAATTTCAATATGAAAACTAGCTAGAAGGGTTCCAATGTATTGCTTTTGATGAGTTTTGTGGGTGGTGTACTCGGTGTAAATATACACGAATAAACACTCGTTTGGCCCGACAGAGGACGACAGAACGACAGAGGACGCAATTAATTCGCGTTTGACTGTGCACAGTGAGAATTTCTACGCGAGGTCATTAACATATGACCCCACAACTTTTTTTTGAATAAAGAGACCGTTTGGCTTAAAACAAAAACCGGTGGAATTGCGTTAAAATAGCCGAGGATCTATCCGGCCAAACAGACCCGAGACATTTATTTTATGAACCGAATCCGAATAGAAACCGACCTCGACTACCTCAAACCGACCCGACCCGACAATAATTCAAAGAAAGCCGACCCGAAACCGCGACGCGACCCGAAAAAACGAGTATATCTGGCTTCTGCAAATGTGTCCGCTTTTCGCGCCTGAACTGACCTGCTTCACGTAAAAAAATATCGGCTTTCAGTATCTGAATCATGCCGTGCGTCACTCACTACGACGGTGCCTTACTGGTGGGCCTACATGTTATAGACCGATCGAGACAGACCGCAAACCATTTTTAGTCGCACCGCGCGCAGTGACTCTGCACAAATTGTGCACCATATGAATTTCCATTCTGTTTCGGTTCATTTCGGTTTATTTCGGGTTTTTCCAAAATGGCTTAACCGACCCGACCCGACCCGAAAATCGCAAACGCAAAACCGAAACCGACCCCACCCGACTGAAATGTTGGACAAACCGACCCGACCCGACCCGAAGTCGGTTTCGGGTCGAGTCGGTTTCGGTTTCGGGTCGGGTTTGCGCAACAATTAGTCCAAGCCCAAGCTACCAAATTGATCTCAAACCTGCGCACGTACTTGCCATTTGAAGAACGAATAGCCAGACTTACTCTAACAACTCTGGAAGGCAGAAGGAGACGGGGTGACCTCATCGAAAAATTCAGAATAATAAACCAAATATGCAAAATCAACCCGTGTTGAACTGAGAACGCCGACTACAAACTGTTAAGGAACCAAAGGGCGCTCTTTTAGATATTTGCAAAAACCAGACCAAATCTTACAGAAGAAAATACTTCAGCCAGCGAGTCGTCGATGACTGGAATATAGTCTGCCAAAGGCGCCGTATCTGCACCCTATATACCCCTTATTTTCAAAATCCAACTAGTAAGACATGGGTTTATAATGAGGCAATGATAGCCCCCTCCCCTTAACCCTGTCACACAACCTGCTAGAAGAGGACAGAAGTGTGGCACTTCAAGGTAAACATTCAAGGTAAATACAAGTTGTAAATATCAATTCCACGTCTCTTGGTCATGCTGGTTCTTTCTTGGCTGTTCTTCATTAAGTTTTCTAGAACTTGGGGTCATTACTGTAAATGATTGATACAATTTGTTAGTGGTGACATCTGAAAGGTTTGTAAAAACCTTACAGTTTTGGAAGTACGGAACGGCAATCCGGAGGTTGCAGATTCTAGTCTGAGTATCACCCGTTATCCACGGAGCCAAGTCTCCTGTCTAACCCTTCGCCAGAGCCAGGGTCTATTACATAAACTAGTTCCAACCCCCGATTTAAAAGAAATGAAATTAGGAATTCATTCCTAACCTTCTGAGGCAGTGAACTCCATGTGTGCGAGATAATGTATGAATGCATCAATTCTACCACATGAATAATTAACCTAAATACTTTCACTTCTGTGACAGTAACAACCTCTCCTCACCTCTTACTCTCATCTCCTTGTTTGCATGGACGTAGCCTGATTCTCCATCACTCAAGGTACTGCACCAGTAGACCCCTCTGTCTTGAAAGTTGACCGACTTGATCGTCAGCGGAAACCCAGGGGCAGCTTTGTCAAACTGGTAACGAGAGCTATTCATGTTTATCACATTCCCTGTGGAGATTCTGAAGTCTATAATAAGATCTGCGTCTACTATAGATCCTCCGAAGTCACTCTTAGTCCACTGCACGATGCGGATAGACCCAGCAGACGTACAGGTGAATTCCGCATCTTGACCGCTGTCTGTCCAGTTAGGACCTTCGACCAGAGGTGACTGTCCCGAAACTGCAAAGATAAAGAGAAATCAGAAAAGGCAACATTCAACAATATGCCACTTTTGGTTATTGGGGACGCTGTATCGGCTCCACTATTTGGTTTCAAACAGTAGAAAACCTCCAACTAGTAATATTGAATATTGTCAATAGGCCTATGTAATTTGGGAAGTGTAGCAACATGTAATTTATGTTAATAAAATGGGATTCTAATATGTTTATATCCCAAAATTACACCCATTATCGCTTAAAAATATGGCCGTATTCACTTTATGTATTAATGACAGCTGCGTACGTATCATTTGGTTTTTCCATGATGCCAACTTTTAAGTATTTCCAATGCATCGAATGGGGGCGCTATCACGACGACATTGATTAAAGAACTGAGAAACAAAATTATTATGTCAAGCATTTCAGCAAACTTTAGTTCAATCTATTTTTGAAATGAAAGTTTGAAATAAAGCGCACTGTAAAGACAATGATTTACTCATCATGTTGTTTTTCTGTTGAAACGTTTGTATAATATTACAGTTTACTGTTTTCGGATGTTTTGGTAAATAAACAAATCTGTTCCAGTCTACGTACAGCGGACTACGTACTACATCTGTACGGACACAAGAAACATCATGTTTCGAACAAGCCTTCCGTTTTGTCCCTGTTAATCTGTCAATGGGTTTCACTGCACGTTAGATTGTCCCCGTATTTTAAAAGATCGCGTTATTGATATACTTTCAACATTTTCTTTAGGTATGCATATCTTGTGCAATTATCTTTCTATCTTTATATGCATATATATAATTTTTGAACAGGGATTTGGATGAACACATCTTTTTGATGACAGTTTTTTCCTTGACATCCCCTGTTCATTTTATCATATGTTTAAAGTCAAAAGATTTAAAATAAATGAAATAAAAATCACAGTCACACGGCTATCTCTAAGAGCCCGCCGCACACGAGAGCTACGTGCTGAACAAAAAGTCTTCCGAGGCCGTTCGCTGAGTTTCTGACTCACGAGGCCACGAGGCAAATATCTCCCCTATTTCTTTCGCCTCGCGAGGCTTAAAACTAACCGTGGGCGGTCAACCTGAGCTACGTGCTGAGCTAAAAAGATTGATTAGCCACTGAGGTTACATGTATGTACTCTGGACACATGATGGACACATGGCCTTTGTCACCATAAACCACGCTTTTGACAAGAATAACGTGCTTTCTATTTTCAATTTGCATTTTGCCATTTACAATGGTGTTTGGACCTCAATACTACAGCTCTTTCAGCACCAAAGGTAGCCGAAATTGTGAGTATCGTAACTTTTTTGTGATTTGTTGGGGTGTCAGTACAAAACAGAAATCCAATGAGCAATCTTTTCCACCCCCAAAAAAATAAAAAATTGATAAGCACATTTTTGGTTTCACAATTTGATCAGAAAACTCCTAAACTGGACAGTGTCCTGAAATGACGTCACAGCAACCGCGTCCACAGTTGTCCTGAAAAGCACGGACAATTTTAAATCATAAAGCGCTCTTTTCAATAAAATTTACCAAAAAGGGATATTACATATTGTTCATACATTTAGGAGGACTGGTGTGGAAAAATTGCACATGTTCCTCAGAAAAGAAAAACAATCGCTTCAGTGATCCTTTAAAGACGGGTAGAAGGCGCAAATGAATTTAAATTTGTTTTAATATTTCCTTCGCATTTTTAGTTATCTACATGTATATGTATATGAAAGCTTAGTGGCTTGCACAGTGTGAATCTGTGTTTGTCCTTCAACTGCTACTTGTATTTGGTTTCTAGCGGAAGTTTAGTACAGCTATGGTGTGAAAAATAACACCTAACGAGGATAACATGTGATTGAACTTAAATGAGTATGCGTGACCCATTTAGCCTTAACCTATCTCCGGAAGGACACATGGATTCCTGAAAACATTGTTTTCGCAGCAGCTGACGGAAAGACACTTGATATTAAACGAGATTTAAATAAAAGAGAGCAACGTGAATACCCATTAAACAGAGAATAGATGACTTAAAGAGAAACCCATTTAATTGTCTATTTTGTCTTCGTAATGAACAAATGTATATCTCCTCAAAAACCTGAAACTCTTGACAGAATTATCTCGTGTCCTCCCCCCCCCAAAAAAACCCCACAAAATTCAGACCCAATTTTATTTGTAATATATATCATATAAATCGGTTGAAAGGTATACTTTAGAAGTCAATGTATAATATCAGATGAACAATCATTAGCCTTATATTCGTAGTCCATTTTATTCTACTTGCATTTTCCATCATTGCAGCGGCGTAGCTACGGGGGGGGGGGGTGTTGAGGGTGACGCACGCCTCCAATGAAAAACAATTGTCGCCCCCCCCCCACCCAGTGCCGCCCCCCCCCCCCCCCCCCCAGTGCTGCCCTCCCCCCTCCCTGGAAATTTGCCAATCAGAAAAAAAATCCCGAAACCATGATTAGCGGGTTTAATAAAAGTGCCCATTTGACATTTTGAGATATATTTTTAGGCGAAAACCGCTGTTTATTTGAACGTCCTGTGTAACGCGTATAATTATTTTCAACAGCGCCGCCATTCAAAGATGGTGTCCAGCCCCCCCCCCCCCTTGCCAATTGGGATGACAATTTAACTCAATCATAATTCCCATGTCAAAACCTAAACAAAATACGTGAAACATGTGAAACTTAGATGAGTTCAACAATTATACATGTAGATGTATTAAAAAAAAAAAATGTTCTCACCTGTAAGTAAACAGGACAGTCCTACCGCTAGGAGGCTAATGTTGGCTACCGGCTTCATTTCCTACAATGTGTTGTGGCTGTTCAACAAAACTGAACCTTTAGTCCTTTACAACAATATTTTTTCCGTCTTCGCGTTATTCTATTAATTCGTCCTGTCAAATGAAAACTGTCAAAAGAAGGGACTACTTCGTTTTCATCCCGGAAATATGTCGCGTTCAGTGTTGAACTGTTTTGACGAAAGAATGTTTAGGCTCAGGGTTATAAATGTACATGTATGTGTTATGTTACCACACGTGACAAAAGTGTTTTACAGGAAGCTATGGAGGGCGGCATGCGTATGACCTGCATCCGGCGGGTGATCTTGTGAGGGATACTGAAAACCTGTTAATGGGCAGCAAGGGCGCAAAGAAATTAATCAACAGGCAAGTTCGATTGGGGATTTGTGGTTGACTAGCGGTTGATTCCAGGCTGTGCTGCGCCTGCGCGCTGATTACAAAGTGCGATCGTCTCTGGTCGAAGAATGCTGGAACTTGGAAACGATACTTCTCCACTGGCAGATCCATTGGGGCCGGGGGGGGGGGGTATTGGAAAGGGTCACTCCCACCTCCTCCTTCCGACTGACCATTGACCTATGTTGATTATGCACACTAACAAATGCACATTTTCCTTTAAGTTCCAGGAATAACGTCATCACTCAGTATTGCAAATCCTGATTCATTGCTACAGGTCCCCTAATACCTTGACTGCAAGCCTCATTCCCCCACTCAAATATCAATAAATAAATTGACTTTAAAACCCACTGCAAACAACCCCTTTGGTAAATCTTGGGATGCCACTGTTCGCGTTCCTGGTTCCTCGCTCAATTTGTCTACAATGTTCGTCAACTGGTGTGCCCGGGGGAATTGGTAATCAACACAGCCACTGTGGTCTCAACTCCATTAATATACCATGGACTGGTTCTGAGTGTGTTTGAGTGCAATAGTTAATGCATAGCTCGTGCTAGGACTGGCAACTAGCCTCCGCAATCGAGGGACCTTGTCAATGTCACGGCAGCGAAATGACGCAACGGGAAATTAGTTTAACAGGAGACAATTGATTGTTTGTTTTTCTGTTTCGTTGGTAACCTGACATTGGTTGTTCGTCCGGTCTGTATATTGCAGGTGCATACACTTGTTCGCAAGGCCAAAAGGTAACAAGTCGAAACCTCAGCGAATCACGCGCGGTTGTCATGATCAACTGAAACAAGTATAAAATTGAAGACAATAGTCTAACTGGAAAATAATCAAAGCATACTTACCGACAACAATTATAGCGAGGTTGACCCATCATAAATTTGGTTCATAATCCAGATTTCTGATACATAACAGAGCACCAGTACTTCCCACAATCAAATATAAACTCCAGTGAAGGGATGGTCAACACGCTGCTACTTGTCACTCTTTTTCCAAAATCTTGTTTTATAACTGCCGACTGCCAAAGAAACAATTGCAAAGACAAGGGAAGGAAAGCTATTCCTCGTACGGATAAAAAAAACAGTTCATTTTTCAAATAAACCAATTATCAAAGCAGTGTGTACAATTCAATTTGCTGTAATATGTAGTTTGAATATCTTTAGGTAAGTCATGATCTTCTATTCTTCCTTAAAAAGTCTAGAACCTTTTCTCAATAAACATCCATTCCAGTCCAATACATCGAAGTCCTTGAAATACAAATATTGTGAGCAGCTGCAATTTTTGGTTTCCTTGTGTATCAATCAATTAAAGTAAATTCCTACCAGGCATAAAGCAGGTCAACACAAATGCAACCAGGTACACACTTTCTACTGACGCCATTTCCCGCTCCTAGCCTTGGCTGTTGACCGAGCGTCGGAATGTCTCTTGATCTGGATCCGGATGCTCAATATCGTGTATTTGATGAACCCACTGTTCAAGCTTGTTGAAAGTCATGTACACATAGTAGGAAGGTAATGTTACATGTATATGATCCCGGAAGTCTGCTTTTGTCGGGGCTGAATGAGTGTTAAATACGTTTGACAGATGGAGAATATCGAGCAGGTCTTCCATGGACATCCATATTTCCTAACTGTTTTAACAATCTGGCGAAGTTAGACGTCTCATTATCTGAAACAATTATTCTACGAAGTCAAAGGCAATAATAAAAAGTTGGATACAACACTGATGGGCAATGTTATATTTCCAACATTGACATTAAATTACCTTATTGTTGGAATAATTCGGGTAAAAATTGTTCCAGTGTTGGGAAGAATCTGTACAAGAGTGTCGGCAGTTGGTGTAATGACGAAGTCTTTTGAATTTTTGTTTGATTTTGATGTGTACAAAATAAATGCAGAAATGAAATGAGTGAAATGGAATGAACATCAGTGGCATAAATCGGTGTCGGCAAGGGGGGGGGGGAGCCGCGGGGAAAATCCTAATATTGAGCACCCAGGCACGGATCCAGAGGAGGGAGGGGGGTCAAACACCCCCCTTCCACAGCTCTGACTCAATTTTTTTTCCATATAAATACATAAAAAAATAATGTGAACCCTCCCCCTACTCTGACAAAAAAAAAAGATACTGGTAAGAATGTCAGCCTGTGCACAAAGGTCGGACACAGCCAGCTGGTTTACGGGGGTATTTACTATTCTGTAATATAGTGTTAATGATGGTCGGATTTGAACAGCGCCCCCATTGAAAGTATGGTTCAACCCCCCCCCCCCCCCCACCACTATTGATTGTATGGACGCCGATTGTCCGGAGAAAAAAAATGTCTACATTTCAGCATTGATTTGCTGATGAACCCCCCCCCCCGCAAACATTCCTGGATCCGCTCTGGCACCCCCCCCCACCCCCACCCCCCACCCAGCTCGTGACAACTGGGGGAAACAAAACCACTTTTATTTCAATGCTTATGAAGCAGTAAATAATGTTGTAGAGTTGACCGGATTAAATATTCAAAACGGCTCAGAATATTGTCGGAATAGAATTCAAAAAAAGAAAGAAAAACATACAATTTTCTTGCACGGATACAGTCTGTTTGTAATTATTTGCCGTGTAAATCAAAATACAAAAAACAAATTTGGCCAGTAATACATTGCAACTCAATATCTTCGTGTGCAGCTGACATTATGAGAAAATTAAGGCTTCCATGTTTCCAAACAGCACCACACCAACATGCAATTTTCATGTGAATCCGATGCTGGTGGGGTTCCAGGGGCGGATCCAGGAATTTTGCAGGGGTAGGTTTTCTTCAGCAAATCATTGCTGAAAATGTAGACAGGTTCTTTTGTCTGGACACTTGGCTTCGCAAAATCAAGTGGGGGGGGGGGGGGGGGGGGGGGGGGGGGATGCCTCGCACCATAGTTTCAATGGGGGCGCTGTTCAAGTCCGACAATTATTAACAAAATACAAGCACGTGCTCGCTTGCAGGCAGTTACGAATTGAGCTCATTCTTGTTGACGACTCAAAATCATGAATCAAGCTAAAGAGGGCAAATCTCGAAAGAGAGTCAAGCTACAGTTTTGATGTGATAGAATATTACCAGAACAAGAAGTGCAAGATGTCATACACTATTATTGATATCTTCTGTATGCAGAGATAGAAAGAAAACAGTTAATATATACAGTGAAAGCGTTACGTTTTATTGTTACTTAAGTCGAGCCGACTTGATTGATTGATTGATAAGAAAGGAACAAGAAATAAAAAAAAAAATATCTCAAATTCTCTCCGCGATGATCAACAGTCCTTCCATGGGCGTCGCCATGATTTTTTTCTAGATGGTCGCAAAACATATTTTTGCCAAAAAAAGCCTGTATTTCTGAACACATTCTGGATTTATCAGTTTTAGGGGGACAGGGACATTTTGCCCCCCCCCCCCCATCCATTAAATTTACACCACTATGACTTCGCGCCTCTTTTTCTTTTTTTTTTTCTTTTTTCCCCTTCCTTTTCCCCCTTTTTTGCTTTTCCAGGAGGGGGGGGGGGCAAGTGCCCCCCCTTGTCCCCCCCCCCTCGCGACGCCCATGAGTCATTCAATATTTGTTGTTTTTCCTGATGTGTAAGAAATATGCCTACTAGTCTAGCTGTGTGGCCTTTGACAGGTTTCGGCAGTTCAACGTAACTTCAACTAAACGCCTGTGCGGCTTCCTCCGGCCAATGAACTGTAGACCTTGAGGTGACCTCACGGCTACGAGGACAAATCCTGAAACTTGGATTCTGACTTCAACAGCTGGGAGGAGGGTATGGGCATAATAGGCTCCGTGCACAAGACTATACCCCCTCAACGGTTACAATGGGAGAATTGGTTGAGACAATCTGGGGGAGGGGGGGGGGGGGGGCTTGCGCTCAAAATATACAACATCAACATTTTAAATTCCCAATTCAGAATAAGGCAAATCCAGACCCCCTTGAAATATCCGAAAATTAGATCTAATAAATGCTTATCAGAAACGTAGCTTATATCTGTAATCAGCAGGTGTTCATAATAGATCCCATGTTATGTGAGGTGAGCAGACTGTTAAGTTATTAATCACATCAGGTTATGCATGGACCAATAATGCATGGTGAGAATTATTATTATTACATAGTTCTGGTGGTGGAGGGTCAAACAGAACGTAAAAGACAGGGATATTGGTTTCACGTTGTTTATTTTGTCACTGAAGAACGTGAATGGGTCGTCCAAGAACACAGTGTGTAAATAGAAAAAAAAACATTTATAATAACAAGTAATAAATCACTGCAATCATCACTGCTAAATGAGAAATACATGTATATCAATGATTGAATGCTTAAATGAGTTGATAATCAGCTATAAAACACGGCAAATTTTTAGGTAAAATTTAAACGTCTATTGCCTCCTTAATAAAAAATATATTTACATCCTTATTAAATTTTACGATTTTACATTGAAAACACTGAAAGGTGTTTTTTTGACAAAACAGCAAATATGCATGTTATTATGCATGACTTTTATGTTCTTAAAACATAAAAGTCTTTTCATTTGGTTTTTGACATGAAAGGCCTATGAAATGCCTCACGGATGAGAGAAAGACCCAGCTATTTCGGATCACCTCCTCCCACTAGTGGCGTAGTCAGGGTGGGGCACGTCAGAAATTTGCCGCTTTTCATGGAAGTGTCTTCTTGAAGTATTTGTTTAAGATGATTATTTTGTCTTCCCTTATGGCCGTACGACTTTGTTAAATGTGAATACATGTGTACATTGACACGCAAATAGAGCGCCCTCTAAAGCCCAAAACGGTTCAGCCCCCCCCCCCCCTGCTTTTCAAATTTGCAGCACTCGCGGTGACCGGTGGCCTGGACATATCGGGGAAATGTTGTTGGGTCCGCTCTGGTTCCCCCGCCCGCTCCCCCAGGGCCTCCCCGCTCCCCCTCTCCCTCCCCTCCCCGAAAAAAAGCCTGGCTACGCCACTTCCTCCCACCGGGCCCAACAACGGCGTAAACCCCGGCACGTTTAACGTGGTTGGCGTCATCCGGTTGGGCATTCTTCCTTAGTAACAAAAATGGACTGCCTCAGTTGCTATGACGACATTCATCGGATGAGCAAGCATTGTTGTTACATATGGTTTCCCCTTCTGTACATAAAAGGATAAATACATTACCCATAGCGGCCGTAATACAAGCAACTCTTAAACACTTCGGGAACAATCATCGTTATTAAAGAATAGTTTAAGGAATTGTTCTCAATATAGGATAATTAAAGTTACTAAGTAATAGGCTCTTCTATACCTACAGTGGTACGATGGTACTAGTCTTCATCACAAAAACTATCGGTTGTTAATCAAAACGGTATTATTTTTCATCCTGTTTCATAAAAGTGCGCCCTCACAAGATTAAAAAACCAACATCATAGACTAACAATGGTGCGATAGTATGAAAAATCGGACACCTCGTGATACACTGCAAAATAACGCGCCATGATTGAGCATTTTGATTGTGTTGGGCCATTAATGGCATACATTTGTACAAGTAAAACTGCCGTTGGGATTATAGTTTCTGCGTTATTATGTAATAGTAGCAAGTTTGATAATACTATTCTAGTTGTTATCGCTGTTTTCCCCTGTAAAGTATGATCTTCAGTGTTTCAGATCTTCTCATCAGGTGAATCGGGAATCGTCACTTCGTAGTCAAATTCTTGGTAGTCTGACAGAGTTATGTAATCCTGGCAAGAAAGAGAAAAAAAAGTAATTTTACGTAATAATTTGCACTGAAATGTATCTGGTTGTCATAGTATTAAAGAGATCCTGTATAGTTTTGATGGAGGTGCTGGGTCGGGTGGGAACAGAGAACTGTATTTGATTAGTAACCCTGGAATAAGCAAAAATGTTTAAATACAGTTCGTGAAATTTCAATGTATTTATCGGGAGTATCAGTACAATATATGTATTGCTATTGAAACCCGTGGGAGATTACCAAACAACAGAGTATCATCCAATATTCGTTTACAGTAAAGTTACTGAGGCTCAGTGCGTGAATCTTTCATTCGGATATTCGGAACACAGGAACTTCACTCGAATCGTTCGAGACTTTCCTATGAGCAAAAGGACACACAATGGCGTATGAAGCTATATGCGCACTGCATGGTACAATAACAGCTCGAGATACTGCCGAACTGACACCCTGCCTTGCACAACTTGAACGCTTCAGATGGCTTAGTAGACTGGGAACCAGTGTCGTAGATTGTCCAATATGTAGGGGGCACTTGGCACACTGATTGGGTTTCGTCAATATTTCACACATTTTCTTTCTAAAATCTAAGGTGAGGCACAAGGGGACAGGGGCCTTAATCGAGGGAAAGACAGGTTTCCCTTCTTGATGCTTGTAATGTCCCTTCATGAGGTGAATACATATTTACTTACATGCGCTCCCTCCAGCAATTTTTCAAGTTTCCTACCGATCTCAGTGAACGACGGTCGTGCTGTGGGCTCCTCCTCCCAACAAGCCAGCATCAATTGGTGACTGTGTGAATGGAAAACAATACAATCAGACATGTTACCCTTTTTCAAGTTAGTTTATCGGTACCCGTTATCAAAAAAAAAGACATTGTTGATTTATCAATGCCTCTGTTGGATGTTTGAATGTGTAAACATTCCAAAGTAGATATCGTAAAATGCTATTTGTTTAGGTTGATTTCTCTACAGTTTTCTTTGGAATGTATGAGCAGTAAATCCATGTATCTTTAGTTGTATAGACCAACATGTAACACCTTATTTAAGGTTGCAGTAGATCAGTAGATCTTCTTTATTTGTTTTGGAAATACATTTTTAAAAAAGAAAAGAAGAAGAAAAGCCTACGCATTGCATTGCTGCCTAGTCATTTAGAAATTGACAGGAGTGACGTTGTACTACTTGAGTCAGCAAATTCTAAGATTGCAGGTCTCCTATCTGTCAATCTCTTTGATCAACGAGTGTGTTTGCGGTGATGCACGAGGACCATCTCAAATCCCACTGCACTATGCAATAGGATTTATAATGAATGAAGTGATTTTAAATCTCTTACAGTTCATCTTGGCAATGTTCTGGTCTCGGCATGCGGTATCCTTCCTGCAGCTTGCTAATCATTGTCTTGAAGCTCATGGTGGGATAAGGACGAGCACCTGTAACGAAACATTATCACAGAATCGGAAATAATTGATTCAGTTTGATATGCTCCGATGATGAAGCTGAGATACTTTGGACCGATTCGTTTTCTTCTCAGCGGGAGCTCATTGTAAAAAAAAAATATATAAACGAACAGACGGCGGGAGAGGTTCGTTGAGGCATTGCAGTCAATGAAAAAAAAAATTAAGGCAGAAGATCAAGATTTGCAATACTGAGTGATGACAGTATTTAGGGAATTTCGTGTAATAGATTTGGATTTTCCCCGCTTTTTTGTTTACATTAATAATTTACTTGTGAATGTGTTAACTCTTGTTTCAATCAGGACTCACAATGTAAGAGCATGATATGAAGGTACGAAATAGCGACATTACCCTGCTAATGCATAATAAAACGGGAATTTTCTGTGGCAATAAATAAATACGTTCTGAATGTTTACACATTGTAAAACTCACCTAGAGTAACAATCTCCCACAGAAGTATGCCATAAGACCATACGTCACTCTCTGTTGTGTACACGTCATCAACAACCGATTCCAGTGCCATCCAACGAACAGGTAAGCGAGCCTTGACAAGTAGACACATTTTTTAAGGCTAAAGCATTTATTTTTTATTAAAGACAATAAAAAAATTAAAGGACAAACAATAAAGCAGAGAGCAAAGGAAAGTGTCTGGAATGAACATGTCAAAGTTCAATACCTCGGACTTCCGTTGGTACACTCTCATGTTCTTGACGTCACGAGCGAGTCCGAAATCTGACACCTTACAAATCATGTTCTCACCCACAAGGACATTACGAGCGGCCAGATCTCTGTGAATGCACTGTGTATCAAAAGACAGGATATCATCAGTTCGTTGGGAGTTAAGTTGGTGTGGTGGTACTTTCCTCGCCTTTCCCAATGTAACCCGGGTTCGAATCCCGCCCATGCCCACACATTGACTGGTTTCCAGTCTCTTGACTCTGTGGCTTTCCCTAGAATATTCCTTTCACTTCTATAAAGAACAGTACTTTATTGTACTCTCACTGTTGTTGCACTTTGACGACTTTTGTGTGTGTTTCATTACCGGACAGAATATAATCTATAACCAAACACATTTTAAAAATAAACTACATAAAACGGTGGCCTAATTGGCACAGATGAGTGTTGATCAGCATCACCTATTTGGATTTCGTTTTCAGTCTCTCACTAATCGCATTTGAAAGAGTGGCAGTTAAGTCACATGTACATTTCAAGTCACCGCAAGTCGTTCAGTCCCGTGTCAAATCATAAGTTACTCAAGCAAGATTTGACAAAGAGTTTCCTTGTCACTGGCCATCCCCTGTCATTAGTGACTTTAATTGTGAATTACTTCTGATGTTGATTTACTGCATAATGATCAGCCTTGAAGGCTTCGTAAATCCAGTCAGCAGTCGCAAAGTGATGTATATCTATTACAGAAATATTAACACTAACCTGCTGTGAAGCCAGGAATGCCATTCCATCAGCAACGTCTGTAGCGAACTTGATGAGGTCCTTAGACGTCAGAGATTTGCTTCTACCGTGCAGGTTGCTATACACCTGCAACTTGCCTTTGCCTCGACTACTCGTCAAGAGTTCCTTGAGTTGACCTTTAGACATGTACTCCATGATGATATAAATTGGATCTGATAAATGCAGAGTTGTTATTTGAGTCACTTTAGAACTAAAAATCCCTGACAGAATATTGAGAATGTTCATGGACAATAATCACTGTTCTTTAATCGCTGAATAGCATATGCTACTCACAGACTCTTTTTTTTGCTAGTGTGCCTTTAACGAAAACAATGTTATCTCCCCTAAACAGTTGTCAAGAAAGCCCTTAATTTTTTGAGCATGCAATCGTGATATCTAATGAAGTGATGCTGAAAAAGGGTCTTCAAATTTAATACAAGTGTTAATGATCTACCTCTGTCAATGCAGAATCCGAGGAGTTTGACGACATTAGAGTGACTCGGAAGCTTTTTCATGAAGTCCAATTCCCGGAGCAGATCGCCTCTCTCCGTGATATCTGCGTCGTCTGTTCATGAAATAGCCGTTAGAAATACTTGTGAATAATCTATCTCAAATAACAGTATGTCCAAAATTGAATGTTAGGCTTTGTATTTTGCTTACTTGGTGTTAAACACTCATTCATACAAGTGAAATACGTGGACTAACAATCATGAAATATCATATCAAAAGTATTTGGACATTTAGCCATGCTGTGACATGTAATTCAAAAGTAAATGATGAACTGGTAATTGTTTTCTAGACTTGTTAATCGATGTAGTCGAATTACCTCTTAGAGTTTTGATAGCAACTTGCGTTACAGTTCCCTGCTGGACGATACCGTTTGCATTCCCAAGTAAAACCTTCCCGAAGGCGCCCTGTCCAAGTTCACGAACGATCGTCAGCTTTTCTCGCGAGAACTCCGCGAGAGTTTCAGAAATGCTGGCGTAAGTCGACGCAGCTGGGTTGGGGCTCCCGCCTACGGCCAGGATTTGTAGGGGTACGTCTGTGGAAAGATTGCAATGAAGAAAGAAAGATTACCATGAAGAAAAAAAGTGTCATGAATAGGACAAGGAGAGACCAATTACCAGAAACTTTGGGGATCACATGTTCAGCTCGTTCGTGTTTGGGTCCATTGAGGTGTGGTGTGGTCGTTCACACCTGCATAGTGTTAAGCAAAAAAGAGACAAAACAAAAATGTTTCCCTTCTTTTTTCCATTCACAAAGTCCAACATGACCTGTTTAGCATCTTACCCAAGTCTTGGTATTCCACTGCTTCGTTGGTGACACCTCCTTTGTGTTCTGGCTTGAATTTCCTGGGGAAATAGGTTGACAATGATTCCATATTAATCTATGATTCCATATTAATCTAAAGCCAATATTAAAATCTTTCGTGATATTGCTATATCTTGCTTACACATTGTGTAAAATTGTGACTATACTTACGGTATTGAAATACGTTTCTTGGTTTCTGCAATAAAGAAAACCAAATATTTAATTTCACTTCGAAATTGTGACAAAAAATAGTGGCTTTTATAAAGGAATGCTAATTATACCTGCTTTGTATAGAACCGCATGAAAACTAGTTTGTTAGTGATTGTCATAAGCATGACTGAATGAAACAGCTACGGGAATAAGGATACTCTGAACTAGGATAAATCTTTCTACCTTGGTCTCTGAGGTTTCTGTAACAGAACAAAAACTGTTTGTGCCGGAGTCCTTCAAGGATTTAAAATGGATCTAAAGTCGATGACGAAAACCTCCAATTTAATTACCTGGTTGTGGTCCTCTTCTTTTGATGTACATGATTACCACAGCATTCAGTGCAACGCTGATTAATAAAATGATGGCCAGAATCGCAATGCCTGCGATCAATCCTGCATTACTTGACTGTCCTGCAACTATTTGAGCACAAAAAATACAAACGAAACAGAGACAAATAGTGAAACCCATTGTTATTTGTCCTGGTGGTATTGTTTTGTCTGGCTGGTGTGTTACCTTATTTCTTAACTTATCATCTGTAACTTGAAATGTTTACTTGTTTATTATTGGTAATCTTCATATAGACATCTAGTGTGTTTTGTTGGGTGACTTCCAATCATTTTTGGATTAGAGCTTTGCGCAATGTGTTTTGCCGTTCATGTCTAGTAAAGTCATCTGCTTGACGTCCACACTTAAGATGATCCAGAGCAGCCAAAGTTCGTTACAATCTGGCAGTGGAGGTACCAAGATCAAACCGAGTCAGCCATCTAAGGTCCTTTTTTACCATCTACGGCCCAAATATGGAACTCTCTTCCTGCCCACATACCCACTAACAGGAATCTGGCCAGCTTCAAGAGGGAGGTGACTCGCTATCTGGGCGACAAGCCATCAGCAGTCTCTATTAATTAATAATGTTTCTAGCTGTTAAGGCCCGGATATGCCTTGTGTAAAAAAAAAATAGATTCACAAGTGCGACTCACAAGGAGTCTCTCAATTTATCTTGTTTACAAATAAGGCTAGATTTAGCCGATCAAGGGGTCATCCTACACGATAACACTGCCCAGCACTCTTCATAAGCCAATATCAGCCAAACTCACAAGCGACAGTCAGTTAGTGAGTCAGCCAGTGAGTCATTATATCAGTCAGGTGCAAAGACTATATAGGCTGCCCTCAGTCTCTAAGACCAGAAAACAATAACAATGACATTAAACCGGTTTGACTGACCTGTTATTGCAGTAGTCGCCTGACTACACAAGTCCCCATAGCAGTATCTAGATCGAGCCTCGCGTAGAGCCAAGTCTGTATTTGACTCAAGACACTCGCCATAGTCAAACCAATCATCTTGATTGGTTAGACGTGCTTCAAGCCGCAAACACGACAGGGTGTCGCCATCTTGAGGAATGCCATCAACTGAGATGATTCCAGTCTCTTGATTTGTTGTCACAGAGATATCTAAATATATAAAAAGACAAAAATAAATAAAAAATAAACAAAATGGCAGTATTATTAATGTTTGATATACTTTATCGGGATATAATTTATCGATTTGTCTATTTCGACACAGTTTTGGTTATCGTATTATGCAAATTGGATGTAAACAAAAATAATTGAACAGATTGATTCATAATATCAGTGTTTAAAAACAAGAAAAAAATACATCACTCACCTAACTTTTCTGGCGTATCAGCTGTGTGCAAATTGAACGAGAAAGAAGGGAAACTGTTCAACACGATATTTATAACAAAACCCATAGATCCACGAAAAGAAACTGATCATGAACTACACTGTGAAATTGCTGTAGCTGTAATTGTACCTTTGCTAAGTTATTTTGTTGAATCAACAATGAATATGGTGTGAGAGAAACAAAAGGCTGAACTTACGTAGAGTTGTCACAGTCCTTCTGACGTTTTGGCTCACGCCGTTAGCATTCTCAGCATAAACCTCGATCTCATACTTGGTGTACGGACTCAAACTCTCAATCACGTGCATCACGACGCCATCGGTGATTCTCACCCGAGTGTTAGGATCAAACCCTGTCGTTGTGTCAACTTCCCGGATGTTGACATAAAACCACTGAGGTTCGCCGACGTCGATGCCAGGACGCCATGTTATTGCGACAGATCTCGCTGTGACTGTACCCTGGTCGACGGACACATCTTCTGGTGGCAACGGTGTGACTATGGCACAGATGACAAACAAATAGAGGACCTAACTGTTTACATATTCTGCTTAAAATAGTCCTGCAAAACAGGCAAAATATATACCTGGCGTTTAAAACAAATTGTGATAAGTCATTAAGCTTCCTATATTTGCGACTAATTACACTTTACTGTGGAGCCACAGTCATAGCAAATGGTCTACAACGATACCACTTGTATCTTCCTGATATGCAGTTGTACTATGTACAAGTAATGAATGTTTATGACTGCAATAATTATTTTCATGTAACAAATTGAATGTTCTATTCCGGGCGACAAAGCCGAGTGGGATGAAACATTCCATTTGTCACCGAATGAAATTATTCTTTCCATTGCACGATTGTAAAACATTCATTATCTGGTCTATAACACACCTATTTTATATACAACACCTTTGTTTTATACAACACCATTGTTAGTTTTTTTTTACCAACTGTTTTAATTTACCTTTGTCGTTCAACACAATGGTCAGTGTGTCAACCATTCCTATTCCATTACCGCTGTTGCAAGTGTAAGACCCATAGTCTCCAGTCCCAGTCACTTCATTGATGTGCAAGGTACTCCTGATGGTGAATCCAAATACATCATCCCCCTCAGGGGTGGTATCGACCTGAAATATCCTGCCAGGGTCGGTCTCATTAGTTAACTCCACACCGTCTGGACGCAACCATGTCATTCGAGGGAGGGGATTACCCTTGCCTTCACATACAAGGGTAGCATCGTAACCATCTTTTGCCCCCACTGATGTGTCGACCTTATTTAGGATGCTCACTTCATCTTTGCATGGAAAGGAAGAAATAAACAATGTTGAAAACATTTTTTTAAATTGATATCACAGCAGTAGGGTATAAATAGGATTCTTCAAAATTGCGTAGTCTTTCATTTGTAGCCAAACACACAAAAAATCTTACAGTGTACAATGACGTCAACAGAGCCTGAAAAGACAACAGGTGGTACACCATTGTTTCCGCGACACCTGTAGGACCCAGCCTGGTCCCTGCTGATGCTGCTTAGTGTCAGGGTGCTTGTTCCATCGGTGTAGACAGAGGTTAGGGAGTCAGGAGACCCGACCTTTTCCCATGTGATGAAATCAGGGGGCTGAGGATTGGCCTCTGCGCTGCAGGACAGTACTATGCTGCCGCCCTTTACGATAGGACCGGTTGGCATAAGTGTTGGCAAAGAAAACTCCGGGCGGTCTGCAAATGAGAATCATATACATTAGACTTCTTTGTCAATATATTTTTTGATAAAATGAAATATTACAAGGGAAGACAAAGAACAATTCATTTTCCAGAACTTTACCGGGAAAGCCATTAAATTAATTTGATGTAATGTAGACCTACTGAAGGAATGACAGGTCGATTGTCGATGTGTCAAGAACTTTTTATGCACTACATTAGTACAAGGTTCATGTGTAACAGCTACAGGAAGTATGACAGAATCGACAATATAGGCACAACAATTTGCCTAAGAAAATAAAAGTACTTTACAAGTACTTGTTTGACATAATGAAAAGGCAGTGTTGTAGTCGAGTATTTTTTTCCAAGTACCTTGTACTGCCGTGTACTTAGGTTGCCGAATACGAGTGCGAGTTCTTGTACCTCCGAGTACGAGTACGAGTACTTGTACTTCCGAATACGGCCATAAGGCAATGGGTTTATTGTGCGTAATTGGCCCAGGCCCAGTCAGACCGATATACAGACCCACTCACGGCCAGTTGTTAAATGTGTTTGTCCGGACTTGCACAGAGGAAAATCAGCAAATCTCGATTTCTCTACAAGCCAATCAACCATTTTAAACTGAGAGTATCGATAAAATAAGGCCATGGTAAGTGAAGCTATACAATTTTCCCCTCGAGTACAATTTCGACATGTCGAGTACGAGTACTTTGACATTCGAGTCCGAGTATGAGTACTAGTACTCCAAACAAGTACTCAAGTAGTACTCGAGTACGAGTACCGAGTACGAGTACTACAACACTGTGAAAAGGTTACATAGCTAGCCTTTAGTTTCCCTCTGTTTATCTCAAACGATTTCATTTCAAGCTCATAATTTGGATTCACACTTTGAAACCATATCAGTTTAACATTTGGACAGCATTAATGGAAAGATCAAAATGGCGACTTACATTCAACATTCAACGAACACGAGTCGCATATATACATAGTGCATAGCGACGACGTCATCACGCAGCATTTGTACACAGCTCTGTTGTCTGTCTTGGTCAGTGCCCCTGTTGTCAACCTGAGTGTTGTCTCTCGGCCACCGTAGTCTCCATCGGTAAATACTGGTTGGCTTGGGTTAGACTGGTCCACGTCGTTCTTGGACCAAACAAGTGAGGTTGCTGGGTTGCTGCTGCCTGAATTACACGATAGTTGCACGATGCTACCTGATGCTGTACTTGATGGACAACTGACGCTTACTGCTTCAGCACAAACTGAAGAATATGGATTTTGGGAAACCAATGTTTATTGAGACCCTTACTCGGTTATCTGAAATTAAAGTAACGGCGCTCTTTGCGTAAATACAAACGATCTTACCCCTATAACCAAACTAAATAGCCCACGACTGTGTCCATCATACACCATACTTTCAACAAGGCAACATGTTTAGACTAACTTTTCTTTTGTGGGAGAACATTTTCTTTGTAAAAGAATCAGTTTAAATTGGAATGCGAATCACTTCATGGAATGAGAGAGGAAGTGAGGAAAAGCCGTTAGAGCTATATTAAATTTAATATAGCTCTATGGGAATAGCCGATCGATTATTCATTTTCAAAGTTAACTGTTACATACGTAACAGGTTTTCTTATTCAACATTTCTTTCATGAAGTAGTCAACTTACATTTACTAACATCCGTGTCTAGATAATTGGTGCATCAACTTGAACACATAGGCTTGCCAAGTATTGTAAGCACATCTTGAGATATCTCTTCTGTGAAATGCTATACTGAAAGAACAGAAGGTGGGAATGGCCGAGAACCATTCTCACCTGCTGTTCTAGTTCTTTTAAGACCAATACTTTATAGAAGACACATTCCATGGTGTACCCTCAACCCATAACATGCGTCCTTCACCGTCCAAAGTTTCCGTTCTTGCCCCTACAGAAATGTGAAAGAAGCTACACTTACATTGTACGTCAATGGGACCCAGCCTCCCTTCACTACTACGCATTCCTGAATCTCTCTGTGCTACACATGTGATGATGTTTCCATTATCCTGTCTCATTGGTGTGTAGTCCAGCGTGCTGGTGAAGCTATAGCGATCACCTGATGCAGACGAGCTCGTATTGGTACCAGTTATAGGTGAGCCTCCATTGGACCAAACCAGATTCAAGCTATCAGGATATCCCATGTCTGCTGTACACGTCAGTGTAGTTGGAGCATCTTCAATCATTGGAGAACTTAAAGTGATCACAGGGGCATCAGGAGGACCTGAACATGAATTTTGTAATACCGTACTGTGACTTCATCTACCATCTACCCTTGGTTACATGTACTTTTAGGCCCACATCTTAATGACAGAAACAAAATAACCAGTGTTTATACAGACATTCACATTCAACAAGTGTTAAATGTTGTGGCTCGAGCAGGGTAAAAGGTTTATGTATATTTTGCATGACCTCACACTGAAATTACTTTTATGTTTGTTAAACTTTAAGTAAATAAGAAAGTCGGACATTCCTTACTAGAAATACATTTACATGTACAAACGCCCAAAGTTCTAGTGAAAAAAAGTTCGCACACAAAGTTGCATGACCCAAAACATTCAAAATTTGGATTTGGAGTTTCCTCACAAAGACCTAAACATTTCAGAAAATGTAAAAAAAATCTGTCAGATTCGCACCTGTTGGGTGTGTTGATTTGACACGGAATGACTCTTATGTACAATTTAAAACATCGCATTATGTGCATTTACATGTCCATGTTTGTAGTACTGCACATCTGCTATGGTGTTTCGGCACACGCACATATACGCATACCTTCGATATGAGAAATGACTGTCAATACCTTCATTATTTCATATTGCACGTAGGGCTAATACGACTTTTTATACAAACATTTGGCTCGTGTGATTAGATAGAAAAGACAAAAGAGTTCCTTTAAACAATACCATTTAGACAATCCACATGTGTAGTTTTGATAAAATATTGGTCTTAATAATATCACTGATGTAAGTATTTCATATACAATTTCATTAATTTCCTTGAATCGTCGGGCCCACGTGTACATGTACGTAGGCTATACTCTCATGTTGAGTGATCAAAATTACATGATAGGCCTACATCCAAATTTGTTACATTTGTCCATTTTGTAAGCATTCCCTTTCAAGGAGTTCTCACCTCTTACTCGCATCTCAACAGAATTCCTGAAGTATCCAGTTTCAAGAGTGTTAATTAAACACCAGTAGGCTCCTTGGTCATCAGATGTGACGGCCTTAACGGTCAATGGATAACCTAGGGCGTCCTTATCAAACCCGTATTTGGAGTTATTGCTATTTACCACAATGCCATTGGAAACAGTCAACCCTATGAGTAGAATTGCACTATTAGCCGATTCATTAAAGTTGGCTTTGGACCACTGTACTAGGCGAACAGTTTCAGTAGAGATGCATGTGAAGACAGCATCCTGTCCAGTGTCTGTCCAATCAGGTCCACTGACAACAATCTGTCCTTGTGCTGTCGGTGAAATGAATAAAAGATAGAACACATTTCAAAAAGGCGTCTTCTACAACAGTCGCCTCATGGAAAATGATATGGTGATCATGAGATTAGCCCATGATACTGGGCTGCCTCTGTACATACACGTAGCCACGCTAAGAATATGGGGAGATGTGTACACGAACATTTTGCTTTTTCTAATTTCACATTTATACATGCATCATGATTTAAAACTGTATTTCTGGTTGATAAAACAAACCTACATATACCTGGCTACTTTCATAGGAAAACTAACAAGAAACTTCTTGTTTCCTAAATACGTATCACAAATAAATATAATTTTTGGATATTTACATACATGTTGAGATTAGGAGCATGGTATACCAGGTACAAGCAATTGAAAAAGGACAACATGTTTCACAATGTAGAGTATGACGATGCGAATGGCAACAGACTGAGAGCAGCTGGTTAACAATAAATGTTTGAGATTTTTCTCCCAAAACAACCAGCCTATAATTATTTAAAAAATAGTGTAGAAATACCACAATAACATCTGGCTGCCCGTATTTTGCTCACAGGCGTACTGAAAAACAGTTTAATTGTTTGGGCGGTGTCGGGGGGGGGGGGGTTTAACAGTATTTTCTATCCATTTCTATGGAAAACCAAACACAAAGCACAAAAGCTTACAATGCACTGTTTTGTTGTATGCGCGAGTATACAAAATGATGTGCATCTGTATCATGGATAGCGCTCCCTAGTGTAATCTGCTGTTGCGCCCCCGTCCCCCCGTCCCCCGTCCCCCCTCCCCTGTCCCCCCCCCCCCCCCCGCCTGGCACATTACTGAAATCCCTCCATAAAGTTGGCCACGACACCAAACCGCCAACATTTTAATACAATTAAACTTTGTTGCTGTTTCAGTCTGCATGTAACTGCAGATGAGAGTTGCTGAACTTCCAGCAATTATACTTTCATATTGGAAAAAAAACCCTTGTCACATCCGGTAAGTTTGTCTGACTAAATAGACACTAAAGTTGAAATAACCAAACTCAAAAGACAGCTTTATGGATAGAGTTGATCCACTTACCTCCGTGAAAGCAGGACAATTCAACCACAATGATGTACATGCATGTGTAAACTATCGACGCCATTATGAGTTTGCTAAGTTGTTTTCATTACCGTGCACACAAACCTTTTTCCGATTGAACCCGGAAATATCATTCTCCGGTCATGTCAAGGTTTCATTGTTTCAAGGTTTATTTATTTCTATGGTATCAAAAACCAGTCATATTGAACAGAGCATATGGCTAATAACGCATACGTTTGGGGGAAAAGGGTAATGTCGTGTTTCTCGTGAAAGAGTTTGACAGTCAAATTAGGAAAGTTTAAATCAAATCCAAGTAACATCATCTTTGTTTTCCTATGCTTGATGGAAAATAAGGAATAATCCAGTAGCGGATGGGGAGGGGAGGGGAGGGGATGATTTCTGACACCCCTTCCCCGATCAATCGCTGACTATACGATTTTGTACGATATAAATGACGCAGTTTACGTAAGTAGTCAATGCATCCATCACACATAATTCCAATCTCTGGCTCGCATTTTTAAACTGCCACTGCTTGTAAAACTCTCGTGACCGCCAGACATTATCTCCTAATAGTTGCACCAACCTTGTTATTGTCATGACAGCAACCAATGTGACCTTTTACCCCTGTGTCATCCCCAATGCTTCAGCTAGTAGCCTGACCAAAGGCGCAATGTCAAAGTTCTTTGATGATTAGCGCGATGTATCTTTTGGGCATGTAATCCTAAAACACTAAAGGGAAATAATGGAAGCGTGTCGTTTCATATTTTGTAGGAGCCACAAGAATTTCTAGAAACATTGTATTACTCGCTGTGGTGAGCAATACAATCCTGAAGCTTTGAGTCTGAATTCAAAGGCATTGGGAGGATGTTTGGGCTCCCTGTACGAATACCCCCTCAACGGTAACAATGGGAGAGTTGGGTGAGAACATTGGGAGGAACTCACAACTAACAAGCTCAGAATATAGACCATTTTGAATTCCCAGTACAGAAAAATGACAAATCCAGACCCCCTTCTATTATCTTAAAAATCAGACCTAATAAATGTTTTTTTTATGAAACATAGTTTATATCTGTAATCAGCAGGTGTTCAAAATATATCCCATATTATATAAATGGGGCAGTTAAATGGAGGGAATTGTCAATTATCCATGATGATAATTATTACGTGTGTCTGCCGGGTGGCGGAGAGTCGAACAGAATAGAGCAGGCAGTCAAAATAGGTTTACGTGGTATATTTTTTTATTGAATAACGTGAACATTTCATCCAATTACACAGTTTCAAAGCCGATAACAATTGTGAGAGACATAAATCGCTGCAATTTATCCCTACAAAATGAGGAATTACATGTTATCAATGATTGAATGGTTAAAGAGTTGATAATCAACGATACAAAATAAACACGGCAAACTTTTAAGTAAACCTCAAACGTGACACTTCCTCCTTATTTAAAAAAAAAAAAGACACAAATATTTTCATCTTTGTTAATTTCTACAATTTTACATGACAAACACTAAAAGGTTAATATATATTTGTTTACACAAGGCGAATATGCAAGTTCTTTTTTCAAAACGTGACTTCGTTTATTATTATTATTTATTTATAGTCTATTATTATTTGCTACAGGGCCTTCGAAATGTCTGATTTTAAATCATTGATGAAAGTATTTCCTTTAGTTTTGACATGAAAGGCCAACCATTCGGATACCAAGTCGTTTTGGATCACCCTATCCCACCAAGCGCAACAACGACTTAAACCCCAGGACGTTTAACGTGGTTGCCGGTTCCAGCAGGTGGAATCTTTATATTCCTTTGCACGATTAACACATCTTAGGGTAAGGTATTCTCCCTAAAAGCGATGAACTGCCTCTGTTGCTATTACGACATATGAAACGGATAAGCAATGCATTGTTGTGACAAACGGTTCCCCATTCTGTACATTAATGGACAAATACATTATCCATAGCGGCCACATTATAAGTAACTATTAAAAACTTGGGAAACAATCATCGTTATTAACGAGTAGTTTCAGGAACTGTTATCGACATGGGGTAATTTAACTTATTAATAGGCTCTTCTATAGCTACGATTGTACGATGGTATTAGTCTTGATTTAAACAAAAAAGCTATCTGTTGTACATCTCAACGGCAGATCACGCATCGTTGTTCTTCCAGGGCCTCTACATCCTGTTTCATAATAGTGCGCCCTCACAGGATGAAAAGGAAACCATAGGGTTACAGATAAGTAAATAGTCTGGCATAGACGTCAGTGATAATAACACGCTTCCCAAAATTACTAAAAATACTCACAACCCTTTCAAAATACTCTAATACCGGAGAATTGTTGAGAATGAAAATTGTGATTTGGCCGGCGTAGGCAGTTTCGGGCTTGTGCGATAGTATATAAATCAGACACCTCGTGATACACTGTTACAGTAGCATATCTAACGTGCCATGATTTAGCATTTTGATTGTGTCAGGCAACTAAAATGGCCGAGATATGACATAAATGTGTACAAGTAAAACTGCCGTGAGGGTTATAGTTTTTATGCATGAACAAGTGCTCATGACCACGGTATTATGTAATAGTAGCTAGTTTGATGAAACTGTTCTAGTGTAACCGCTGTCTTCCTATGTAAACTATGATCTTCAGTGTTTTCAGACCTTCTCATCAGGAGAATCAGGAATCGTCACTTCGTAGTCAAATTCTTGGTAGTCTGACAGAGTTATGTAATCCTGGCAAGACAAAAAAATCACAGTATTAAACGTAGGCCTAATAGTTTGCGCCGAAATGTATCTATCAGTAATAGTATTAAAGAGATCCTGCATAGTTTTGCGGGAGGTGCTGGGTCGGGTCGGGACATAAAGCTGTATTTGATAAGTTGCTCTTGAATAAGCAGAACTGTTTAACAGTTTGTTAAATGTCAATGTATTTGTTGGGAATATCAGTAAATTACATGTATTGCTATTGAAAACCATGGTAGATTACCTAGCAACAGAGTAGCATCCGATTGATTTTCTGTAAACTTAATTTGGCTCAGTGCTTGAATATTTCATTCAAATAATTTTATTCGGATGTAAAACAGGAACTTCACATGATTCTTTCGAGACTTTCCTTTGAGCAAATGACCACACAAAAAAAGTGGCATATGAAGCTACATATATAAATATAGATATATGCACTGCAAGGTTCGATAAAACCTCGAGATACTGCCGAACTGGCACCCTGTCTTACACCAACTGGAATGCTTCAAATGGCTTAGTAGACTGGGAACCAGTGTCGCATCCCAAAATGTACTGGGGCACTTGGCACACTGATTTGGTTTCGTCAAAGTCTCACCTATTTTTGTCTCCACTTTCTGAGCAAAATATGCATGGGGGCAAGGGCCTTGATCGAATAATAGGGGTGTTTCGTGATGCCTTTTCTTTCTTTGTAATGTCCCTTGATGTAAACACATATTTACTTACATGCCCTCCCTCCAACAATTTCTCAAGTTTCTGACCAATCTCAGTGAATGATTGTCGTGCTGTGGGCTCTTCCTCCCAACAAGCCAGCATCATTTGATACCTGTGTTAATGGAAACAATAAAGTGAGACATGTAACCTTTTATTCAAGTTAATTATATCGGCACCGGTTATCAAAAAAGACATTGTTGTATTCATGAATGCCTTATACCTCTGTCGAATGGTTGAATAGCCTTTGTATTTTAAGACATGATTCGCTTATATTGCTGCCCAGTTATTTGGTTCAAACGTGAACAAAGTTGAACAAAGAAATGGACACAAGTGGAGTTTTTTTTTAGCCTGCGAGCTCCTGTGATCAAAGAGTTTGTTTACTAAAATTCATCATGATTCATCATCTTAACTTTCAATCGCATTAATGATCTATATAATGTACAAAAAATGAACTGATTTTATGTGTCTTACAGTTCATCTTGGCAATGTTCTGGTCTTGGCATGCGGTATCCTTCCTGCAGCTTGCTTATCATTGTCTTGAAGCTCATGGTGGGATAAGGACGAGCACCTGCAACGAAACATTATCACAGAATCCGAACAATTGGAATTAATTGCTCTGATGACGAAGCTGAAACACCTGAAACTGATTCGTATTGATCTCAAGTGTTTTTAAAATGAAACCGAACGTAGTGGGGGAGACATGATTTTATTCGAAAGGAAAGTTAGTTCATCATCGTTAAATTTTAAGATTTTAAAAGAGGTTGGAGAGAGATGGTTTAGACGTTGCAACCAATAAAAGAGAAGTGTTACATATTTTCAACATTGAGAGATGACTTATTGAGGGACCTTGGTCAGCCAAAACCTCTCCGCCCTCGCAAATGTATTAGTTCTCAGGAATTTCAACTTCAGGGCACGATACTCAAACTATAGTACTAGAGAGGAGGTATTACGCTGCTATTCTAAAAGGAACAACTCTGTGGCAATTACGACGTTATGGATATTTATACACTTTACAACTTACCAAGAGTAACAATCTCCCACAGAAGTATGCCATAAGACCATAGGTCACTCTCTGTTGTGTATACGTCATCAACAACCGATTCCAGGGCCATCCAACGAACAGGTAACCGAGCCTTGAAAAGGTGACAATGTATTGTTGAGACTAAAGCCCCTTTTGCTTTAAACTTCAGACACTACATCATGAATCCCGAAATACTTTTCAGCCACGCGATATGGTTTTATGAGCGCGAGCGCACATCATGATTATGCGATCTAAGATTTGACTGCACTGTGTTTTAAACAAATAGTTTTGGAAGTATTTTCCCAAATCGTTTTTGATTATACCTGACATTGCAGACTAAAAAACGTGAAATTCTGATAAACACCTGCACAGTTGGAAATCTGCACTCTTTTACATGATTGTAACTGATTCAATACAGTCTAATCTGAAATAAAAACAAGGAAGAGGATTCTGGTACTTTGAACGTTGCGACATATTTCTGCTAGACATACAGATAGAAATGGGGAACAGAAGGAAATTATAGGTACCAAAGAAATATAACTGAAAAAGGAAAGTTTCTGGAAATGAATTTGTCGAAGTTCAATACCTCAGACTTTCGTTGGTACACTCTCATATTCGTGACGTCACGAGCGAGTCCGAAATCAGACACCTTACAGATCATGTTCTCACCCACAAGGACATTACGGGCCGCCAGATCTCTGTGAATGCACTGTGTATAAAAACAGAATATCATCAATTCGCGATAAATGGCGTGGTTTTGCATTCCTTGTCTCCCTCTATGTTACCTGGGTTGGAATCCCACCCATGCCCCAGTGGATTGGGCTTTCGGTCTTTGATTCTGTGGTTTTTCCTGAAATATTCTTCCCGTAAACAAACAAAAATGTTTTTTTACTGTTTTATGCAGTTTGAAGAATCTGTTTGTTTCATTACCAACAGAACCGAAGAAAAAAGTCCTAAACACTAGCCTTATACAGATATACGTGTTGATCATCGTCACTTTGGTTTTGGTTTTCAGTTTCTTTCAAATCGCATTTTGCTAGAGTCGTATAGTTATTCCATCACAAGGCAACACAAGTCACCACAAGTAATTATCCCGAGTTAAATCAGAAGTTACTCAAGTGGGATTTCACAAAGATATTCCTCTATCCTCTGTCCATCCCCTGTCCGTTTGACTTGTGACTTGGCGTCTGATTTCTAATTTATTGCATAATGATCAACTTGGTAGGCTACGTAACTATAGACAGCAGTCGCAAACTAATGTATGTCTCTTTCAAAAATTCAACACTAACCTGATGTGAAGCTAGGAATGCCATTCCATAAGCAACGTCTGTAGCGAACTTGATGAGGTCCTTAGACGTCAGAGATTTGCTTCTACCGTGCAGGTTGCTATACACCTGCAACTTGCCTTTGCCTCGACTACTCGTCAAGAGTTCCTTGAGTTGACCTTTGGACATGTACTCCATGATGATATAAATTGGATCTGATAAAAGCAGAGTTGTTATTTGAGTCACTTTAGAACTAACAATCCCTGACAGAATATTGAGAATGTCCATGGACAATAATCACTGTTCTTTAAGTGGACGTCCTGGTGCATCGCTGAATAGCATATGCTACTCACAGACTCTTTTTTTTTGCTAGTGTGCCTTTAAAGAAAACAATGTAATCTCCCCAAAACAGTTGTCAAGAAAGCCCTTAATATTTTGAAGCATGCAATCGTGATATCTAATGAAGTGATGCTGAAAAGGGTCTTCAAATTTAATACAAGTGTTAATGATCTACCTCTGTCAATGCAGAATCCGAGGAGTTTGACGACATTAGAGTGACTTGGAAGCTTTTTCATGAAGTCTAATTCCCGGAGCAGATCGCCTCTCTCCGTGATATCTGCGTCGTCTGTTCATGAAATAGCCGTTAGAAATACATGTGAATAATCTATCTCAAATAACAGTATGTCCGAAATTGAATGTTAGGCTTCGTATTTTGCTTACTTCGTGTTAACCACTCATTCATACAAGTGAAAAACGTGGACTAACAATGATGAAATATCATATCAAAAGTATTTGGAAATTTAGCCATGCTGTGACATGTAATTCAAAAGTAAATGATGAACTGGTAGTTGTTTTCTTGTTAATCGATGTAGTCGATTTACCTCTTAGAGTTTTGACAGCAACTTGCGTTACAGTTCCCTGCTGGACGATACCGTTTGCATTCCCAAGTAAAACCTTCCCGAAGGCGCCCTGTCCAAGTTCACGAACGATCGTCAGCTTTTCTCGCGAGAACTCCGCGAGAGTTTCAGAAATGCTGGCGTAAGTCGACGCAGCTGGGTTGGGGCTCCCGCCTACGGCCAGGATTTGTAGGGGTACGTCTGCGGAAAGATTGCAATGAAGAAAGAAAGATTACCATGAAGAAAAAAAGTTTCATGAATAGGACAAGGATAGACCAATTACCAGAAACTTTGGGGAACACATGTTCAGCTCGTTCGTGTTTGGGTCCATTGAGGTGTGGTCGTTCACACCTGCATAGTGTTAAGCAAAAAAGAGACAAAACAAAAATGTTTCCCTTCTTTTTTCCATTCACAAAGTCCAACATGACCTGTTCAGCATCTTACCCAAGTCTTGGTATTCCACTGCTTCGTTGGTGACACCTCCTTTGTGTTCTGGCTTGAATTTCCTGGGGAAATAGGTTGACATTGAATCCATATTAATCTAAAGCCAATATTAAAACCTTTCGTTATATTGCTACATCTTGCTTACACGTTGTGTGCAAGTGTGATTATACTTACGGTATTGAAATACGTTTCTTGGTTTCTGCAATAAAGAAAACCAAATATTTAATTTCACTTCGAAATTGTGACAAACAAATATTGGCTTATATATTAGGAATGCTAGTCATACCTGCTTTGTAAAGAACCGCATGGAAACTAGTTTGTTAGTGATTGTCATAAGACTGAATGAAACAGCTACAGGAATAAGGATACTCTAGGATGACATTTTCTACATTGGTCTCTGACATTTCTGTGATAGAACAACAACTGTTTTGTACGGGAGTCCTTCAAGGGTTTAAAATGTTCCAAAGCTAAAGTCGATGACGAAACTGAGGATTAAAAAACCTCCAATTTAATTACCTGGTTTTGGTGCTCTTCTTTTGGCGTACATGATTACCACAGCATTCAGTGCAACGCTGATTAATAAAATGATGGCCAGAATCGCAATGCCAGCGATTAATCCTGCATTACTTGACTGTCCTGCAACTATTTGAGCACAAAAAATACAAACGAAACAGGGACAAATAGTGAAACCCATTGTTATTTGTCCTTTTGGTTTTGTTTTGCTGGTAATTTACCTATCTCTTAACTTATCATCCGTCACTTGAAATGTTTACTTGTTTATTATTGTTTATCTTCATGGAGACATGAAGTGTGTTTTAGGGGAGGTAGAGTCAGGTGACTTCCAATTGATTTTGGACCGATTTAGCGCTTTGCGCATTGTGTTTTGCTTCACAATTGCGACTCATTAGGAGTCTTTTTATATATCTGGTCTACTAATTAGGCTAGAATTAGCCCATCAAGGAGTCATCCTACAAGATGACACTGCCCATCTTTCTTCACAAGCCAATATCATCCCAAATCATAAGCCGCAGTCAGTTAGTGAGTCGGTCAGTGAGTCATTCCATAAGTCAGGTGCAAAGACAATAGACTGCCCTCTTTGGGACCAGCACAAAGACCAATGACATCAAACCGGTTTGACTGACCGGTTATTTCAGTAGTCGCCTGACTACACAAGTCTCCAAAGCAGTATCTAGACCGGTTTGACTGATCTCAAACCGGTTTGACTGACCGGTTATTTCAGTAGTCGCCTGACTACACAAGTCTCCAAAGCAGTATCTAGACCGGTTTGACTGATCTCAAACCGGTTTGACTGACCTGTTATTGCGGTAGTCGCCTGACTACACAAGTCTCCATTGCAGTATCTAGATCGAGCGTCGCGCAGAGCCAAGTCTGTATTTGACTCGAGACACTCGCCATAGTCAAACCAATCATCTTGATTGGTTAGACGTGCTTCAAGCCGCAAACACGACGAAGTGTCGCCATCTTGAGGAATGCCATCAACTGAGATGATTCCAGTCCCTTGATTTGTGGTCACAGAGATATCTAAGTCAAATACAAGACAGATCTCCGTAAAAAATTACGAACGGAACAAATTATATTAAAAGCCCCCCCCCCCCAAAAAAAAAAATACATATATTTTATCGATTTGCCTATTTCTACAAAGTTTTGGTTATTGTATTATGCAAATCAGATGCAAACAAAAATATTTAAAATTGTTTGAACAGATAGATTGATATGTCAGCAACAAGTCTCGTTTAAACAACACCAAGAAACAAATAGGCTGAATCACTCACCTAACTTTTCTGGCGTATCAGCTGTGTGCAAATTGAACGAGAAAGAAGAAAATTGTGTTCAATACCGGACTTTGATAGCATGACAAAACCTATAGATCCACGAAAAGGGACTTACCAGGAATTACACTGCTGTAATTTTACCGTTGCTAAGTTATTTTGTTAAATCAACAATGAATACGGTGTAAGAGAAACAAAATGATGAACGTACGTAGAGTTGTCGCAGTCCTTCTGACGTTTTGGCTTACGCTGTTAGCATTCTCAGCATAAACCTCGATCTCATACTTGGTGTACGGACTCAAACTCTCAATCACGTGCATCACGACGCCTTCAGCGATTCTCACCCGAGTGTTAAGATCAAACCCTGTCGTTGTGTCAACTTCCCGGATGTTGACATAAAACCACTGAGGTTCGCCGACGTCGATGCCAGGACGCCAAGTTATTGCGACAGATGTCGCTGTGACTGTACCCTGATCGACGGACACATCTTCTGGTGGCAGCGGTGTGACTATGGCACAGATGACAAACAAATAGAGGACCTAGCGTTTACATATTCTGCTTATCATAGTCCTGAAAAAACAGGCGAAATATATACCTGTTCCGGAGTTAAAAACAATTTGTGATAATTTCATTCAGCTTCCTGTATTTGTGACTGATTACACTTTACTGTGGAGCCGCAGAGCAATTGGTACAACGATACCACTTGTATGGTGCTGATATGCAGTTGTACAATGTACAAGTAATGAATGTTTGTGACTGCAATAATTATTTTCACGTAACAAATTGAATGTTCTATTCCACGCGACATAGCCGAGTGGGATGAAACATTCAATTTGTTCTGAATAAAATTATTCTTTCCATTGCACGATTGTGAAACATTCATTATCTGGTCTATATAACACACCTATTTTATACACAACACCTTTGTTTTATACAACACCATTGTTAGTTTTTTCTTACTGTTTTAATTTACCTTTGTCGTTCAACACAATGGTCAGTGTGTAAACCATTCCTATTCCATTACCGCTGTTGCAAGTGTAAGACCCGTAGTCTCCAGTCCCAGTCACTCGATTGATGTGCAAGGTACTCCTGATGGTGAATCCAAATACATCATCCCCCTCAGGAATGGTATCAACCTGAAATATCCTTCCAGGTTCGGTCTCATTGGTTAACTCCACACCGTCTGGACGCAACCATGTCATTCGAGGGAGGGGATTACCCTTGCCTTCACATACAAGAGTAGCATCGTAACCATCTTTGGCCCCCACTGATGTGTCGCCCTTATTTAGGATGCTTACTTCATCTTTGAATGTAAAGGAACAAATGAACCATGTTGAAAACATTTTGTAAAAAAAAAAATGAAATCACAGCAGTAGGGTAAAAATAGGATCCTTCAAAATTGCGTAGTCTTTCATTTGTAACCAAACACGAAAAAGAATCTTACAGTGCACGATGACGTCAACAGAGCCTGAAAAGACAACAGGTGGTACACCATTGTTCCCGCGACACCTGTAGGGCCCAGCGTCGTCCCTGTTGATGCTGCTTAGTGTCAGGGTGCTTGTTCCATCGCTGTACACAGAGGTTAGGGAATCAGGAGACCCGACCTTTTCCCATGTGATGAAATCAGGGGGCTGAGGATTGGCCTCTGCGCTGCAGGACAGTACTATGCTGCCGCCCTTTACGATAGGACCGGTTGGCATAATTGTTGGCAAAGAAAACTCCGGGCGGTCTGCAAATAAGAATCATATGAATTTGACTTCTTTGTCAATATATTATTTGATAAAATGAAATATTACAAGGGAAGACAAAGAACAATGAATTTTCCAGAACTTTACCAGGAAAGCCATTAAACTAAGTTGATGTAATGTAGACCTACTGCAGGAATGACAGGTCGATAGTCGATGTGTCAAGAACTTCTTATGCACTACATCAGTACAAGGTTCATTTGTAACAACTACATGAAGTATCACAGAATCGACTATATAGGCACGACAATTTGCCTAAGAAAATACAAGTACTTTAACTCGTTTGAGATAATGAAAAGGTTACATATCCAGCGTTTTGTTTCCCTCTGTATATCTCAAAACGATTGTCATTTAAAGCTCATAATTTTGGTTCACACTTTGAAACCATATCAGTTTAACATTTGGATAACATTAAATGGAAAGATCAAAATGGCGACTTACATTCAACATTTAACGAACACGAGTCGCACTTATCCATATTGCATAGCGACGTCTTTATAAGGCAGCATTGGTACACAGCTCCGTTGTCTGCCTTGGTCAGTGCCCCTGTTGTCAACCTGAGTGTTGTCTCTCGGCCACCGTAGTCTCCATCAGTAAATACTGGTTGGCTTGGGTTAGACTGGACCACGTCGTTCTTGGACCAAACAAGTGAGGTTGCTGGGTTGCTGCTGCCTGAACTGCACGATAGTTGCACGATGCTACCTGATGCTGTACTTGATGGACAACTGACGCTCACTGCTTCAGCACAAACTAAAGAAAATGGGTTGGAAAAACAATGTTTATTGAGACCCTCACTCGGTTATTAGACATTAGAGTAACGGCGCTATTTGCGTCAATAAATAAGATCGTACCCTATAACCAAACTAAATAGTCAACGACTTTGTTCACCATACACCATGCCGTCAACATGGCAACACGTATAGACTATCTTTTCTTTATGGGAGAACATTTTTTTAACAGAATCAGTTTAAATTGGAAAGCGAATTACTTCACGGTGTGAGAGAGGAAGTGAGGAATAGCCGATCGAATATTCATTTTCAAAGTTAACTGTTACATACGTCACAGGTTTTCTTATTCAATGTTTTCTTTTATGAAGTAGTCAACTAACATTTACTAACATCCGTGTCTAGATTGGTGCATCAACTTGAACACATAGGCTTGCCAACTATATGTAAAGCACATCTTGAGATATCTCTTCTGTGAAGTGCTGTACTGTTCTTTTAAGACCCATACTTTGTAAAAGAGATATTCCATGGTGAACCCTCAACCAATAATGTGCCTCCTTCATTGTGCGAAGTTTCGGAAGAACTCTTTGCCCCTACAGAAATGTGAAAGAAACCACACTTACATTGTACGTCGATGGGCAGCCTCCCTTCACTACTACGCGTTCCTGAATCTCTCTGTGCTACACACGTGATGATGTTTCCATTATCCTGTCTCATTGGTGTGTAGTTCAGCGTGCTGGTGAAACTGAAGCGATCACCTGATGCTGACGAGCTCGTAGTTGGTCCAGTTATAGGTGAGTCTCCATTGGACCAAACCAGAGTCCAGTCATTTGGATATCCCATGTCTGCTGTACACGTCAGTGTACCTGGAACATTTTCAGTCATTGATGCAATTCCAGAAATCACAGGAGTGTCAGGGGGACCTGTTTGAATACAAATTTCAGTTGCTCATTAGTCGAATCGCACACATTTTTGGTGGCTGCTGCTGTTTTAAGAGGGTAAGCCCATTGTGTTCTATTTGAATTTATCTTACTGACTGACCGATTGATTGACTGACTGAATGAATGAATATAACTGACTGTCGTCTGTGACGTAGGCAGTGCTGTCGTCTGTGACCTCGTTACGTCAATGAATTGACTCAATCTAGCTCATCGTGTACACAAGATGCAGGAAGACTTCCAGTAATAGAAAAAGCCATTCTTAGTTAAATGAATAAACATTTTGTGTGTTCTGGGACCAGCATCACATTTAATCAAGATATAAGACTGCCATGGGAGAGTACCGACGAACCACATTATGCCTAAAACTTGAATTAGGTTTGATCTTTGAAACAGTTAGGATCGTGTAGGTGCTAATTGATTTGGATTGACTGATGCAGTTGTTTGGAACGACCCCCGAGTCTAGTCGATGAAAAATCCGACGAAAAAAAGTGCCTCTCTGAAACAAACTTTTCTTTTGATCGAATGCAGTCACTCTGTATGCTTTTTTTTTGTTCGGCACTGATGACAGTTTGAAACGGGTCTCAGGTAGCAGTTTAGCTTCGGTGGCAGGGTGTCGAAAACTGACAATTAAATTGCATGTTTTCTATGCTGGACACTGTCACCGAGGTGTTTTCCAAAGAACACGGGAGAACCAGGGGAATTGTGACCCTTTTTACCCCTGTCTTTTAGAGACATATACTAATATATAATTGTCAACCCAACAGCATTTGATCCACCATTATTTACACACCTCAACAATGCATTTGAACATATTAAATCTAACCTCAACGAATTACAAATTAGTATACTTCTATATGTTTTTTATAAAATTTGCTAAATATCACTTTTCGTGCCGTCACCCCGAATTAGACAATTATTATCAGATTTGAGGCGGCTTTATTTATTTCTCAGGACAACGGCCATCAGTATGTAAGCAATCGTCCAATTATTTCTGTGTACCAATTATTTGGGTGTTACTAAGTTGGCTACATACCGTTGATATCCAGTGTAACTGCCACATTAGGGTGCGGTGGCTGCGACTCTGCAGTGTTTGCTGCACACTTCACCTCCTGTCTGTGATTGGCTCTGACTGGAGTGAATGTCCAGGTGCCTGTTGTGTCAAACAGCTCGTTGGTTTCAGTTGAAGTCGGGATTCCAACCCCGGTGGATTGCATTACGTCATCGACGAGCCACTGGATGGTAGCAGCTGGTCTGGTACCCTGCACCAAGCAACTGAAAGTGTGTGATGATCCCTGGTCAACAGTTACTGTCGCTCCTTGAGTCTTTTCACCATCAGAGTCTGACAGCTTCACTACACTGGGTGGCACTTAAAAAACAAATCACAAAAATGCAAACACAACTATAACCACCAGCATAAATAGTACAGTAGTTGAGAAACACCACAAGCAAACAAATTCCAGTATTTACTAAGAATATTTAAGACAAAAAGATGCGATTTGATACAAAACATACGCTCAGCAGCTTCACATTATGTCATGATAAAACAAATAGGAACGACTTAAAAAAACACGCCGGAAAAGGGAACTTTGCAATAAACCCCCCAAGTGGGTCTGAAATTACATTGAGACTAGTCTTATAGAAACAGAATCTTTATAATAACATCATAGAAACATAATCTTCAAGATAGATCAATATTATGTTGAAAACGGACGAAATGATTGGCAGTTCATGCTTTACCTCTCACTTGGAGGGTCACAGTGAGGTCAATCTCTGTGTCCGTCAGTCCATCTTGTCGATTGGTAGCACCACACGTCAGCTGAGCAGTAGCTGGGGTCTCTGCGATGTCCACAGTGATCGTGTTGGTGCTGTCTGTCAACCTGCTATCACCGCTATTAGGAGCATCTGTCTGAGATCCTAGTGGCTGGTCTGTAGTGATGCTTGTGGGTAGGGTCCAGGTGAAGCTGGCTGCTGGTTTGACGCCAGGTGTTGTGCAGGTGAATTGACGATTGGAACCAGCCACGATCGGAAAGATATTCCCATCACCGTATGATGTACCATCGTAGGATACTGCAATTGTGCTCGGTGGAACTGTTTGAAAAGAACATGAAAAAAAAACTAAATAGGGTTGCCGATAGCATGAATAGAACCGGTAAATTCAACATTGGATATTTTGCAATGCAGCCCTCGTTTAGAATCATGTTAATTTTGCTCCAGAGAAATACGCATGAGTGTATACTCTTTATGACATTAGTGTTACATTAAAAAAACGAAACAAGTCCCAGCTGCTGAACGGAAAAGGTGCTGTATGGACCCTTCTGGTTGATAGAGAATGAAAAGTTGATATTCGTTGGCAAGGTGAACAGTTTCAACGTGCAGTCAATGCTGAAAAATTGTAGTTAACCTAAGGAATAGATTGGGCCAATGTTAACAGGTCCAGAGTAATATTTCAACTTTCTAGAAACTCTAACATCTGCATCTGATTATGATCATTCATCAAATTCTACAAATGCTTTCAGTTGTAATACAATTCAACTTTGTTTTATGTAATTAGTTTTGAAATGTAGTAAACTGTAAGTCACCTTCATCCACAATAAATCACAATAACTTGGTTAATGCTATTTAAACACTTTCAACAATAAACTAACGAAACAAAAGAAAATAATATGAAATGCACAGAGCCAGATAATACAAACCGCAACACAAATTGCCATAGAGGATCAAACACGAACATGATTCAACACACTTGTGTATATCAATGATTATGAAATGACCCTTCGATATGACAAAGTACGACTCCTTTTTAATGAATGTGCTTTCTTTTATTTAACTTTCAGCAAATAATCATGTAATACAAGATTGGAGTTCATGGTACCTCTTGTCCGTACATCCAACGAACTTACTGCATCATTCGCACCATTTCTAACGAAACACCAATACCTTCCCTCATCTGTGAGAGTAAAAGGCGCTACAGTTAATGGAAACTTGGGGTCTGTTACATCAAAAGTATAATGACTGGGATCTCTGTTTAATGTCACTTTTGTAGAGAGCGTATATTGCGCAGTGATTATATACGATCCACTTAGCCGCGCATCCACGTTGAAGTCAGTGATGAGCCAACGGACTCTGTCGAATGTCGCAGGTGCGTCGCACCGCAGGGTGGTACTTGTTCCATTATTCACCCAGGGCGGGCCACTGATGGTCAGTTGAGCACCAACTACACGTTGAGAAAGAAACGAAACAAGACTGCATTTTCGTCATATAGATATGATTTACATACATGAAATAAGTTAGATTTAAACCAACGAAATTATCATCATTTCTATGTAAACAAAGCAATTAAAAAGTTAATACACATAAACAAAAAGCCAAAGGGAAGTACCAATATAACCAAAGGTATTTAAACAGTTCCCGAACAGTGAAGATTACAAATCAAATTTGTTGAATGTGATGCTCGAATCCTTCCCCAAATTTGGCCAACATTAACAAAACCTGTCTCTCAGTGCTTGTAAATCTCGTTCACAGTTCTTACCTTGAACATGTATCAACAGTGACCCGATGGCGAGAAAGGTCACTAAAGCAGAGAATGAGACCATTCCCATAGCCACTATCCCGGCAGGTACCTAGCTCGTAAAATGTTGAAGAAGTTTGCAAAGTTTATCACTGAAAATCATTTGCCACCCAGGCTGCACACACATTTCGACTATTCTGGCTGGTATGTCGATTTCCGCTATTGGCCTTGATAAAATAAAAATGAACACGTAGCGTGACAATAAGGGGTCGATGTATAAGGCAAACAAGTGCACTGGCGTGAACTTCCTGGTAGCTGTCAACATTGGAAACTACTTGAATTTAAAAAGAATTATATTGTTGATAATGTCTGTTTGTATCTATGCTTGTAAAAAAACTCTGTGAATAGTGACATCATAATAAGAAATCATTTATTTTATCTCTAAATGTATGTTAATACTTGTTTTACAGTAGCAACTTCAGTTACAATATACACGCTAGGCTATGAAATGATCATTTCACGACAAATAACCCTCACTTGCTATGTTGTGTGTATCGGGTTCCTCACATGCAAATAAGCCAAAGAAAAGGGAGTGGGTTGAACCATTTTAATAGTGGGTGTGTGATTCAACTTCGTTCGTTGAAAGAGTCAGAGGGGTCGTTCAGAAAGAAGAGAGAACAGTTAACAATCGTGAAGGAAGGGGAGCTGAGTCGGTTTGGGGAAAGTATTACATTAGCACTGACAACGGAGCAGTAATTGTAAGACAGCCGAAACGTTCCATTGGACCTGTACATTCCGCGCTTGTTTTTACAAAGTTGGACACTAAAACAAAGTCCAAGATACCTTCTAAAATATTTCCAATGTTCTTTTTTTTTTCAGGGACCCGAACCCTTTCCCATCTAAGACCCACGACGGAAGTCATGTCCAAGTTGCCAATAAGTGCAAAGAGATTCAGCATTTTCATTCCTAAGTTGTGAAACAACATGTCGCACATTGTTTGGCCCTACACATTAATACAGGTACAAACATGAAAATAGTGTGTGTGTTTTCTTAAAGGTAACATCACTTCTTGACGATGCCCTACTTCATATGGGGAAACAAATAAGAAATAAGACTGTTAAAATTCTTTAAGCAGGTGTCTTTACCTGGTGTTATCAACATCAAAACAATTGAAAGGCGCTGTGCAAAGCCAAAAAAGAACGACAAAGCTGCCATTTTAAACAGCACTGCAGGTTGGAAGACAACATACAAAATTACAAAGACAAACGTGATGTGCCTGGTTTAGTATTGTTGTTACGTTTAAAACCCCGGGGTTCAGATTATCGCCTCTGTCTTTCCGGCAAGGGAAGCCTTGACAAAGTTGACAAATTCAATGAGAGTCCATAACACATCTGTATTGAACTTGGACTTCCTGGTTCTGTTCAGCTGTAAACTAGGCCTGCTACAAGTACAGTAGCGAAATACCAGATGCAAAATGAGTGCCTCCGTTTGTCTCAACGCAAACTCTATGAAAACGCTTTTGAAAAGTGAAGTCAGAATGAAATTTCATATCAAATGAAAATGTGGGTTTTTTTGCTTTGCTTTCAAAAGGCCCAGACTTGATAAAGTTAATTTTGGACGAAACTTTGCCATTAAAATAGTTACAAATTAAAAATGATTCCCTGGATGGTGTAACAAGATGTATGCAGACTGTACCATTTGAAAGCAGGTTAAGGTGTTACTATTATCAGACCCATACTTCAAATATGGAATCACAGAAACCAGTCAGGTTTTGAAAAAAATTAAACCAAAATATTTGTTATCATTGATTTATTTTACTGAGCTACAGCTTATATAGTTTCATAGGCCTGTTTACTGATAGTTGACAAGTTGACAATCCGATATTTTCGCGCTCTCGTGAACTCACCTCTAATTTGCACAACACTGGAGCCAATAGGCTCCGGATTGAACGGCGGAAATTTATAGAAACGACACCAGTACTCGGCAGTGTCGTCCAAAGTCACAGATTTCACAATTAACGAGTAGTTAGCTCCATCACTAGATCGTCTTACATCGTAATGGTTTGTATCAATGCCACGTCCGTACACGATGCTATTAGTTTCGACCTTATGATCTAAGATAGCTTGCTGGTCTGTGACTCCTATGTCACTTCTTCGCCATACGACGTCAGTGAAGCCACTCACATCAGTTGAGCACGTGATCGTTGCATCCATTCCACTTATCACCCATTGGTCGCTGGAAATTGTAAGAGAATCAACACCTGGAAGAGAAAAAAAGGAAAGATTTTTTTTTTAGTAAATAATGTCCTTAATAAGTAAAAGAAATAAACTAAAAAGTTAATAAGTTAATAAGTAACGATTCTTGCCAAAACATAGAAAATATTAAAGAAAAGGCAGAATTAAACACAGAAAACAACATAATAAAAAAAGAGAAGAAATCGATTGTGTTTTTAGTTGATTGTTGTTTGGTGGAATTGATACAAACCATTTGAAACATTTATCTGATAATGTAATCTAAAGCGAGACAAAACTTGAAAGACGAATGTAGTGAAATATTTAAAAATAGGGCTAGACACAAAATAGATTATAAGTTGTTCATGCCTTTACCTTGTGTAATTAACAGCAACCCGATGGCAATGCGTTGCACGGAGGCATACAACAGCGGTAGGATGGCCATTGCTGAACATTCCAAGTTTAGATCCTACACAATTCGCAGAACCCTGGTATATAGTACACTCGCACGTGCGCCGTTTAACAATGTGTTCAACCCTGGAAGCGGGTCGGGGGGGGTGTCGAACGGTTAATGCGACTTCTGTTGCAGCAGTATGTCAGGCAACAAAAGTCCTGAGTTGAAAAAGTCAAGTGTCAAGGATGGAAGTTGGAAAAAAACATCCGTCCTCTTATCGTGAGTTTCCTGGTTTAAAGCGACTTTTAAAACTAAAATTGTCAAAATTTACAAAGTCATTAAAAGAGTCGAGGAAAAATAATTGGCTTTCATAGTGGACTTCCTGGTTCTAGGCGGTTTTTTTAAGCCACCAATTCAAACTTGAAATTAAAAATAAACTTTCTTCCTAATGCGTCTACACAACCTGTACGCTCATTTATAATGAGGTGCCACATACATTTTCTATGAAATAATATAACACATCCAGCATTTCTATAGTTACATTTCGACGAAACTGTGCCATGACAACAACACCTGAATAAATCGCAGTCATCTGATTGGTGGATCGTTGATCACATGTCATTGAATCATTCCACAGTGCAATGGAAGTTCTATTGCACTGTGAATAGAACTTCCATTGCACTGTGTCACTTCTGCTGGTGGTGGCGCTGTTTTAAATCGAGATAAATTGAATCTGATTGTTCTTAACCTGTCGAACAGTTTGAAATGTTCCATCAGTTTGAAATGTTCCATTCCACTCGGCTTCGCCTTGTGGAATGGAACATTTCATCTGTCACCTCATGAAATTATTCTTACCATTGCACTTACAAACATTCATTATTTGTATACTGTTTAATCCCCTGTAGTGCGAGAGGAGTTTCACATGCAACATTTATGCCATTTTGGTAGGTAAATTGAAATTAAAAGTCTTTCGAGAGTTTGAGGGGAAAAACACACACAACAGAATGTTGTCGGGGTCATGTTTTACTTGGTTGCACTCAATAGTTCCATAGGCTTACATACTGAAAATGAAGACCATCCGATATTCCGGATTTGTTACCTCACCTCTAACTTGTACAACACTGGAGCCAATTGGCTCCGGACTGAACGGCGGAAATTTAAAGAATAGACACCAGTACTCGGCAATGTCGTCCAAAGTCACAGATTTCACTATAAAGGAGTAGTAAGCTCCATCACTAGATTGTCTTACATTATAATGGTTTGTATCAATGCCACGCTTATAGAAAGTGTTGTTAGTTTCGAGCACATAATTCAGTATGGGTTGCTGGTCCGTGACTCCTATGTCACTTCTTCGCCATACGACGTCAGTGAAGCCACTCACATCAGTTGAGCACGTGATCGTTGCATCCATTCCGATTATTACCCATTGGTCGCTGGAAATTGTGAACGAGACAACACCTGAAAGGGAACAAGAAAAAAATATCCAATGAAGGTCTGGACAATAAATAAAGAATAAAAACAATAAAAACAATTACAATATCATGATTTTTTTCTTTTTTGGGGGGGGGGGGCAGCATAGTTGGGGTGGGAATGCATGCTTGGTCATATAAACCTCACCATTTAAAAAAAATATTATTACAACCAAAAATAGGAGACATGTAAGATTAAGGAGACATTTCAATGTCTTCCTAAGGTTTCCCTCAGGATTCAGCCCATATTTAGAGGCAAATTAAGCTAGATCGTTTGCTCGTCGTCCAATTAGTAAACACATCTAAATTCATAGTTGTAGAATAGGAAACAATTGTTTTTTTTTCGTTAAAGTTTGGGAATTGGAAATTGTGCATAAGTCTATGGGAATGTCTCCCTAGTTACTTATGGGTAATTAATATTAGTATTATTATTATCATTATTTTTTACGAAGATGTTCACTGAGCCTACAATAGTTCCTACCTACTACTAGACGTCCCGCCTATTTTTTTTTGTCTCGCTGTTCCGCACATCCAAACGCAAAGGATAATTCACTGAACTCAACAGTAAAGGATGACGTTTTAAAAGTAAATCTAAAAAGTGCATATGCACATCGATGAATGCCTAGACTTTGCAAATGTTCAGGTTCGTACAAAATAAATGTACAAGTTGTTAGACAAAGGCCAATTTAAAGAATTATGTAATGTACAGCAATAACCCGAAAACACCAAAATTACATCTACTTAAGCATAAGCCTAACGACAATATAGACAATAAATCCCGTGTGTATTTACCTTGTATAATAAACAGCAATCCGATGACAATGCGTTGCACGCATTCGAGCAGTGGTGGGACATCCATTGATGAACCTTCGAAAGTTTAGAGCATATGCAATACGCTATACCGGTACCCAGGCATAACACTCGCACGTGCAAGGTTAAACATCGCGTTCTACATTGGAAGTCAGAGGGTCCGCGCGGTTATTATGAGTATTGTTGCAGCTTTATATCCGGCAACAAAAGTCCTGAGTTGACAAAGTCGATGTCAAGGAGAGAAGTGGGAAAACATGTGCAATGTTTTCTCGAATGTCCTGCTTTAAAGAGGCTTTTACAACTATAAACGTGAAATGACTTTACTTTGATATCTCCCTTCGCATATGAAATGCATGATCAATTATATTACATCAACACTTTTAGAGAAACGTTCCTCTAACATATTATAGCGAATATCCAAATTGCAGATAAAATACACCTTACAAACCCGCTTTAAATCACTCACATTAAGCTAAATTTCTGTTATCATGTTGTTAGATGAAGTTCATTGGCAAAATGTTGCCATTTCGCCCGCCAGGGGTTGAATCGAGTTACTGTGTGCTGAGATCCAAGTGCCATATTATAATTAGAATTTTCCACCGATGAACAACAGCTATTTAAGCGGTCAGCGTGTGACGTCATCGCAACAACCACATAAGAGATATAAACACAAACTCTGGAGATATCGGCTCGTAAATGAATCATATTAATCTGCATTCAATCAAACTCTAGTTTCATCATTATGTGTACTACTGGTAGGCCTACCGGCATTACTCACGAAAAAAAAAATTCTTACCAATAACAATCAGCATTGTTGATGTTTCATTCTCAAAGGATCCATAACCCGATTTTCGGAATTGAGCAAAACACCGATACCTGCCCTCATCAGAAGGGAACTGGATTGAGGAGATAGTCAGTACACTACTGCTGTCTATTGAATCAGTGCTCATTGCGTACTTCATTGCCCCTCCTGGGTAAGTAGGGGACATGCCTGTCAAGAACCAAGCAATATTGATTTCATCTTTCTTCCATTGAATGTAATTGAAACTATACGAAGCATCACTGACAGAGTAGCTACAAGTTAAGAAACCCGAAGCTCCTCGCTCTGCATAGCTTGTCGGTTGCATCTCCACCGTTACCCTGACGCTCTGGCCATCGGATACTGCGGGGAAAAATAGAATCAAACTTCAAGGACGTTCGAGTTGAAATATTAAAACAATAAAACATGAAGACAACCTACTAATCATAACATGTGTTCCTTATGATTTACGTCATTCAAGTTAAGATAATCGGACTTTTCATACTTCATAGCTTATTGTTATCCATAATATTTGCAAACAGTATGCAGCTTTAACTACATTCTTTTCTTAGGAAATAATTAAATCAACAAAATAGATGCAAGAATCAGAAAGCAACATTTGACAATCATGACTATTTTCACTCAAATTAACATATCAGATATTATCACAGTATGTGAAAATTCATGTGTAATGCAAATAATGTACGTCATGTATGTCTCTTTACCTCGTATCACAGACAGCAAGCTGATAGAAATGCACAGTGCGAAGAAACAGCGCAAAGTGAGACCAGCCATTTCCGCCCAATTCATCCAAAACTGCATGGAGGCCTATTCGGTTATGTGGTGCTGAACCAAGTGCGTACCTAGTTTGCTACAGATATCTGGGGTTCACGTATATTGCCAGTGTCATTGTGTGTTCTATTTCCGCCAATAAAAGGCGGTGGATCGACAAAGTGAAGTGCAATGTCACGAAGTACATCTGCATGTTGACGGTAAATGTCCTTGTTCAGAGTTTCAAACTGACCTGAGACCGTAATGTTCTTGAAAATTTATCAAACAAATATCTATCTGGATTGTGATGATCTAAATTGATATAATTATATGTATTTTAAAGTACTAAATGTTTCCTATCATTATTATCCATCAAATTTGATCTGGGATCCTCCTTTGATATAAAAAGAAAATTACACATCAGAGAGCGTCTTAAAAATACATCAAAGTAAACATGAAATAAACAAAAAATAAACAACATTTTGAGTGAATATTGACCATGGGCATCGCCAGGACTTTTTTCTAGCGGGTGGGGGAGGGGGAGCAAAGCACATTTTCACCTTGTACTTTCTCTAGCATATTCTCAATTTATCAATTTTTTTTCGAGGTAGAGCGGTGGGACATTTGCCCACCCCACCCCACCCCACCCCATTGACGCCCCTGAAGACGCCCATTTTGTTAAATGTGTATTTAATTAATAGCAAATATGACTTCACACCTCTGTTTTTCCTCCCTTTATCTCCTTTTTGGGGGGTACTTTTCTGGGGGGCACCCCTCCCTATTCGCCCAATCCTGGCGACGCCCATGGTATTCAGCAGCACTTTTTTTAACACCTACACGTATTAATATGGCAGAATGTTCCTTTAATGCATAGGCAATATACCTCTTAACTACGATCAAAGACTGGTCATTGGATAGGAACTGTTTAAATTAACGATTTTCAATGACACCAACACATGTAGTTTTCCATTTTAGTTTCATTTTACGTGTTACTGTTAAACCTACTTAATGGTATTTTCCTGTCACGCCCACTTAATAGCATTTTCCTTACCAATAACCATCAGCATTGTTGAGGTTTCATTGTCAATGGATACAACACCCGGTTTTAGGAATTGAGCAAAACACTCGTAACTCCCCTCATCAGACGAAAGCTGGACAGAAGAGATAGTCAGTACACTACTGCTGTCTATTGAATCAGTGCTCATTGCGTACTTCATTGCCCCTCCTGGGTAAGTAGGGGACATTCCAGTCAAGAACCAAGCAATACGTGTTCCGTCTTTCTTCCACTGAAGGTAATTGAAACTATAAGAAGCATCACTGACGGAGTAGCTACACATTAAGGAAGCCGATGTTCCTTGTTTTACATAGGTTGTTGGTTGCACCTCCACCGTTACCCTTACACTCTGTCCATCGGATGCTGTGGGACAAGAAAAGACAACAAAATGCATGGAAAAGAAATCTAATACAATTTACAAACAATCTAGTAAAGGAACCTCATTCCAAGAGACAAACAACGAAGTCCACTCTGAACACCTTTTTACTCTTGCATTTCAAGTTTCCAATTTGCATTTTGCAATTTGCATTTCCATTATTTGCATTTGTTAAAGGAATGGAGAAAATAAGGACTTCCCACGTATTATTGTGCATCCCGTTTCTTGAAAAAATGTGATCAATATGTCTTTTCCATACTGTTGGTGTTTAAATGGAATATACATTTGCAAACATCAAAAAACAAAACCACCATACTATTATGAAATACGTTACTGGACTGTTAGCGAATGATATTGTAAAGCATCCCGTAAAATCATGGCACCTGGTGTGCTGTCATTTTCAAGAAAACTGGTATTTTGTATCAACTAGTATTTTGTATTTTGTCGGCCGACCAGCGTTGGAAAGACTTTTTTTCAGACTGCCACCAATTTACCGTATTTCGTTAGTCCGCATTTTGTTTGCAATCGATTTTACACCTACGAATCGGTACAAGCCCGCTAGACTGATTCACTGACCTTAAAATTCCCCAACGTATTATTTTTCCCTTTTATCTTAAGTGGGGTCAGGGAACCAGACTACAGGAGCACGATTGTATTTTGTTGGTTTTTCCAGCAACTACGAACAATATTTACGATAAAATAACAATATTTACTTTAAAAATATTTGAAAATTACAGCAAAAGCAAATGTTGCATAATCCCTTTAAGAAGCCCCAGCTTTTATAGAATATTAACGTCAGATCTTCTATTTTTTTAGTAGTTCAGCTCGATTCAGTCAGTAGGCCGTTTGCAGTTTTAGTAATTTGAAAAACATACACCATCAAGACTTAGGCCTACAAAGGTATCAACATTACCGGTTTCTTAGGGATGGACTTAATCTAAAAATGACTAGGTCCTAACCCAAAACATAGTTAAATAACACAAAACTATTGTCTCTCAGGAAGGCGTGTGATTAATTATTTTCGGCAATTTCGTAACAATCCACCGTGGTCTGCTGGAGCCAAGCAGTCACAAATCCAGATATTCAAGATCGTATTTTGGATAATTATCCCGGTATGTTTATGATCAATAATGTGGTAGAGAGTCTAATGTTAGTGCTTGAATGAGCTCGCAGTTAAGGCAAATGAACCGTTCAATCTACAAAGTACATCTGTAGGCCTACAAATCATGAACGCATTCTTGCCCATTCTGCTACTTCAGTATTCCATCAAAATTACATTAAAATATAAGTGGATCCTGGATACCGCAACTGTTCCTAATTAAATCATAATAAAAAACATCGTGAAAACTTCTTACCTTGAATTGCGAACAGCAATGCAACGATAATGCGTTGAGCGGAGGCATAGGACATCCGGAAAGCTGCCATTTTCAAATGTTGACAGTGAAAGGTCCACATTACCAGGACCCAGATGGATCAGCTTTGTGCTATTCACGTTGCGGGCTAGGATCGCCTGTTGTTGTCCATTTCCGGTAACAAAGGCCTTGAATTCACAAAGTAAAGTTCACTGGAGGCACGGAGTAAACATCATCATTATAAACTTGAACTTCCCGGTTTAGAGATGCTATCTAAAGTACTTTAGTTTGAAGCAGAAGTGGTGACTATATATTTGCACATGTACTTGACAAAAATATAAATTATAATAGATTAATTGCGATTTTATGATCAGGCCTATTTATCAGAATTAGTTATGCGACGTTTTTATCAACAACAGTTTATAATATCTGCACTCATCCTAAATTTGCAAGTAAGATCCCGTATATGTTGTTTACGATTACGTCATACACTGAACGCGGGCATGGTCGTCGGACATTTGAGGACAGTTCTCACATTGCACTTTGACGGCACGCAGCTGCAGCTCGGCGTCGCGTCCATACTCAATTCCACCACTGACTGGAGAAAAGGTACCATTTTTGCCACTGAAATTTAACCCACACCACCCCATAAAATCAAGTTAAGCACAAACGCTTTCAATCTAAATGGGAAGTACTCATCTGGTTTTGACTAGATATGGTAACTATCATTTATTTTGAAAAATGTAATCTTTGCATGTAAACAAAGTCATTCAAATTAACCTTTTCTTGCAATTTTTTCATTTATCTGCATAAAACTGAAAATATGTATTTAATAAGTTCAATATGTAAATAATATAAAACATTATAATTGTAAATACAAACATAAGAACCCTGCACTCGAAATGGAGATTGGTTGTCTCAGACAGATGGGCATTCCTTTAGAGTTCGAGTAACACATTTCCATTAACAATACATATTTCAAAATGTTAAGCATTGCGTTGTGCGTTAAATACATCAACCGAAGTCCTAATTTAAATGTCCCAAATAGTGGAACATTTAAGCAACACTATTCCTGGGGGTGGAGATCGCGCAACGCATGATGGGACCCAACATGGCGCAGCAAGATCGTACCCATGCAAACGAAGTCGGTCATGAGTATGCAATGAGCATGCTGTGATATGAGGATGCATTGTTGGTACATAGGGGAATCGTTGATACATAACGCAGTCATTGGTGGGAACTTACCCCATATATGGATGAAACTTGTACCGAGTACCTCAGGATTAAAGGGCGGAAATTTTACGAAGTAACACCAGTACTTGTCATCATCGTCCAAAGTCACAGACTTCAGGATTAATGAGTACACGTAGTTGGATCCACCATCAGAGTTCTGTACATCATAATGGGAAGTATCCATACCATTTGCATATATGATAGAGTCTGAATTCAAGTTGTAATCAAGGATTGTCTGGGCAGCATTGTGATCTATGACAGTGGGGTCACTTTTGCGCCACTGGACGATAATAAACCCAGTTACATCTGGTGAGCATGATATCGTTGCATCTGTTCCGAGTATCACCCACTGGGCACTGGAAACTGTAACTGATTCCACACCTGAAAGGTAAAGGTAAAAGATAATTTCATGAACTTCAGGATCATAAAATGCCTCATCAATTTGCATCTGCACAGATATTACGTTATTTCATTTATGCACCTTGGTGTCTATAATGTGTACGCAAATCAGGCAATTCAAGCACTGCTCAGGTGTATAATGCTAGTTGCAAGTGAGTAAACTCAGATGACAAGTTAATGAGTTGGGCGGAGTTATTGCTAGAAAAAAAAAGCGGGAATGCATTTGCATCCATTCTTTGATTCATTAGCCGCTACATTGGTACATGTATTTGGTTGTGAGGTATTAATTGGAGCTTACTATGGTAAAATAAACCTTTTTATCCTAATCATCCTGATATAATATCAACGTTTTATAATAACTGAACTGGTTGCCATGGGAACAATGGGCATCCTACGTAGTTGTATTTATACCATATTGACCTCTAGAATTTCCCACCGAATAAAGAGTATACCAGAGGACTGCTATTAAAATTGCTGTTATTGCTTTTAATGATATTACCTTTGAGAAAAAAAATACTGCTTTTATAAGATTGTAACGTCAGACCTTCTGACTTTCTTTTATTTGTGTTTCATTTCGATTCAGTCAATAAGGAGTTTACATCAGTTTTAGTAATTTTGAAAACCCGTACCACAAAGACTTAGGCCTACAAAGGTATCCACATCACAAGTTTCTTAGGGGTGGGGCTGTTTTCTCTTCATCTTATCAAGATACTAATCCAGAACACAATTGCCTAAAGTTGCTGTCTGTGAAGAAGCCATTTAGTTCGTTACTTTCGATAAGAACCTGACGTATTCTTTAGGAGCAAAGCAAGAACGTAGTGGCGGAGCCAATGAAATCGCGGTTCAGGATTGAATTTTGGATAGGTATCTTGGTACGCTTATTATCAACGATATGCACTCATTTTAATGTTAATTGTCGAATGAGCTCGCAGAGAGGGAAAACGTAGACAGATATCCCCACCATTCATAAAATAATTCTTGCCCATTCTATTACTTAGTATTACATTAAATGAAATCAAATATGTAAGGGGAGCCTGGATATCGCAACTGTTCCTAATTCAATCATCATAACAATTCTTCTAAACATTCTTACCTTGAATTACAAACAGTAATGCGACGATAATGCGTTGAGCGGAGGCACAGGACATCCGGAAAGCTGCCATTTTGAATTATGTTAGAAGTGAGAGGGCCACAGAATACAGTCTGATTACCAAGGCCCATGTGGATCTGGTTTTTGCTATTCACGTTGCGGCCCGGGGTTCACCTATACTGCATTGTTGTCTATTTCCGGCAACAAAGGCCTTGAATTCACAAAGTAAATTTCACTGGAGCCACGGAGTAAACATCACCATTATATATATACTTGAACTTCCCGGTTTAGAAATGCTTTCTAAAGTACTTGAGTTTGAAGCAGAAGTGGTGACTAAATATTTGCACATGTAAGTGACCAAAACATAAATTATAATAGACTAATAACATGATCAGGCCTATTTATCCGAATTGTTAAATGACCTTTTTATCAAAAAGGGTATTTTAGTTTGAAACAAAAGTGCTGACTGTATGCACTTGTAAATGACAAAAAAGAAATGAATAAGAGTAATCAGAATTTATTAAGTTATATTTTCATCAGCAAAACTACAAAACCTCTGCACTCATTCCTACAGCTAAACGTGAATAGGTTCAAGGTCAACATAGTTCAAATTACTCAAACATTAACATAACGTTAAACTTAGATTGCGATTGATGTTATCTTTCCAAAGTAACCGCGATCAACACTTTTAGCCCTAATGTTATGTAGATATCAATATGGTCATTTGAAAATTGGCGGTCAAGATCATTTCGGTCAACATCATAAAATAGAAATGGAGGGCGGTAGCGCAAGAACCGTTGGACCGATGGCGCTAACACTTTTTCAGCAACATTTTCCCCATACATTAGGTATGAACCAGTTAGACCGTTCCGGTGTTTAACCATTTGGTGATTTGACATGGTATGACACTTACATACATGAACATGCTTGTACATTTGTATGTGTCGCGATAGGTGAACAACAAAGTTTCCACACAAACAATAATGAAATATTAAATTCAAGAAGCCACATACATATGTATACTCACTTAAAACAGTCAATTGTGCTGTAACAGTGACTCGCTCATTAGTGCTTACTGTTGGCCTTGCCGAAACCCGACACGCGTATTGGCTGTCGTCCTCACTTAAGCTAGCAGATATGATTTCAAAACTGCTGGCTGCATCATCGCGAGATATTCTGTATTTGGATGTGTCATCGTAGCCATTGTATAATCTTGGAGATGTAACCCCAGCGAAGAAATCAGCAATAGCAACTGATGTTTGATCAGTTGGACCATTTCCTTTAAACCACTCAAGATTCCAGAAAGTATAGTCTGGATCTGATATGGTAAAGGCACAAGTCAGAGTTGCTGAGCTTCCTTCATAAATATTGACAGGCTGCATAGACACGGATAACACCTGGCCACCAGCTAAAATAAGCAAGAAAGACATGGAAAACAGAAACAAGAAAATGTAACTCAAAAAAGGAATTCAGTTTACAGAAAAAAAATCTTGTGTGAACACCATGGATTATGAACAATGGATTATGAACAATTCCTGAGATGGTATGAGAGCTACAGTCTTTGAAGACATGCAGGATTATTGACATTCTTGCCTAGGTAAATAAAATAATAACAGTTCTTATTTCTTTTATTTTAAGTTCCTATTTTTGTTATCTTTATTTTACACAAAACAACCTTTTAAACAACTTTTGTCATCATTTGTATTTTGTGGTGTTATGACTATAGCTCCTATATCAATTAGTTCATGCCACATTGACACATATTTGGAGGAAAGACCACAGAAGTAGAGTTTAGATCTTTTTTGAAACAGTCAGTTTGTGCAATTGAAAAGTGTACTCATGGATGTGCACATTAACATTTCTTGGAAATAAAGAAGTATATTCAGTTATTTCCTACCTTGCCACAAAATGGAGATGAACATGAAAACACTTTGCCATACACCGAGAAGCGTGCTACACTTGTTCATCATGACAAATGTTCACTATGCTCTTGTGGTTCAGTTCTGTTAAACTCAAGCTTCATTTGAAAACACTAAAAAATAAAAAACACACAAATAAATAATTAAGAAAATTAAACCCTGCCCCAACGCCCAAGAAATGAAAAAGAACAAAGTACAGCCATTACTTATACAATAGTTGCATCAAGTTAAGCTAAGAACAATTAAAGTCAGTTTTTTTTATCACCATGACATAAATTGTACTGGCCGATTCATCTGTACACAAATCGTGTCTCAAATACTAGACTACCTCTGTGTTGTAAGCCACACACTGATAATACTAAAATTCCTGTCCAGAAGCTCAATTATTTTCGGCAATTTCGTAACAATCCATTGAATTCTACTGCAGTAAAACAATCCACTGTATGCTGCAATTACTTAGTAACGGAGCCCATGAAATCAAGATTTAGGATCGAATTTTTGATAATGCATGGTATGTTTCTGGTTAATAATATGCACGCGTGTATCATGTTAATGCTTGAATGAGCTCGCAGAGAAAGATAATGTACGAATCAATCTACAAAGTACATCTGTAGGCCTACGAATCATGAAATAATTCTTGCTCATTCTAATTTTATCATTACATCAAATGACATCAAACATGTAAGCGAAACCAGGATATCGCGACTGCTCCTAATTAAATCATCATACAAATTCTACATAAAAATTCCTACCTTGAATTGCAAACAGCAATGCGACAGTAATTCGTTGAGCGGAGGCACAGGACATCCGGAACGGTGCCATTTTGAAATGTTGAAGTGAGAGGTCCACATAATACAAATTACCAGGGTCCATGGATGTGGTGTGTGGTATAAATGGAAGGCCTGGGTTTCACCTATTGTTGTCTATTTCCGGCAACAAAGACCTTGAATTCACAAAGTAAATTTCACTGGAGGCACGGAGTAACATCACCATTATAAACTTGTACTTCCCGGTTTAGAAATGTCATCTAAAGTACTTTAGTTTGGAGCAGAAGTACCGACTATTTGTACCTGTACTTGACTAAAAACCTACTATGATAGAGCAATAACGACATTATGAGTAGGCCTACATTTCATTAGAATTACTATGTGACCTCTTCATCAACGCAAATAGATAATCCCTGAATATTGGAAACGCTGCCACTAAATATTTGCTTGCGCTATATTCCACTAATCAGTTACTTTTATTTTTTTTCATTGATTTATGTTAGTTCTGTTTTAATATTTCTTCACACTTTCGCGTTTCGTGGTTGTCACACACCTCTGATTCTCAGTTCGGTCGATCCCGTTTGGCTTCCAAACCCCGCTACATAAGTACGGCAATCGTATGTTCGTTCATCCATTAATGACACTAAAGTGATTGTTAGACGATTATCGCTCCGAGTCTCATCATACAAGAATCGGTTTCGATCAATCGAAGATCCCCAATACAATTCACCCGGCGGGAGAAATCGAACGATAGCGAGGCAGGTTGTTGAGTAGTCACAAGACGTTTCATCCAATCCATATTTCCTCCAATTGACCTCACGAGCCGTTCCAACAGGCACGCAGGTCAGTAGTGCTGTTTCATTGACATCCACCCAAGGGTCGCTGGAAACTGTTGGTTGGGAGTAACAAGCTGCAATTTATAAAAACAAAAACATTTTAAGTTCAGGTTGATAAAAGTACGGTAAACATATGAATTTATTGCATTTACAACTTCAATATACATATGGAAGAAAGCGGCATATCTAGAGAAATACTATGCCCACTGCCGGCCAACGATGTGAATTGCTTAGATTAATTGCAGAATATATGATTTCGGTATAATCACAAATGGTGATTTTTTTTTAAAGAAACCAACTTGAACTTAATTCATTAACTTCAATCAGGCATCTTAGGTGAACAAACATGACTATCATAATCATGCTTCATTGAATTATTGAATATTCAAAGTAAAAAGGTGACCTATTTAAATCACAGAAAAACTACATTACCTTCTATCAATCGCATCCCTTTTTCTCAGCTTTTTGGGATATAATTACTGCAAATATTAAAATATAATGTCTTGTTAAAAAAAACCTGTGACATTTTCCCCTTACCTCTTAAGTCCAACAGCAGCCAGAAGAGAAGACAAACATTCTTGACAAAAGATGCAGCCATTTCCGCGCGTAATACGGAGATGCAGCCCAATTGTGATAACAATTAAGTTTCTAGTTTATCCTCCAAGTTCGGTTCACACTTTTTACATGACCAACACGCACGTACAACTCCACGCAAGGACTTCTTTTCTCGATTTCCGGTTTTTGACGACGACCTTCACTACATCAAACTAAATTGACAACCAGGCAGCACATGGTAAAATACTAAAACGTGATTTCCTGGTTTAATGCTCTTAAAACTACCCTGGATGGAATCGGAGTGTGGACTGCTGATGTGTCAAAAAACTGCGCTTTAGAAATAAACACAAATGACTTTACAAATTGATCTTATTGTGAGTCTCACTCCAGCAGCTGGCTCGGAAAAGAATAAACTGAAAATGACCTTTGCAGTCATACAAATATAACAATTGGGCTGTATTTATGGAACGGTGTTATCGGAAGGGGACGTGTTGAACCGCTGCAGCATGCAGTGTTGATGGTAATAAAAATGAATGGGAAAGTATGAACATTTAACAACAATCGAGATGTTCTCTCCTTAATCTCTGTATTGAGTCATCGCTTACTTTCCGCCTAAACATGTTGTTCCCATAAATAGTTGGTCCGTATTAATTCATAGGCAAAGTGATATCTAGGCGCATGACAGTAAGCGTAAGAAAGTATTTGCACAGCCACCATCAACAGAATATCCAACTTTTAAATTCAACTCACCATGAACAGTTAAAAGACTTGTTGCTCTGCTTTCACGATCATTAAAACCTATCGTATAAACCACCCGACAGCTATATTCTCCATCATCTGAAGATAATTGAGCACTTGCTATCGTCAGAGTACTCATTGAACCATCCCTTGATACAACATATCCAGGTTCAGAAAATCCATTTGCGTAATAAGGTGTCAGGGCTCCCCCCAAAAAGTCAGCAATAATAGTGCCTCTCTGACTCCATACCACGTTGTCTAAGGCACCAGGGACACCCAGTGAGAAGGTACAGGTGAGTGTTGCTGATTGGCCTTGCATAGAAGATACTGGTAAGAGGGTGACGGTGACTGTTTGGGTGTGGACCAAGCAAAATATAACTAAAAACAAAAAAAAGAATTTTCGTGCATTTAATCAATTATACTATTATCACCACTGTCTGTGAATTATTGCATCTTATACAGTTAAACAATGTCCGACTTTTATATAAACCATTTTCTAATTTCCACAGAATAGGCCTATTACTCCACCTGCCCAATCTATTTCGGATCTTATTTCTCAAAATCTGCAAATGAAATTAACCTCACGTACCTTGTAAGAAGAACAGCTTTGTGTTTAGGGAACACGCCGTCGACACCGCCATTTTATACTTCAACGGTGGTAGCGCCACACCGCTAGTATTTTCAATTTCACAATGTCGTGTGAATTGCTGAAAGTATCCGACTTTGACCCGGAAATCAATTTACCCTTTGTCATGGCTGAACAAGCAATCAACTTAGGACTACATCTCGGTAGCTAATATAATAACGATGAATTTGCTAAAGCGCCTTTTCCCAAGGTACAAAGCGCATACAAGAAAAGCTAAGGAAATCAATGTAGACTGCTGAACTGTTTTGGCAGTAGATGCAAAGGCGACTTCTGAATAAAATTCTTCCATACTGAAGATGTTATTTGGAAAATTTAAAGGGGTGAGGAAACTTAAAGCGATAAACAAGAATATCGCAAAAAGGTGAATGAAATGAACTTCTTCTTTCAAAGTGACATGATTTTAGGAAAACCTCGCCCCTTCAAGTTCATCACTGTAATATCAGATAAGCATCGGGGTAAATGCTACTGTAATTTCAATCTCACCTGTTATTCTCAAGTAGAATGTACCAACTGGTTTTTGTCCAGCAGAAAGTAGGGCCTGACACCAGTATTTCCTATCATCATCAAGTGTCACTGACATCACGGTCAGAGCGTTATTAAGCAAAGTATTGTCAAATGTATAATGAGACTGGTCTGCATTGTACACAATGTTGCCAGTTGCATTGACACCAAAAGCACTAACGATTAAAGATGCCACATTAATGTCTGTTAGATCCAATGAGCTTACTTTCCACTCTATATAGGAATAAGTCTCTGACACTATACATGTCAATGTAGTGTCTTCCCCGATCTTCACCCGTGAATCGCCTCTTACAATGAGACTTGCTTCAGTAACTGAAAAACAAAACATTAAAATAATATAAAACAAAACTCAGAACATGTTCGATGAATAATATTGCTCGATGATATAAAAAATCAACAAATTGTTTGAGACTTTTTCAAATCCAGACTTGCCTCAAATTTGTGATCTTTCTTTTAAATTGAAATTAGGCCTAATGAAAAGAGGACACTTGTGTCAGATTAGTTTATAACGTGTCATCTACATTCAACCATTAACACGTTTAATTGGTATTAACTCGAGGGGCAGGTAAAACCCATCAAGGCCCTTAAAGAGAAAAAAAATCAAAATATACATTTTAAACATTTGTGAGGTTTTCTTTCAATTTGAAAAGTGTTATAGCTCTTTTCAAGTAAAAAAGGGAAGAAAATACAAGTCGAAGCATATAGAAGATCGCGTCCAGTCCCAACCACTTTTGATTTTACGGAGGCCGGTTGACAGGTGAAAAAACAGTCTTCTTTTCAGCACGGATGATTAATGTGCTTCTTTGCATAAGCCCCCCCCCCCCCCCCCCACACACACACACACAATCAAAACGAACCTGCTGTGCACCTTAGAGGGAAAGGGCATTTCTACATTAAAAAATATGCCCATAAGCCATACTCGATCATTTAAAATATTGGCAGGAAAAACTGGGTAGAACCACAAGGACATTTCTGAATTTTGTTTTCCTTCAGCAAGAATTAGGAACCAACTTTAAATTAATCAATTAACTTCAATCGGGCAATTATATTAATTAGGAATATTATGTTCATGCTCAAACAGAAATATAGTGATTTATTTCAATTATGAAAACTTCACCTTACTTTTAATAAATAAGCATTCAATCGCATCCCCAAATTCTCAGTTTTTAGGACGTTTCAATTTCTTGTAGTTTCTAATGTCAAATAACGTTTGCTTAACAAACATACTATTTCCTGCTTACCTCTCAAGACCAACAACAGCAAAAAGGGAAGACAAATAGTCTGGAACGAAGATGCAGCCATTTCCGCGCTTAATATATTGATGCAGCCCGATTGTGAAAAAAACGAGCTTCTAGTTTATCCTCCAAGATCTGTTCACACTGCTAACATGACCAACACGCACGTACAAATCTAGGCAAGGACTTTTATTTCGATCTCCGGTCTTTGACTTTGGCCTTCACTGCAACAACAAACTAAACTGACAACCAGGCAGCACAAGGTAAAAGATTAAAGAGACTTCCTGGTTTAATGCTTTCAAAACTACCCTGGTTGGAACGGTACCGAGTGTTGACTGCCGATGCTTCAAAAACGCGCTTTGTAAATGCATAAAAGTACTTTACACATGGATATTATTGCGAGTATTACACCAGTAACTGGCTTTGAAAAGAAAGAACTTAGCTTGACCTTAGCAGTCAATAGAAACAGTACAATCACTACGCCTATCCTCAGAAAAGTGGGCTCTATTTATGGAAAGTGGCGCTATCCGAAGGGGACGCACAGAACTGTTGCAGAAATGCAATGTTGTTGGAAAACAAATGACTGAAAAAAAACCCCCAAAATAACATTTGAGATGTTCTCATCTTTTATTTTTCAACAGACAGTTGGTCCATATGCTATTAAAATTATAGCCATACTGATACCCAAAGCGTATGTCGTAACAAAATATCTATGCATCCATCATCAACAGAATGTTCAACTTTTAAATTCAACTCACCATTAACAGATAAGAAACTAGTTGCCGTGATTTCAGGAGCCCTAAAACCTAGTGTATACGCCACCTTGCAGCTATATTCTCCATCATCAACAGAAAATCGAGTACTTGCTATCGTGAGGGTACTCATTGAGTCAGTCCTTAACACAACATAGTCAGGTTCAGAGATTCCATTCTGGTAGTACGGTGTCTGCGTTCCCCCGAAGAAGTCAGCGATCAGAATACCCCTCTGTCTCCATACGAGGTTGTCAAAGTCGGCAGTTACATCCAGTGAGAAGGTACAGGTGAGTGTTGCTGATTGGCCTTGTATGGTAGATACTGGTAACAGGGTGACGGTGAGTGTTTGGGTGTGGACCAAGCCAAGTAAAACTGAAAGAATGAAGAAAATCTGTTACACTTAATCATTAAATATGTATGGTCCACGTGTGTAGACAAGTTAGTTTAAACTTCTTTACCGATCGAGTGTAATATACTGTATATGAACCTTGCTTGATTTTTATACTTGTACCACACCTTTCAAATCTCCCCTAGCTGATGTATTTACCCGGCAGATCTTACTTCTGAAAAAAAAAATACTACCGAAAATGTGACTATAACGTACCTTGCAAACTGTACAGCTTCGTGATGAGGGAACACGCTGTTGACACCGCCATTTTACACTTCAACGGTGGTAGCGCCACACCGCCAGTATTTCCAGTTTCACATCGTCGTGTGAATTGCTAAAAGTATGTGACTTTGACCCGGAAATAAAATTACCCTTTGTCGTGGCTGAACAAGCAATCGACGTGTGGCAATGCTCGTTGTTTTTGCGTCGTGGAAAATTAATGGAAGAGGTAAACAATAATGTTGCAATAAAGTGAATGAAGTGAATTGATACTTTTAGTACTACATCGTCCCTTTTACTACATCTTGTGACAAAAATGTTGCAGCATAGTAAGTGTTACTGCAAGTTTAATCTCAGATCCTGTTCTCAAGTAGAATGTACTAACTGGTGTTTGTCCACCATAAGACAATACGGCCTGACACCAGTTTTTCTTACATCATCAAGTGTCACTAACGTTATTGTCAAAGTATTGTTATACGGAGAGTGTTATTGAATACTAAATGAGAATCCTCAATGCTTGGGCCGCACACTTCGTGCCCAATCCCGTTAATACCAAAAACATCAACAAGTAGAGATGCTGTGGTGATGTCTGTAACATCTACACTGCTCACTTTCCACTACATATACGACTAGGCCTAGGTCTGAGACACTGTGCAAGTCAGTGTAGTATTTTCCCCTACTGCCACTCACGAGTCCTATATTGATGCTTTCTCCGGTAACTGAAATATTTATAACGAGCAAAAGAAAGATACAAAGTGTGGATTCAAAATTTTTGTAATCACTGTATAAATGTTTCATTTTTTTTATAAATCTACCGTAAATTTGAAACGACAATGCTTTGTAACCTTAATTGTCTTTTTTAAGATCAGTAATTCAGTAATAAATATGGCGAGCAAAAGTTATATTTATATAGCATTAACTAAGTCCTTAAAACAATTTAGTGCTATCGACGATGTCTGTAATGTATTAAAATATATCTTTAAATGATAACGATATCTCTAAACGATTCAGAGATATCTTTAAATCATTTACATATATCTTTAAATCTTTTAGAGATATCTCTGAATGATTTAGAGATATCTTTAAATTGTTTTAAAGACGTTGTTTATGCTTAAAAAATGCTTTGGCTCACCATAGATGTAAACACCGTCATTATTATTTTCTTCTGTTTAATTGTACTTCCAATATACACGTTTATGCCATCACAGGAAATTGACAGATCTATTAGCATGGCAAAAGTTTCATTTACATGGTAACCAACGTCCAAGATTACAATCAAATGTAGGCCTACAATCTAAATATGCACCTCGAGATCGTCATTGAGTGAATATAAACGTGTGTTTTTGTACCAGTTGTCATACCATGATAAATAATTTATTCAAAACAGGCATTAAATGTGACCCTTCCCTCACAAAAACAACAGCCAAAGTAAAATGGCAGGCAGGAACGTATATGTACGGAAGATGCAATCATGCATTAGTATTAGGGATGCATGCAACCTCCTTGTGTCGTGCAGATGTCGTTCCCTACAGATTCTAGTTCAATGTTGCGTTGGAACTAATTCAGGATCAATCATGTCAGTAATTATTACGAGTTGTCTGTTGATATATGGCCTTTGGAAAATGCACTTGAGTATAGCTAATGCTACTGAGTAAATGTGTAACCAAGAGATCATACGGGGAAAAGATTTGGAACATCAAGGTGACTTCCTGCTGAACCCTGGTCGGTACAGTTGACTGTGTGTGCTTTGAAGATCTAACTACCCTAACAAACCCTAAAAAAAACCAAGTTCACTCCCTCACCAGCGACTCTGAAAGAGGTGAACTGAGCTTGACCTTTGCTTACAATAGAAATCTGACAATCGGCACACTCTGCTGTAAAGCAGGCCAAACTAAGGCTTTATTTATATTTATGTAGAGAAACGAATATTGGCTTAACGGATTGAACCACTGCAACCGGAGGTAATTGGGATTTTGTACTGTATGTCGGTGCTGTAGATATTATTTGAATAATTAAATAAGTGCTAATTATGGCTAATTTAGGTATTGCTTTTCTCTTATGCCCCCGCTCTTTTTGTTTTTAGTTTTACAGTGTCCGTCTTAAATATCAGCTTTATACTCAGTGGAATTAATCTGTGCCGGGGAGTGGGGGATGGGGGATGACCAAAATGCTAAAATATCCCGGCCATGGACATTTGAAAAGCGGCGGAGGGGTGTGGGGGGGGGGGGGGGGTGTTGACACAACATTATACAAGGGGCGCTCTTCAGAATAAAGATGTGTATCAATATTAGATTAGAAATGTATTGTCCGCATCATAGGAAGTCATAGACTCGCGCTTACATTTTTAAAGCTGTTGTACTTTGTGTCTCCACTTTTCAGTTCTACTGAATACATTTTAGTTGTTGGTACGTTCGAAACATACCTAAAAATCCGCAGTTTTTTTCTCATCACAAAAAGAGGGGGGGGGGGATGATTCAATAGCCTCCCCCCCCCCCCCCCCCCCGGTAAAAAAGTGGCAACCCATCCCGGGTTTTTTTTGGGGTACGTTTCTTTCTCATGCAAACACCAAACTCTTCTTTGTGTCTTCAGACCAAAAAAAAAAAAACCAAAAAACAAAAACAACCCGTAATGTACGCCTAGTCACAAGAAAGAGAACGAACGAGTGACTCAACTACAATTATAGTCCTTTTTTAATTCAGGGATCGAAACGGCCGGCCCTCTAATTGTGTTCGAGTTGTTTATTTTAGGTCAATCCAGTTGGAACGTAGTTTGCTGCAGCTGAACTTAACTTACATACCAAGTGGACATTTCTTATACGCCAAGGGTGGCTTTCTATTTAAACGTTTAGCACTCTTTCAACGATTTTTATCCGGTATATCGTGATGCTGGAACTATTGTAAAGCAAGGTCTGTCTCGAGCCAATGTGGCCCATCAGGCCGGCGTTTTATCTCCGATTTCAGCATCATGAAATTACTGATGATATTTCTATTCCCCCTGAATGGGATGCCAGTCCATCGCAGGTTACTCCCCAGGTAATATCGGTACCCATTTATACTCCTGGGTGTTGGGAGTCAAGCGGGGTGAAGTGGCTTGCCCAAGGACACAACATATGACTAGCAGCTGGATTTGAACCCCTGACCATCTGATCATGAATCACAAACCCTAACCACTAGGCCACACTCCCCACTATGCTGGAATTTTACAAAACCAATTCAAAGAATGCTCTAAATAATGATACACCTTGATGGATGCATGTCACTCACCTCGCACATTAAGGATCGAATTATCTCTCAGCGGGAGAAAATTGTCCGTGGTGATACCACACCAGTACTTTCCTTCGTCATCAACTTCAACAGACTTGATTGTCAGAGGAAAGTCCCCACCAACTACAAACTCATAACGAGATGCGTTCACCACGAGCCCGTGGGTGATTTGTGGTTCAGTGGTTGGGTCGTAACCAAAGATCAGAACACCTCTGCCGCTACTCACTGCACTGAAGTCCGTCTGTACCCATTGTAGATCCATTATTTCATAACCCTGCACTGAGCACGTCATTACTGTTTGCTCCTTGATATCAACCCATGATGCTGTGGTTACAACGATACTCTGGGATGATGTACCTAGTTGAAACAAGAACATACAAGAGAATGATTGGTTCATGGATTAGAGTAAAGAACCTACCACGTTTGATATCTTTACTGCATGTGTAGGCTAACAAACTGTATGCTGACCCTCTTGGAACCCACCAAATCGCTAATTGAAAAGAACAATTCAATATAACCCCATGTGTCCATAGGGCGTTGTGAGGTCTGCAATGCAGATCTGATACACCGTGCCCTCTTGAGACATGCACACAGTAGGGAACAAAAGTTTGTGCACGTCTCCACAGGGCAATTTCTATAGATGAATACGTCTCCACAAGGTTTTACGAAATAGATATATTGATTTTACTCAAAAACCAGGAATTCCCAAGGTATGTCGATGTGTCGCAAATGATTTTTTTTTAGAAAAGGCATATTAAGTCCGAATTTCAGCCAAGGAAATTGATTTTTGTTAAAATAAGAGCATCTTGAATCTACTTTTTCAAAATCGAAAACTTTAGTACACGAGAACAAAGAAATGTCTCCACAGGGATACAAATTCCAGTATCAACGCTCGATACTGGGTTTTCTCGATCCTATATTGAAAGTCACTTTGCCTCAATTTGTGATAATTTTGTTTCATTAACATTATGCCTACTAAAAAAGACCTTTCATCGTGCACTCAAGCATGAGCACCTGTCATTAGTATTGACTGGGAGGGGGGGGGGGTCAAGACTATTCCTATGAAATTATTCACTTCAGATCAAAACATGATTTAAATTCAAACCCAAGCTTGAGAAATCAAAAAAAGTATACTTTAATAGTGAGTTTTTCTTAGAATTCTAAGTGTTCTACATAATTGCTTAAAAGTTCAAAAAAGGAGGGGGAAATTAAAGCTAAAGATGCCGGCAAAATTGCCTGGTGTTTTTAAGTCCACATAATAGCAGGCCTGTGTTTCATTAGAGAATACACTCGATTGCCTGAGAAATCGACAAAGTGAGTTTTTCTTAAGATTTGAAATGTTCTATTAAAAGTTCAAAAAAGAGGGGGAAAGTAATAGCTAAAGGTGCCGGCTAAAAATGCCTGGTGTTTTCTAAGTCCACATAATAGTATGTGTTTCATTGGAGAATACACTTGCTTTTTCTTACCTGGAAGCAACCACAACAGCTCAACCACCAGGACGAGTGTAAAGGTTACCCGTGCCATTTCCTCCACGTGCCGTGTGGCATTCCCGTCATGAGCGGTAGCTGCCTAGGATCGATGTGCTGCATGTCGGTTGTCTTTAAAGTACACGTACATGGTGAACCCGGAAAAACTGACCTGAATGACTTTGAACTCCCATGGAGCTTTCAGCATTTCTAAAATTCTTTCGTGTGTAGTGTTTACTTGGTTTCTTGTTGTTTGTATATCCTTTTGTTTTAATATCAAATTTTATGTATTTATTGTAATTGTGCGTATCTATATCAACTTGCCGAATAAATTATTATTATTATTATTATTATAATTATTATAACAACGACAGCAATGACAACAACGACAAGAACTAAACAAAGAAAAAAAAACATAACATGCGAGGGTTGTAATGTATACGCGCATTATTTTTTAGCTCAACATTACAAACTCACTGTCCAACCTAAGAACTTACCTCTGATTTGTGTGACACTTGATGCAACGAATCTACCTGTCGAATCGGGTGGAGGCGGAAATTCAAGTGTAAAACACCAATACTTGCCAGCATCTTCGAATGTCACTGACTTAACGGTTAACAAATAATCTCCTACAGATTCATGGAATATAAAACGGCCAGGATCGAAGCTATTGAAATATCTGGCCGTGTCGATGTTCATCGTATACTCATATTGCAGGATGGTGTCCGCAGAGTTTACATTGGCGACAGAAGGATCGCTCTTGTGAAACTGAAGGAAAGTAAAGGGCTGGAGATCCGTGCATGTAATTGTTGCATTTCGGCCCGGTGTTACCCAAGGGTCGCTGGTAACTGACAGTGCCATATAACCTGCAGGTGTGACAAGGCAATTATAAAGAAAACACATGAAAGAACAAAATGGTATTGGTAAGAACTGCCAATCATAATTTACTTGGAGAATAGCAATTAGAATGCAGAGAATTAAGAGGTCGTCCGTCAGCCTCCATATTAGTCCGTGGTACAAGTGCATTCCATATGATTACGTGACCACGCTTTGAGTCTTAAGTGAATACATTTGGGGGAAACAAAACTGGGTTTTGACTGACAAAACTGCACATTTCCAAGTATTGTTTTAATACAAATTACTGAAATGTGTTTTGGCAAATTTTTAGGTATCGGTTGTTATGCCATCAATCATCTAGACTTGATGACAAGTCGTTAGATTTTCGTATTTTGTCCGTAAACTTCAGTCGAACTCCATCGGCGCGGCTGGTATAAGACTAATACGCAATCGGCCGCGTTGCGACAAATCTAGCGACTTGACGATGATGTTCTCGCACCGTTATTCATATATGCAAGCAGCACAATACATATGCAGTGCATTTTTGCGGTGAGATACAATCGCGCACCGATATGCAAATGAGGACTCATTCATTCCGTTACATGTGGAATTCTTCTAAATACGTCAGGGACATGTTTGCAGATCTGGCGAATAACGACCAATAAACTCAGCTTGGTCAATTGTGTATAAGAATAAAATGCATCATTGTGATATACTTGATTTATTTGAGTCGTGTATGCCCTATAATGAATTGTGTATTGTTACACAACTTAAAGTACAAACCCTCGAAGTAATGAGAACGATCTTCCGTGGCGGCCTAGAATACGCTCTGTAATCTGAACCAATCAGAGTGCTCGCATAGAATTCGCTAGCGATTTAAAATACTCCCATATGTTGGGTACTAAATTGAAAACGTTTTCGCCAAGTCGGTAATTTTATCAGAAATAGTCAGCATCTGTTAGTCTGGGAACCAGACTACGCGCGTTGCAGCGATATTTTGCGTGCGTGGAGCATCTGGAAAGAGTATTGACTAGGACGGGGGGTCAAGACTATTTCTATGAAATTATTCACTTAAGATCAAGCATGTTTTGAATTCAAACCCAAGCTTGAGAAATCGAAATAGTATACTTAAATAGTGAGTTTTTCTTAAAATTTAAAATGTTCTACATAATTGTTTAAAAGTTCAAAAAGGAGGGGGAAATTAAAAGCTAAAAAAAGCCGGCAAACTGCCTGGTGTTTTCTAAGTCCACATAATAGCATGTGTTTCATTAGAGAATACACTTGCTTTTTCTTACCTGGTAGCAACCACAACAGCTCAACCACCAGGACGAGTGTGAAGGTTACCCGTGCCATTTCCTCCACGTGCCGTGTGACATTCCCGTCATGAGCGGCAGCTGCCTAGGATCGATGTGCTGCATGCCGGTTGTCTTTAAAGTACACGTACATGGTGAACCCGGACATACTGACCTAAATAACTTTGAACTCCCATGGAGCTTTCAGTATTTCTAAAATGAATGAACTTAACACCGATCCTTGCTTTCAATGCAATTATTACTTTAGAATATTGGGTTTCTCCCTTAATTTGAATAAATATAGGGGAATCCCTGGTTGAAATTTCCCCGGGACACAAAGCCATTTAAACTTAAATGTTTTAAAACTATGCCGGCTTGCTATGAGGTAGCTGTAAGTTCTTCATGGCTTTGTCTTATGAAAACATTACAACGAGTGGCTTGTGTTATTTTCCGTCAATTCAAAACTGTATTTCTTTTTATTCCTCATCTCAATAAGGGCTAATTGACAACTTTAATTCCACTGTTAATACTTCAGGCCCGCAAGCAGGATTTCAAGTTGGGATGTGCGTTCGCGCACGACACCGGAACATCAAACCAGTTTGGGAATTACATTATGCGCGGAAACAACCGACGATAAGCGCGCTGTTAAAACATGTATGTATGCAAATTAAGACGAACGTGTGTTAATAAGGTACATTTTATTGTATCGTTAACATTAATGCCCACTCATTCCTCACTCGTTACTTTGTAAAAATCTTCAGGCAACTTTTAAAATTAAGTCTTTTTTTACTGTTTATGTAAAAAAAAAATGACCTTACAATCACAACACAATAAGATGCATAGTTATTGACTCTACATTTTTAAAGTTTATTCAATATGAAATCAATATAAGAACATATTAAACGAATTACAATGTGTCGATGGGGCAAATCAAACAGTACACACTCGAACACAACAATAACCTGATGGGAATAATGCTTGGGCGTGCGACAAACATTGTTTTTAATTGTGAGTAGATTTTATTGAGTCAGTTAGTTGTAATTCGAGATCAATACCTCTTTACGATAAGGATCCATGTACAATCTAAGATGTTAATAGGCAGCTGTGAAAATATAATTCTTGGTCAAACATCATTGCTAATGTGCAATCTGAAAAGTCAAATATGTTACCGTCATCATGACGACAGAGTAAAGTAAATAGGTTATAGCAACAATGAAACATTAACTTACCCACAATAAAAAGCCTGGTTGAGTCTGTGCCAACGAGCGAATCCGAGACACCCTTTCTGAATATGACTGAGCACCAGTACCAGGCATCGTCGGTCGCATAGTCTACTGATGTAACATTTAGCACATTCCGACCATTCACGGAGTCTACAGTTAGTGAATATTTGTTTCCACCTGGATAAATTGCCTGTCCTGACACAAGGTGCGCGATTAGATCGGCAGAATTGTTATCGTCACTTTCATCTCCTTTCTTCCAAGAAACATAAAAGAGGGCGTACTGACCGTCTGTTACTGAAAAACTGCATGTTAAAGTTGCTAATGCTCCATGATTGGTGTATGTGGTTGCTGGTAATGTCACCGTGATATCTTGGCTACTGGAAACTGTAGGGTAAAAACATAATGGAAGTACCAATGTATTAACAAGTGATTTGGATACCAATTTCTTCTTAAAAAAAAATGGTATTTCAGACAAGATTTACTTTCCCAACGACATAACAACAATGGAAACCAAAAATAATGGCTAATCGATTCTGCTTAGATTCGCAGTATTATTTTCCCTGCATCAATTTGAAGTTTCCTAATTGTTCCCTCAACTACAGGGAGAACTTTACCTCCGTTTTCCAAACTCTTTTTATTGCAGAAGTGAAGCAAAGTCAATTTCTAATTATCGAAAAACAGGTTTCAAATTCGTTCAGCAATCTTTTTTACAGTTGAAAGTCTAACATTTTGAAAAAGAAATGAATTTTCTGAGAGCATAAACATTCATTGTCTCGCAATCTGCTTCAAACTTTTGTACATGTAGAACGGTGAACTTTCTACAGTGCTACTTCCCTTGTAAGGCACGGTGTACCAAATGCATGGGTTTTAAAATGGTTTGATCCTGCTGTGTTCCTGCCGACATCCCTTTCGCAATCATCATGCGCACGGATCAAAATGGCAAGGAACTCCCCAAAACTGCACAAAAGCAATCACTTGATGCGATATTTGTTTTACTGAGATGAGACACAATGCTTACCTGCGAGATAGCACAACACGTTGCCTGTAACGATATATAACATGTGGACTGCCGACGCCATTTCCATGCATGTGACACATCACAAATTGTGCAAATCGATGAAATCATTAACCGGTAGTGAACCCGGAAATGTCTTTTGCTGGGGGCGAATGAAACTAAATACGATCTATCGAAGCACACAGCCGTTTCACAGCACTATGACAGTACCATTTAGCCAACAAAACACTTTACTTATTTTCACAGTTTGCTGTTCCCCTCCACGATCCAAACATTATTGTCAAACTATAATAAAATATGTAAAGCAACATTCTGTTCAGATTGCAATGCAAATTACTTTTACATACATTTCAGATTGTATCAATACTACTTCACAAACCGACAAAAAATAACCACAAAAACATAAGGAAGCACCTTAAAACATAATCTTCATTTTATTAAATACCTTCGTGGATACTCTATAGTTTTTATATTGGATTCTTTTATAAAAATATATTGCACATTGAGGTTGTCGATAATGACGGCTACTATTGTATGTGCGCCTATACTTAGTAATCCCCTGTGGTTCTATTTCCTTTCTACACGTCAAAAGGAGTCAATCAAAGTATTGAAGAGTCGACGGAGGTTCTCCAAATGTTAAGTAACTTATCAAACAAACCGGTTTGGTGAACATCGAACAACATTTCAAGCATTTCCTCTTTATTTACATCAATGAATCAACGAAAATTTCACTGGAATTATTTTTTAATCGGTCACATACTTGACCTATCGCAGTAAAGTCGCGTCAACACAGCTTGTGAAATATTGCCCAATTACATGATATACAAATGAACGCACAAAATCTGAGACAAAACAAAACTCAACGTACAACAGTTCGATAGGGATGTCTAAGGGGCGTGGCTCACTCGCAAACGGCGAAAGGTCAAAGAAATAAACAGGATCAGCAATTATAATGTAACTGGCCCCAAAACGTACACAATTCATTCGATTTAGCGCATTCATATGCGTTAGGCGGTAATCGTACACGATAATACTACACGACTAGCAAGTGACAGTCAGTCAGTGAGTCAGTCAGCAGCAAGGGCGGATCCAGAACACAATTTTCGGGGGGGGCAAAAAAAATGTTTGGTCCCCCAAAAAGTGGGTCAAAAAAATTACGGCGTGGGGTTCGGGGCCCGCTTAAGGGCCCCGAAATTTGTTTGGATTCTAGATGCTCTGTGGTGCGATCTGAGGCAATTTCTGACCACTTTAACCAATGTTTTTTGTGAGGAAAAGATGGTGGTGTACTCATTGCCTGCCTTTATTGCGATGTCACATAAAAAAAAAAATTGGTTTCGTTTTGGGGGGGGGGGGCATGGCCCCCTTTGGCCCCCCCCCCCTGGATCCGCCCTTGGTCAGCAGCAGCAACAGCAACAACAGCAACAACAGCAACAACAACAACAACAACAACAACAACAACAACAACAACAACAACAACAACAACAACAACAACAACAACAACAACAACAAAGAAACAACAAAATAAAATGTAAGGGCTGTAAGGTATCCCCGCATTGTTTGACCTGAACATTAAAAAGTCCAAGTTCAACGTTATAACTTACCTCTGATTTGTGTGACACTTGATGCAACGAATCTACCTGTCGAATCGGGCGAAGGTGGATCTCCAATTGTAAAACACCAATACTTGCCAACATCATCGAGTGTCACTGACTTAATGGTTAACAAGTAATCCCCTCCAGATTCATGGAATATAAAACGGCCAGGATCGAAGTTATTGAAATATTTGGCCGTGTCGATGTTCATTCCATACTTATATTGCAGGATGGTGTCCGCAGAGTTTACATTGGCGACAGAAGGATCGCTCTTGTGAAACTGAAGAAACATAAAGGGCTGGAGATCCGTGCATGTAATTGTTGCGTTTCGGCCCGGTGTTACCCATGGGTCGCTGGTAACTGTCAGTGCCATAGAACCTGCAGGCGTCACAAGGCAATTTAAAAAAAACAAAAATAAAAAAACAACAACATAATGATATGGGTAAGAACTACCAAGTATCATTTGCTTGGAGAATAGCAATTAGAAAGTAGATAATTACGAAGTCGTCCGTGAGCCTTCATATCATTCCGTGGGTACGGGTGTATTCATTTGATTACGTGGTCACGCTTTGAGTCTTGAGTAAATATGTTTGGGAAAACCAAAACTGAGTTTTGACTGACAAAACTGCAAATTTCCAAGTTTTGTTATTAAACAAATCACTGAAAAGTGTTTTACCAAGTTTCCAGATATCGGTTGTTATGGCAACAATGATCATCCCATCATTTTACTCGTGGTACAGTGTTGACCCCGGATTGGGTGAAGTGTTCTGGCAATATTTAAGGTTTGGGAGGCCCAATGTGATAGGGTTGGGGTTTTACAGGGTTTCAGGTTTCAGGCTTTGACCAACTTTTGTTTAATTAGTTATCCATTGGTTTTGTACCGAAACTAAACATTTATTTCTGTTAACATATATTTAAACGAATTGAGGCTCTTTCGCGTTAGCCCTTTTCTGACCTCTGTTTTAATAAAATATACTCTTTATTCCCAAGTCCATAAAATCCAATTGCTTCTAAATCGCCAGTAATATATTTTTGCTTACCGCTTAAAATCAATAGCAGCCAAAGAAATATCTGTAGGAGCGTGTGGACCATGTGCACAGAGATATCCATTTCCGCATGTGATCCGTACGAACTAGGCCCCCTCTTGTGCGGAGTATAATGGTTCAGAATCACATGTACCTTTGAACTTCCAGAACTTGAGCTGTGTGTCGATTTCCGATTGTTAGCAACGACCTTCAACACAGCTAGCGAGCTACCGATCTAACGTGATAACAATGAATATGGGGACAGAATTTGGAATACGCACGTGATTTCCTGGTTGAATGCCATCAAAATATCCGGCACGAAGCACGCATTTCGACGTACTTTTGGTGAGGGCGCCCTACTTACACACCTCTCAGATCACATCTAAAAAAAGCTAGATCTCACTTACATATGCTTTTACGTTGTGTATCCGACAACACAACGCTGCGTCTTATAACCGCCATGTCACTCGAATGGTAAGTAACGCGCGCGACATGCTACGACCATCGGGCCCTGCGCTTTTGTTGCGCCTAGGAACTGAGCCGTGCTGCATTTATCAACATGGTGTTTATCAAGCAACATTGTCTTTAACGGTCAGTTAAATATGTATTCATATTGGTTTATTTTCATTTGACTTGTGGCCCTCAGGTCAAAGTGCAAGATTGTTACAATATAAAAACATTGAACAATACACAACAATATTTGTTTAAATATGAAAAAAGAGGCAACAGTAATGATCCAACCAAAAAAACTAAACGTAATGAAAACAATAATATTGCACACGCTGAAACAATGTAAGATCAATTGATGAAATAAAAAATGGACCTTGAAAGATGACGCAGCCACCAGGAGTAAAATGTTTCACGAAGTACACAATAGACCCAGACATAGTATGATATTGCATAAAGCACACAGTAGACCCAGACATATTTTGAAAATCAAGAAATTATTAAGTCAATGTAGTGTGGAATTGGGCTCTTTTTCAAGGACGCAGCGCATATAAGATCGCAGACAGTGTGACAGGGCCTTTAGCGAATTCCTTGGAGTCCCTTTGAAGCCCTCAACTAGTATCAATGGGTCCCAAAGTCGTCATTTGCGTTCCCACCGCGTTTTAGTCAATTATCTTGGTCGCGGTACGAACTCCATGCCAGAACGTGACAGTGTGACAGGGCTTTGAACAGGAGTTTGGCTGAGTCGTTAATCCTCGCGCGTAGGATTCGTGAGTGATCCCATGGGATTACTCATTATGAACTGCAGCATTGTGTTATGTGACGCTCTGTGCGTGGAAACTGATGTTTTGAAGTTGATGGATGTCTGACTGATAACAAATGCAATTGTTGAATGAGTGGAGAGGCATATGCGCATCTGGGTTGTGATTATGTGAAGCGAGCGAGATTGTTTTGATGCCGATGGGGTCGATCAACATCATGTTTATTACCATTGAGGAGAGAGTTGCAATAATCGAGTCTGGATATTACGAAAGCCCGTTAGTGCCATCGCCAGTTATTTTTATGCTCGAGAGCAGCAATTTTTTTATGGGAACTTACGAAACCAAATTTTGGTTGCGGGTCTTGCATTATTTTATGTACATAAATTACGTACATGAATTATGTAAAATTAATTATGGAGGAGGCTAATGGCTTGTCCGTCCCGCCCACAAACAAATAACTTATTACCGTGTATACACATTTTACCCCAGGCTAACTAAATCTGCACAGTATGTTTCCCCATACAGCTGTAGGATACTGCATGTGCAACAGCCTTTTCACGGAAATTACTCATAGAGGGCGTTAATGCGAATATTATGTCTATACCTACATCACTTAACAGCGCCCTCTATTGTGTGGTGGTGTCCGTTCCCCCTTCCGCTTTTTGAAATTTGAAGCTGTTGTTCCCCCTACCCACTACCCAATGTTGACAAGGAATCACTTCTGCTGAATAATATGCACCCGTTTCCTGTGTATTTAACCTTAAGTTAAACAAACGCTTCATGCGTTGCATCATTGCAAGATAAGAACAAGGTCACAAAAACGGTTATTACGTCGAAGTAAATGTATGTGGAGCGTACATCACTGTTATATGTTTCTTTCATTTAAAATGAAATGCGAATGAAATTTAAGCATAATCTCAGTCTAAATTCCTGTATTTCGTAGTTTCTATTGTGTGTACTGTGGCGGGAACTCCCCTGGCCAATTCAGATTTCATTTAAGGTTCAGTATAATTCAAATTGTTAGCATTCCGATTCGTCCAAATCTTTGAAATTCGTCTCGTGAAGCAATCGGCGTTAAATTGAAAAAGCAAATTCGTTTTTTGTCATTCGTTTTAATGTTCTTGTCGTTACATTTCGTCTCTGGTGACTTAAAACGTTACGATTAAAAATGTGCCCAATCTTTGGACTTGTTTGTGCATTAATTAAATTTCAATTTTTAACAAATATTTCCTTATCAATGAAAGTATAGCTGTAAATTTTGAGTTTTCTTTGACAATAAACATTAAAATCAGAAATTGAACTTTCACAATATGCTCTTTGCTTAGCATATGGAAATTAAGCATTAAGATCAAACTCCTTCGTAATGTTGCTCTTTGATATATGTATATGAATACAACAACAGAAATAAGGTTTGTCTATCAAAGAACAGCATTAAGAAGGTCTTTGAACTTAATGCTTAGTGCCCATGTCATTTCAGTGCAAATTGTGAAATGTCCATTTTTACTCGAATGTTAATTATGAAACACAGAAATAAAAATTCATGCCTTACAGCTAACTACTTTTATTTATACATATAAGGAAATATATGTTGACTTATCATTGTTTTAATTCGCATAATTCTTCAAATAAGTCTAAACATTGGGCGCATCGTATAGGATTTAAGTCACCAGGGACGAAATGTAATGACAACAACATGAAAACGATTGACAAAAAACGAATTTGCTTTGTCAATTCAACGCCAATGGCTTCATGAGACGAACTTCAAAGATTTTGGACGAATCGGAATGCTAACAATTTGAATTATACTGAACCTTAAATGAAATCTAGTGGTGGCTTTCTGAAATTCAAATTGAGAAGTGAGCTTGGCGATGTTCGGGGACGAAATTAAAGTATCAATATAGGGAATTTGTGTGATAAAAGTGTTAAAATAGCTGGGAATACCTATAGTAGAAATAAAAAGAAACAAAGGAAAGAGAGGTGTAAAGTCATATTTGATATAAATTGAAAACACATTTCACAAAATGGGCCTCTGCAGGACGTCAATGGGGTGGGGTGGGCAAAAAAAAAAAAACCTTTCATTTTGCCGACGCGCATGGCTACGGCGACGCGCGCGCATACCAGAAACCGGAGACTTTTTTTGGGGGGGGGGGCCTTATCCCCAGCACAGCTAATACGAATTTGTACAAATCGCGCATAAGCATTGCCCAAACGCAAAGCAAAAGTAAACCTACTTCCTCTCTGCCCGCGATCACCGCGCCACGTGTGTACTCGGTATGCACGTACTCGCACACCGTGCACACACGCATGCATGTACTTAACCATACGGGGTTTTGTTAAGCAATGTCATGAACGCGGCGGTCACTGAGGGCTGATGAGCTCTGCCCACTCGTCACGCACGCATACACTAGAGCACACATTCTCCAATTTGTATGCTTGTGGAGACATTTCTTTGTTCTCGTTGTGGAGACATTTCTTTGTTCTCGTGTAGTAAAGTTTTCGAGTTTGAAAGAGAAGTTTCAAAATGCTCTTATTTTAACCAGAATTAATTTCCTTGGCTGAAATTCGGACTCAATATCCCTTTTCTAAAACTCTTCCAATTGCGACGGATCAAAATTCCTAGTTTTTGAGTAAAATCCATATATCTATTTCGTGAAAACCTTGTGGAAACCTATTCATCCATAGAAATTGCCCTGTGGAGACCTATACAATCTTTTTTTCCCTATTGTGGAAATGTCTCCACAAGGATACAAATTTGCGCTCATGCACACTACTGCAATAGAAATGCAAAGGAAATAAACTGTCCACACACTTTCCGTTACAGTACTTTGGTTGTGTCTTTTTGGATAGACCTTTACCTGTACGCGTGATGATAAAATGAAAATGAACATTATATATTTTACTTATACTACTTCTTTCATTCAAGATTAAATATCATTCGAATCCAAGTATAATCGCAGTAAATACAATTATATTTGTTTTTTCGTTTGGTAAAGGTTAAATACGAGTGTCGATTGTGTGTTCAGAGTAAAATCCCAATTTTGCTTTACTCTGACCTGTAATCGACCCGGCTGAGACAAGGTCTACTAATGAAAATAACAGATGATGAATGTCTCTCGTCTAGATTTAGTTTTTGTTTTGTTCTGCTTATCCGGCTGTACCTTTAGTTTAGTTAATTGGTTATCATGTGTCTTTGCGGATCCTGTTATGTTGTGCGTCAGCTAATGACTACACGACTCCAACCTTCGCTGGAGATTTATGTGCATAGCAATCAGTTTTCAGCGTAGCAAATGGCCTGTTGGATTTGTCTTGATGTTTGTACTGAAATTGGCAGTTCATTCATCCTTTGTTTCCTCAAATCAAGTATCACATGGAGTAAACAAAATATATACGAAGTGTAATGATAATTTACCGCAAATGGGTCATTTGGGAGACATTCCCATAGACTTGTGCCCAACATTTTTCAAACTTAAATGTGCCCTAACCCAATATTCCCTTGTCCCTTTTCCACGAATTTCGGTATTTTTACTAATTAGACCACGAGCAACAAATATAATTTGATTGCGACGGAAAAAATTGCCTCCAAAGGGGGGCTGCGGAATTAGTTAATTGGCTAATGACCAGTGTCTCCCTATTGTCGAAGAACAAGTATGTGTTTTTATCGATAATTCCTCTGACAGTCCATATCCCCTGTTGTGACCTAAATCGAGCCACAGCTGCTAGCGTTTGTCCCAATAAAAGAAAACCCACCGACCAAGAAAAACATTGTGCTTTCATTGATTAGTTAATTTTGTTTAGCTGTGCACGTAGCTCAAGCCCTCCCCCCCACCCCTGTGTGATTATTTTGTCCCCAATTGACATCGGCTTGGGGTGTACGCTTTGTTGTTTTTGAATTTACTTCTCTTAAATACATTGGTAAATAAAAACAAAATGAATTCGAACGTCCATAATGGATAGGAATCTGATTAACATCGTGACGCTTGAAAAGATTGACAGATTTTGCAAACGCTAGTGTTACAACTTTTACAAATGCACGGAGCCAGGCCTATTTTCTTTCCAATTTCAACGAAAAGTACTGAACATGGCAAAACCATTTTAGGACATAGTTGGATCATGATTAGTGAAACTAACCCTGGAAGTGGAATGAAGACTCTGTCTTCCAAATGGGAGACATTAATTTTCAAATATTTTGGCTGACTGTGTGAACATGTCTGTGAGCATGTTGTTTCATTCAAAATAAAGTATTACGTAACCTTTAGAAATCGGCCTTTGAAACCACACGACTGCGATGTAATTGTTGAAGGAGTGGAGAATCATGTGTGTATTATGGTTGTTATTACACTCTAAAAATGTATTTGTCATTTTGACTAAAACAATGCCACGGATATGTCTCGTACGACTTACCTAAATTAGTCACAGAGTATTGATGACTAACTGGATAAGTCGAAACTCTGATAGACAAAATAGTCATATGACAATAATAGAAACCTGCATCATGTGACTAATCTGTAGTCAAGCGACTTTCGCGATTTGTAACTGAATTTCTAACTAATCACACTTTAGTCAACATTGTATCCACTGAAGTGAAGCACTTTGTCCGTTCTAGTGTCCTTAATTGTACACCATACTGTGTACATACCCGGATGATGGAGTCACATCTGCATCTGACTTGTGTCTCACTGGTTGTGCAATTGAATTGGATCACATGGCCCGTGTTCGGCTCCTTGCATCTACCACTACATGATCATGATCACACACACACACGGATAATCTTTCTTGATTTCTTGCATATTATTTATTTCTCTCGCCTAAATTTTTCAAGAAAGTCCATATTTCTAAAATCAAACAACAATCGTGGAATGTTCTTAATCATGTCATAGTTCCCCTCCTATCTTAAGTATATTTAGTTTCGGATTGGCCCTTTATTGTTTGGCACAACAAATTCACTAGTGTATTCCAAATAATATGCACAACGACATGTTGTGTGCAAGGAAGGCTAATACGGTTGTATTATAAGGCCTGCATTATGCAGATGTGCCTAGTCTAAGTATATGCATAATAATTTTGCGAGTCTTACTCGGCATCTATATGGCAAAGCCTTATTACCGATGTAACCTACTTCCCTCACTACCGTACTCTCATCTCATTACTCACGTCCATTACCAATTGCATACGAGATCATAGGCCTTCGTCATGGTTGAAATGGAGGAAGAAACGACGGTCCGTTTACCGGCTGCCAGCAAACTGAGTGTTACCGATCCATACCATACGTACGCCTGGCTAAACATCATTGACTGGGTCCCACTTTGTTTTACACATCAACGGCGGGAAAATAACAAACTTCGTTAGTCAAAAGGACTAAATGACTAATTTCGACGAGTAAACGATTTTTCTTCATATACAATGATTACGTGTCATTTGTCAAAACCACCAGCGATGGAAAATTTGGGTTAGTCAATGTTGTTCTCAAAGTACGCGTAATTAATGTGCGTTATTCAAAATGACAACTTATTTTTATAATCATGGCTGACGGTGAATAAGTGCGTCATGAAAGATAATTAGTCATTCAGAAATGACTAAACAAACGAATTAATTTTTAGAGTGCATGTGCAATGAGCAACATTGTTTTAAAGCCGTTGGAGTCGATCAAAATCATATTGTTTATTACCATTGAGGAGAGAGTTGCACTAATCGAGTCTGGATAGCACAAGTGCTCCAGCATTACTTTTAAGCGACATTATTTTGAAATGTAGTGGAGTAGCAGAAGTGTGGAAGAGCTGAAAATAGCGGCTATTGAAAGAGAGAATAGGTGATGGCGGCGACCCAAGGGATACGCCCCGTTACAATCTGAGGACGGGGCGGCCACGGACGAAAGTCTATGCCGAATTAGGATGATGATTATTTGACGCCATTTGCTGGTTACAGAGTGTAGAAATATGACAATTGCTATAGCAATTTATAAGCCCTCAAGCTAACAAAAACAAAAATAAAAAATGGAACGAAGAAATGGACTGGCAGTCACAGGCTCAAATCACGCTCCAGTCAATTTCTAGTTTTAATTTACTTAAACTTTTGTATTCATGTAACTTTTAATATGAACACCAAATTATTGGATGCCCAATATGGCCGGCTCATTCGTATTTTACTCTGTCGCACTTGATTCATCACTTTAGGACGGAATATATTTTTGTTAAATTTGTGTAAGTTTTCACGACAAATAGGATCAACAAAGACCTAAGACAGAACAAAACCCGGCGTTGCAATAAAGTCACCACAAGTCATCACGAGTGACGCTCAAAAATGGTCCACATGGTCCGCAATTGAAAAAGAACTCACATTCGGTATGGAATGTATACATTTCTATGAGAAAGTTTTCGGATAGCATTTGCGCGCATTGGCTAACTGCGGACTTAAACAGCTGCAGCCAGATGTCTTTATACATAGGTCATGATAAATTACCCAGAATGCCACCCCACTTCCTTCACAAAACTCTGTGAAGCTCATCAGCATGTCCCAGTGCCCTGTTTGCAGGGCGGGGTGCAAGCGAAATCATTTTGGATCCAGACGAACTCCTTGGTCCAAGCGTCTGCGAAAGAGTATTTTTCTCTTAATTTTGCGCTAGATTTCCAGCTGAAGTTTTTGAAGTTTTCCTGGGATATAAAGTAAAAAAAAAAAATTCTACTGGGCACGAATTACTCGGATGTACTACGTGTTTACTACATGCATTTTTGTTTGTGAAGCGAACGTTGACCTGTAAAGGAGGGTAACATTGGTTAAAAATCTAATTTGTTTATGGCCTCAAAGGTTCAAATGTGTGTTTCAGCTATGTTATGATGAGAACAATATGTAGAAAAATGGAAACATGCCGTAAGTCTTCCAATAAATGTCCACACTCGAACCATTTATTGAAATAACTGTTAAAAAAATAAGGGGGGGGGGGCTAATTCCCCTCTGGATACGCCACTGATTGCACACGCACGCTTGATCGTGTAGCGCCGCGCAAAGACGCGCAGTGCAGTGCCGCTATACGATGTCTAAACCTCCTCTCTACACTAATGATGTGCGAGCCCGACCCGAAACCGAAACGACCCGACTTGAAACCGACGTTTTTTGAGGGTCTTATCATGCATGGAGAAAGGAATCCTTCTTCCATGGTCTAATTTTTCATCCTTTTCATTTCATTTTAGACCCAAACTATGTATCACTTTATAAATATTATTTATGCAATTTAATGAATATTCATTTTTTTGTCAGCCATTATCCAATGAGAGAAGACTATTTACCAGGGCGCGTACTAATTATCATATTGAACATACACGGTTGCGTCAAGGCCATCCTCCGCCTCGACTTACTGTACGGCTGTTAGCGGAAGTGTGTGTGGGAGTTAGGTACATGCACACAAGGCACACGCAAGGGTCGTTGACTGAGGCTAACGGCATACTAGGGTGTCGCGGCGCGCCGCGGTAACAAGCTCGTATGGGAGCAAGCTGAAAGGCTTGGTCAAGGCTAGGTCATTCCCAAAGTTTCGACCTGAATAATACAATTTGTGCACTCACAGTACACTATTGGTCAAGCCAAGGTAAAGTCAACCAATAGTAAAGATTTCAATTCATGCGTCCCATATGACCTGCACGTAGCCTTCTGTGATTGTTCAACTTGTCAAGGGGCGTGGCTTATATATGGATCAGTGTATTTGAGCGCCAATACTCGTCAGGTGATGGCAGGTATTAGTGATCACTGTAGCATATAGGTCAATTTTGTTCTGTTGTCAGCGTTGTTGCAAATAATATTCGCCACGTACACACCGAACGTTGTCTGATCTGTAATCTAACTGGCTTCAACCACTCGAGTACTTGTTATTCACCCAGATTTCCAGTCTCACAAGCAGAAGCGAACATAAGAACTCTTCGCGAGAATTGAACGTCGTGTTTTGGGGGTGTCAGTGCTGAATCAATGGTAAAGATGGTTTACTTGATGGTGTTACTCGCTCTTCTCGGTGGAGCAATGGCAGATACCAACAACAACAAACCAGAAGGTAAATTTCAGAACATTTCACGCCCTATACAGGGTGAGTAGAAAAGAAACCGAAACCCAAAAGTCGGGACCATTGTTTTAGTGAAGTTCTGCATGTAGCACTTTCAAAATCTCGGATATGAAAGCCCAATTCATAAGCTTTATTTTAGTACAAGAATCATTCAAATCACTTATGTACTTTTTACCTTAGGGAGTTTTTTAAACACAACCACTGTTTGAAGGTTCTGTCCACGGATCGCAAAAAAAGTTCAGTGTTTTTTTCAGCAAAACGAAAACAAATCACATAGGGATGTATGTGAATTGTTTCGTTTTGCTGATTAACACACACCTCTTTTGTGATTCCTGGACAGAACTATAAAACGGTCGTTGTGTTTAAAATTCTGTAACTTCAAAAGTACATACGTGATTTGAATGATACTTGCACTAAAAGAACGTTTACGAATCCTTTTGTATCCTAGATGTGGAACGTGCTATCGTGCAGAACGTTACTAACACAGAAGTCCGGACATTTGGGTTTCACTTTCTTTTTACTCACCCTGTATAATTAAAGAGTTTCTTTCCAAAATGTGATATGTCCATTTGAAAAAAAGTGAGCATGTTGCACGGTTATGAAACTTTAAAGAACTTAGTAAAAACAGTACAACGGCTGTTTTGTAAACTACGTTATTTCGCCTTATTGTATTCTTAAGTCGTGTTTAGGTATGTAACAGCCGTCGAAGTTGCTTTTGGGCAGTCAGGAGAGGATGATGGTTCTAAAAGGGAAAACAATGGCGTATATCGAATTTGGCAAATAAACACTTCAAATATTAACAGAGTTTCGTATTCTAAGGCCAGTCATTATTGATGTGAGAATACGGTTTCAAAAGCCACACGGCAAGTCAGATCAAAGCCTCAAGGAGGAAAATCCAATACCATATTTAGAATGGACGAAAAAAAGGAGAGAAGTACACTTTTCACTTAACTGTCCCTTTTGGGACCGGCGCTGCACAGAACTCAACTCGACTGATCATGACAAATACATTACTTAAATTCCAATCGGCCCTGCAGCCGGAGACTACATTCAAAGGAAACACAATAATGCTTCACAACAACTGTATGAGTTTGCACGTATAATTTGCACAGCACATTGCGGTTGACCGTAATGTGCTGCGCGAACATGTTTGTTCGCCATACTTCATTGACATGTCTTACATGTCATTGAAGTATGGCGGCTTTGAATCCTTACTTCACTGTCAGTGTACTTTTCCACAAAAACCTACCGTTTCAGTGAGTGGATTACCCACGTAGGCCTATGCATACCACTATGTACATGACATTTTCAATAACATAATAGCGCAACTACGGAAGCGTAGAAGGGCCAAAAGAAATTAGGAAAAATTTAGTTCCTATTTCGCCGCGGCGAATTACTATCTCGCCGCGGCGAGTTACTATTTCGCAGCGGCGAATTACTATCTTGCCGCGGCGAGTTACTATTTCGCAGCGGCGAATTACTATCTTGCCGCGGCGAGTTACTATTTCGCCGCGGCGAATTACTATCTTGCCGCGGGCCGCGGCGAATTACTATCTTGCATAGGCGAGCGTCGGGCACGACGAGTAGCGATACTATTTGGATCCCATGGAACGCCAAAGAGGCAATTAATGTGATCATCGAATCGGTGATGCACTTTCTCGATAGGTAGTGGAGTTTTGCAATCGGTGATGGACTGTCACAATCGGTGATAGATTTTCGCGAGTGTGGATGGAGTTTCGCGATCTGTGATAAACTTCTAGCAAAACTAACACCCTAATCACAAATACACGGCTGGGTTCTAATTGCTTTAGCACGTCCGGTAAATAAAATAATTTATGAAATAATTAAGTTGTCCTTTCTCTTTTGTTAAGAATGAATTAAGAAAGAAAACGAAGTTCAATACGCGGCAAAAGGTACATTAACGACTTGTCAGGTTCATGGAGTACAGGAGTAGCGTACGGAATGAGGATGAACCAGCCAACTATTCAACATTATAATTGCGTCTCTCAGAGTGCGGGAAAGTAAATACTGTAATTACCGTCTTGCGATTGCTACGACCGATTTTTGAATGAAACAAGCTCAAATTACCGTTACAAAGACATTTTGATGTTTGCAGGCAAAAATCTTTGTACATGAATTTCTCCCTTTTGAAGACCGTATCTCAAAAATACTTTCGGAGTTTGTTTCCCTATCATCATCCTATTATGTGCTAAAAATCGTTTCGATATGTTCCATATTTTTCATTACAATTAAAAAAAAAATAGGCTTTGAGTTCGTCATTTTTCCATATTGTCAAGCGGCACGAATATTGATAAAGTTCTTGCCATATGGATGCAATTACCAAGTTTACGACTCCCTCCTTCACGAGTTTTCCACCAATAACATATAATTCGTTTTGGTTGGTTTTGATTGGTCTATACCCAGGCCCACGCGAAGTCACGCAGAGTCACGCTAATGCTAATAACGCGCACGTCATACGTCAACGTTGCGGCAAAACCGGCCAGGGTATAGCGTGCCGGTTGACCATGTTTTCTTGCTCGGCAAAATCCGAGCTTGACCTCGGTGATAGGAGGTGTAACACAAGCGTCTGCAACGTATTTAGCTTAAAATCGTCACATCATTAGTGTTCAACTACTCGTGAAATAACAACTTGTTGGGATTCCTAGAAAAAAAGATTGGGGAACCTTTAGAACGCGGATTTTCCCCAGGCGCGCAATTTAGGTCAGCTAAACCGGTGACCAGTATTGACGTTTCTGCACCGTGAAAGTCCATCACCGATTGCAAAGTTCATCACCGATCGCGAAAATCCATCATCGATTGCGATATTTCAACACCGATCGCAAAAGCCTATCACGCCCCCCCCCCATAAAAAAGTTGGCACCCCAGTCCCCCCCAACACACAGAAAAATTTGGCATCCGTAGAAAAAAAAACCCTCAATGAGTTACCGAGATTAGCTAGAAGTAGGCTATATAGGTCATTTTTTGCGCGCATTTTTTTTCGCGAGTGGCTGTTTATTGTAACGTTTATTGAACATTGAATAGCGGTAGTTATTATTAGTTTCCCGCGAGTGCAGATGGAACACGGAATAGTGTAGTGCGTCTAGACTGGCCCGGCCGAGAAGTATGTGGGACGCTAGACTATATGGCGGGTATCCGATGAAGAAACCTGTCTCACGTGCTTTCAGCACGGATGAAATTTTGGGGCCCCCTCCATTGTATCGTCAAGCCCCCCCCCCCCCCCCCCCACGTCCCCTAGGATAAAAACCCTGGCTATGGCGCTCCATAGGACCCGGAGGGATCGCGATTGTCGTGCCCGACGTTCACCAATACAAAATAGTAATTCGCCGCGGCGAAATAGTAACTCGCCGCGGCGAGATAGTATTTTAACCGCGGCCCTTCTACGCTTCCGTACGCAGCGCATTGCGTGCGAAGGCAAACAATGATGTTAACCTGTTTAACATGTCAATGAAGTATGGCGGCCTTGGACCCCAAAAAACTGCCGTTTCAGTGAAAGGAGTACATGTACACGGCATTTTCAAAAACAAAATTCCACTACACAATGCGCGCGAAGGCCACCAATGAAGCTGACCCTTTTTAGCTTGAGCTGCTTTTGTTGGTTGGTTTTGCCAGCGAGTTAATACAAACACAAAGCCCTAGTCTGAATTCTTTTACACAGGAGTTAGATTTACAGAAAAATATTTGAAAGAACTCTTCGTGTTTATCGCAAAACTGCCTTAGTTCAGGATTTCTTTCCTGTATTACCACTTTGCAAACTTTTAATCATGAAAAATGATCATCGCAAAGCTGAGAACTATAATCGCAGGGGTACAAATATACTGTGCATATGTGACTCATGCATGCACATGTACTGTTGAATACGCGGATGGATGCACGTATTTTGCTATACTGTTAGTCAGCAAGTGATCACATTGGCACCACAGCCCCAACTATAATGTTTAAGTCATGTTTAAGTCATAATGATTTAACTCGCAAAGCTATTGCGTTATTTCGCAAAACTATTGCGTTATTTCGGAAATGTATGGCGTTACGTCGCAAAACTATTTCGTCATTTTGCAATACAAATATTGTTTTCACTTTGAACACCTATCACGATGAAAACAGAACTGCCCCTTCATTGCACACTTATGAAAGCATATATATGAAAGCGCTACAAATAAAATTGTCTCCTCTCTTGTAATGCAGAACTGCCCCTCAAAAACACAAGTACCCCTGTCGCATTAACGAGATTCTGCACCTTTCCCCTCTCGAGATGAAACTTTGGCCATCCAAAACAATAGTGCTCCGATCGCGATAAGGCCAAAAAAAGTCTCCGGTTTCTGGTATGGAGCTTGCCCAAAAAGTGGTGCGGCGACGCGGCTTTTTTTTTTTACCTGATGTTTTTTGCTTCAAATGTCAGCTGATGACTGCAAATGGTGCCCGACTAAACTTAGTGCAAATATATGGGAGTCCAGAGAGGCCACATAAAGCCTATTCTCGACCATAACCCAATCTAAAAATACGTTAAAAATGTGCAGTAGCAGGATTCCAGTCAAACCAGTAAGTTTGGCGGTTTTGAGACATCATCTTTCATTGAAGAAAAAACTTTTTCATTTTGCCAACGCGCATGGCTACGGCGACGCGCGCGCATACCAGAAACCGGAGACCTTTTTTGGCCTAACTTCTCTAGATGGAAAACTACCCCTCGAGTGCACTGTGCCCCGCTCGCAACATTAAAATCGTGCCCCCTCTCAAGATGGAAAAGTGGCTTCTTAAAAGAAACAATAAAGCTTTTCACGCGAAAAAAAATGGTCACTGAACTGGCCATCAAAAAGGTCTCTCTACATCACTAGGTAAAAGAAACACAACGAGCAATATGGACAACGTATTCATAATTAAGTTTGCACCTCGTCATATGGTTTCTTAGCGAAATGAACGGGAAAATATGCCTTTCCTCCACTGTCACACCGACGGAAGGTGCCCCTTTTTCTGAG